TATATAGTTCTAATATCATCTCAACTATAAGCTTTGTTGTACTACTACAGAATTACAGCGACCGGCAGTAAAATCGGAGAAACAAAAAACCGATGAGAATCGAAGAAAGCGTATAGATATACTAGTATGGTCCTGCTACGTGTGTCGCTGTCTGCTTGTAACTAACTCTGCAATTTGGCGTACGCGTACGACGTGTATGTGTACACTAGTGCTAGTACTACGTACTACTGTATAGCTCAGCAATCGGCATCGCGACCCGCGTGCTCCCGCTGCGGCGCCGTGCCGCGCGTGACGACGTGCAACGGTGCAAGGTTGGGCGCGTGAGCTAGCGAGCGAGCGGGCGCTGCCTCGCTTACGCTTTGGGTCTCTTCCCTCTGTGCGCTTTGCTTGCTCGCGCGGGCGTTGGCGTCGCAAGCGGATACGCGCGCGTCCGCAGTCCGCTAGCTTAGCTTGTGCCTGTGCTCGTCTCGTGACACGGAATGGCACGTCTCGGCCTGGATCGCGGCGCGCGCGCGCGCCGAAGCCCACGCGGGTTTCGCGTGGCCGCGCGCGCGGGGGTGGGCAAGGCGAGTACGCGCAATCATGCACGCGACGCGAACCGTTTTCGTATTGTTTTTGCCCGGACCAGCCACATGCATGCACGTACTAGTGGTGCTACTAGTGTGATGGATATTTCTTCACTCGGCGTCGTAGAGGACACATCTGTGCAACTGTGCATATACCTTCTCCTAGAGACGAGTTCCATAGTTTGTTTGTTGACTTTGGGGGCACCCAAAATTAACACTTTCGAGTTTTTTTTATTTGGATTTGCTACGAATGTATCGCCATATTCTTTTATAAAAAAAAGTCAGTATGTATTGCTACAAATGTAATTTTAGTACATTTATAATTATTTATAATTATGTAAGTTCCAAAATTACATATGTAATTACATTTGATTTATAATACTATAATTACGGGGTTGTTCAGATGGATGCCATTTCAAATATAATTGTCCTCATTTTTTTGGTAATGTAGAAAAAGTAGAAATGTAATTACATCTATAGTATAGTTACATTTATACTCTTAATTTTTCTACTTCCAATGCAATTGTCATCATTTCTTTACTTTTACAAACTCAAGTGCATATACTTGTTCAAAACGGAACTTATTTTAGGACACGAACAAGATGAGGAAAAAACAATGTTAATTATTTTGAGAATAATGGAGTAATATTTTTAATAAAAATGTATCTTAATTATTTTTTTGATTGCTTGTTCTTTTTTTTTCCACAAACCACCATTGGGGTGTCGTACGTTCTACTTCTAGCGAAACACAGCTAGGCAAGCACAAGCACTTTGAACGTTGACGTTGCGGGTTGTGGGTGGGACCCTGGGAATTCGGTGACTTGACAAAAAAAAAGATATTTTTTTTGTGGGACGTCAAACATCCTGAAACAGTGAATGGATAAGCACTATTGCGGCTCGGAAGGAGTCCAACATATAGACGCCGGAAGCCGGAAGGAGAGTAGATTTGGTCCCAAATTAACTCTGGTGAACCAAAAACTGTAGGCTGTGTTTAGTTCAGCGTAAAATTTAGATTTTGGTTGAAATTAGAGATGATGTGATTGAAAAGTTATGTGTGTATGATATGTTGATATGATGGAAAAGTACTGAAGTTTGGATCCAAACTTTAGATCTAAACACAGCCGTACTTTGCTTTTGTTTTCACCTCCGTTCTTCCATCTAGAACCAATTTAAAAACGGAATTGCTAGAAATCTTCTGCAAGTTTTCTACCCTCAAAACTTTCAGATTTGTGATCATCGAATCCCGTCGAGATTTGTGTATGAAGAGAAAAAAATACTAAAAAGAATTTTTCACATATGTCATTCGTAAGATCTTGGTACTAGCTAACCAAATAATAGTTAAATACAAGTTTTATATAAGTTATATCATAGTTACAGTGTAGTTACAATGCAATTATAATATAGTTACATCTGAAAGTTTTTATTAAAAAACTTACGGTAGTTTTTTAAACACTACCCCCTTTAGAAATGGTCATAGGCTAGAATTAAGAACTCTTTCGACGAACTTGTCATTCTATCTATGTTTTTTATGTAATGAAATGAAATGCTAAATAGATGAATGATTCGAGAGTGCAAACAAATAAATTGACTATTATGATTTTTTTAAAAAAAATATTAATTAAAACAGTTTTTAAAGAAATTTGTATGTATAGAGTTTCTTTTTTCAAAAACTATAGCTTTCATGAGTCGGAAAGCATGCGTATTCTTATATCCTATTTCATCATGGGAAAAAAGAATATGCATGTTTGTGATTGGGTATCCTCGAAGAAATATTGCTCCAAGTGTCTTGACATGGACTTCGTGATACATATCCTAACATTTTTTACATGATATATATATTATTCCACTGGAAAGTAGTCAAGACAAGGTAAATCTACGATTTAACATATTATATGCACATATTTGCTGGACAAGCCACATCCATGTGCATGTAAAGGACCTAAAGATGTGGAAGTTGGCCAATGGGCAATAGGTTATTAGATGCGGTTGGACATTGGTCCATAGAATTCGAAGTTCTCGACTCGATGGTAGCATCCACTCCCAAGTGTGGATGGCAGGCAGAGAACATACTACACAACTCTAAGGACGAAAAAGACCTAAAGGTGAAACATCAGAGTCTGAAAATTGCTTCCACCAAAGGGTCCAGAGCCTAGGTGTAACAAATTTCATGCCCTATGCATAGCAACTCTCCAAAAACATGTGGGAAACTCTCCAAGAACATGTGCGAGTAGAGGACAAAGTTGCTCCAATCAGAACTGGTCTGTTGGCAATTGGGCATCCTTGTCCAATTGATTAAGGCTCATTTGGTGTTGGGGTGGATTATTATAATATCATGTTAGATGTTTAATGTTCCTGCATGTTGGACTAATGACTTCTCCTTCAATCTAAGTTGTGAACAGTAATATGATCGTGACCCCCCTAAAAGATGAAAGATACACAACAATTTACAACCCAATGGCATACTACATGATACCCTCTTTAGGGTCCGACTGTTTGAAGCCATAGCAATTTGTAATTTTAGGACTTAATTTTAGAACGAGCCAATTTGCTTGATACCAACATAAATATCATGGAGTTGGAATAAATACATGTCAGTATTCTTACATACAATGATATTTTGCAACTCAAGTATCTTTCTGATGGTATTTCTAAATTTTGCCTTTTAGAATTGGTTAGGTTATTTTGCCTTCTTAACCGCAAAGATTACAAACGTGTATATGTATGTGTGTGTAATCTTAGCCCTGCTCTTTTTTTTATTAAGATACACAATTTATCTTGATTTTGGTTATCACATTTTTCAAACTGCTAAACGGTACATTATATTTCGTAAGAAAATTTTTTATATAAAAGTTGCTTTAAAATATAAGATAAATCAATATTTTAAAAAGTTTGTAATAATTAAAACTCGGTTAATCAATGCGCTAATGACTTTCTTATTTTATTCTAATTCTATATTCATCTTCAGTGGAAAAGAAACATCTCCTATAATTTCAATGTATCTTTACCTGATTATCTCAGAAAATGACTTCCAAGTAGGCCCTTATACTACAACTTCAATTTGTTGTCGTACACGGGAGGCCACCTGCCTGAGGCTTTCAGCCAACAAATCAGCCGTACTCGAGGTGTAGTAGTAAGTAGTAGCAACTAGCAAGCAGCATGTTAGGTCTGAGCTGGTGGGGATCGGGCCAAATCCCTCTGATAGGCAAGGCTGGAGTCCATCCATAATCCATAATCCATTACATGGAGCAGCAGCAGCAATCTCTCTTATAACCTCTCGCTCTCAAATGTAACATGGAGCTAGAGCTTAGACAGGGAGGAGGAGGTGTAAGCATCAAAAGGTCACATTTTCTGGGCAAAATGGAGGGCATGTTGCGAGATGCATATGCCCATGCCTGCTGCTGCTGCTGCTTGGGATAGTAGTACCCCCTCACATGCTCCCGGAATCGGTCAGCCGATGACCGTTGTCCAACCTGCTAAATGTATCCAGAAAGAAAAAAGAAAATTAGAGCAGGGAGCATCCAACCAAATAGAAAACGCATTTGGCGAGTAGCTGTGTGACAGGTGTCTATATGGCTCGTGTCATATGGACCTCACTATCACGTATATTGTGATGATAGTTCAATTGGCGAATCAACATTAGTTGGTGCTAATGTAGATCACGCGAGTCATAGTAGTATATTTATATACTAATCAAGAGTAGTATGTATATAATTAAAGAATCTCTCACACTCTACAAATCCATACCGACAAGTTGCTTAAAAAGATTGCAGCCTTAATTCGTTTGGATTTTGCTCCCAGTCTCCCAAAGCTACATCTTAAAAAGATTGTGCAATATAAATCAAGAGGACGCTACATCAGCCAGAATATCATCTGAAAAGCAGTAATAATCCATTATCTAAAATGAATAATAAACGCTTGATCTAACTGCAGATATGGAGGGCACAATATTTTGATACCTGCAGCAAGCGCACATGGAACACAAGCATCCAGATATCCAGAGCTGGCACAGAAAGAACTGAAGGAAGCAAGAGACACACTAGTATGAGATATGAGTAGTATCCATGATATGTCAGCAACGAAAATTGGATCAAATAGAACATGAAAATGTAAGGAAAATATAATTGAGTCCAAACTAATCTAGAAGGAGAAAAACGGAGCCTATTCATGGCCTTCGTATTTTGTGCCCCACCGGCACTCTGCTGGCCTCTCGTCATCAATGGAGGTGCATTTCTGAAGGTCATTGAACAGCATATGACAGAACTAATGCATACATTCCTGAAGAAAAAACCAAAACCTGGGATGTCATGGGGTTCTTCATTACGAGACCCACAGACGTTCAAGGGAACCAGGCAGAACTCGGCAGCAAAGGCATCATGACCGAACCATATTTCTCCCCAGAATGGAGATGCAGGAATAAACGATAATTACACACGGTAAAACACATCTGTAAAATCTTTCTTTTACCATTATTGTACTTGTACTATAATAATAACGAATATTCCACCAAACATCCCATACTGTAGGTAAACACGATGTTCTTCCGGTATGAAATCTATATAGGAGAATAAATACTTATGCTGACACCAACAATCCAATCAAGCAAGCAGCGCCTATACTAAGAACCGGGTATTACTCAAACGAATTACCCTCTGCTATCTGTCAATATACCCCCCCCCCCCCAACCCATCGATTAATTGCAAAAAGAGCGGTCATCATGTTTACCCATATTTAGGACGATGATGCCCTAAAATTGGAGGGTACATATTTGCTTGCCACAACCAAAGCAAGCACCGAGATCACTGCAGCCACAGCCACCATAATGTATTGACGCATCTTCCTTCTGCCCTTGTTACGCAGTGGCAATGGCATCGGCTCCATCTTATTCAGCTGCTTAAGTGTAGGGGGCCTCTTCTTCAGAGCTCTATGTTGAGAAAGATCTACTCCTCGACTGTTCTCTATGGTGCTAGAATCAGCATCATTAGTCACTGTAGCTTCCGCATTGGCCTCACCACTACCACTTCCGGAGTCTGCAGATGTTGATCCTCTTGTTCTATCCCTTTTTGCTCTCCTCTGCAAGTGATTAAACAAAAAAATGTTAAGAAATTTGATAGCTCAAATGGAAAGCATGGAGTATACAAAAGGATTGAAAATTATGTCCATGGTAGTAAATCGAATTGCATACCTTTTCCATTAGTTCCGCTTCCTTCTTTGCTCTGAATTCAGCTCTTTCCAGGGCCTTTTCTGCTTTCCGCCTCTTCCTCTCTTCAGCTTCCTTAGCTTTTGCCTTTTGCTCCAATCGGAGACGTTCCTTTTCAGCTGCAGCTTTCTCCTGTCTTAATTCCTCCTCCCTGATAGCCAACTCTGCCGCCTGCCGTGACAACTCCAACTCCTGTTCCGTCCTACGCTTCTTTTCCTTTTCAGATTTTTCTACATCTTCTCTTTCAGGAATTGGAGCTCCAGGTGTGTCTTTACTGGAAGAGTTACCAACAACTTTAGGCTTAGAAGGCTTGCTGCTCTGGGAACTTTGCAAAACTGGAAATGTTTTCTCTTCTACAACTGTTACTGGTGAAGCAGGCTTTGCGGGTGTTGCTTCTGAAGCTGAAGCGGACGCATGTGTGCTTGGAACAGGCAGGAGAGGTGGATTGCTCTGCATTCTGTTGGAATATCTTGGAATTTCTGGAGGAACCTCATCAGGGCCAAGTTTTCTTCCATCTGAGGTCCCTAGTCTTCGCAGCGTGCTATTCTTGTTTGATTCAACATACTGCCTGCGAAAATCATCATCCTTGTTCCACAACACCATGAAACTTTCTACCTGAAGGTGACAGTATGAGAAAAATTGGCAAATACTGGTCAAACAAGGGCCCCCAAAATGTTGGTGCTGAACTGCTGATTGTATACTAGGATTATAGAACATTATATCAGTAGCCATTTCTTGAGAGACATCTATCTCTCGTTAGACATTGAAGTTGATGTATGTCAAATTGCCAAACAAAGTAAAGTTTGGAATTGACTAATCAATGAAACAGAAATGGATGTGAATTTGATGCAACCTCATGCATTTAGGCTGAGTTCCTAAAATATTGTTCCTGATGCGCTGGATCACAACAAAATGGACGAAGAAAAAGTAAATCAAGCGAAAGAAAACTGAAACAACTGTCTTACCTGATTGTTGCAAAATAACACAAGTCCTTTCATGTCACCATTGTCTACATACTCTTTTGCAGCTCTACTATCCTTCCTGTACATGAAAAAGAACTTGTTCTGCAAAACAAAAAATAAGAAGAAAGCTACTCAGCTTCATAGAAGAGCTTCGATTCCTTTTAGGTGAAAATGCACCACATGTTGACACATCAGTCGTGGTATTCCCAAAAATATTCTGAACAGTGGAAAATGTATGATGCACAGGTATCATGATGCAGTCAATATAATACGTCATGGAGTGCCGATGTGTTTCTGTAAGTGTGAAAAATTGCCTTACAGGAGAATGTATAAAGCATGTTTTTTTCTTATCTAAATGGGCAATATTTGTTTCCTATCACATGATACCAACCACCATTCTCCCCAGAAAAAGACGATGTAAATCTACGTCAAACATTTCTTTTGCTTCAGTACATTAGAGGACTCTTGATGATCAATTTCTGTATTTAACACATAATTAAAGACAGTTTTACTCTGTCTAGTGCTGCAACAAGCAAAGGACTGGAATTTCAAACTGAACATTTAGGTGGCGTCAGCTGGTAAACACTGTGTTCTGTAAAACATTAGTACAGTGTATTTATCCATTTATATAATAACATAATGCAGGATAGGGGATGGCACATGTAAATTACACAGACAAAAAGATAATGGTTAATTTGATAGATCAATAAATTTCAGAACAATTCCTCCATATGTCAACACTCAAGTTTATTATCATTTCACATTTTTGGAAGGTACAAGTATATAACCATGGGATGAATTTCTATAGCTACAAGCCTACAACTTTTAAGGTGACATGTGAGGAACCAGAGTACCCCTGCCTTCTATTGACTGAAGGGGATCTGTTTCAGTGTGTAATAATATGTGTCAAGATTCAGTACATCATTTGACTAGTTATTGTGATTGTCTTAACAGACTACCAAAGTAACACACCAATTGTGGACTGTGAAGCATCAAGGTGTACTCGAGTTGTAGCTATTTCAATGAAGATTTGGTTAAGATGCAATCTAAACTTTCTCAAATGTTTCTCCAATCCATATGATAAAATTGCAAAAGGAATGGTAATACAAGCAATAGACATAGGCACTTGATTGAGGTTCGTACCTTCCTGCCCGGTTCCTTTTTCAGCTCAAACCACTCATCATAGGCCTTTTGACGTACTTCATGAGCAGCTTGGTGTTCTTCAGTTAATTTTCTAAGAGCATCTCTTTCATCATCAAAAGCTTTCTTAATAAATCTTGTTTTATCCTCCAGGGACTTCAAATTAGTCAGAAGTACATCAGAGTCCTTCTTCAGAATCTAAATGAGAAAAAAAATAAAGTACTAGTGTCAAAAATAATGAAAATGAGTAGTAGTAAAAATAGAGTGTCTCATATAATACCTTTTGCTGCTCATGAATATGCTCTTTCTGTTCGAATGCTTCACCCATTTCTGCTTTTGAGCCCATATTGGAAGACAGCTGCTTCTTTTGAGCTTTTAGTTCTTTGATATCTTGAAGAAGACGTTTCTCTTCTTTCAAAGAAATAGATTCATGTGCTATGATCTTTTCCTTCATTGCAATCTAAATCATAAAAAATGAATAATCACTGGTCACTAGCCAGAATACAAATTGCTAAAAGATGCACAAAAGAAAAACTACACCATAATTATATATATATAGAAAAAAATGTTGGTGAAATTGAAGGAATGTATGCAGATGACTAACCATGTCATCAATTTCTTGAATTGAATTTGCTCTGTTCATCCTTCCGATCATTGATTGCACACTATTTAAATCATTTCTTTTATCACCATGTGCAGTTCTAGCTCCTCTTTCTTCTTGACGTGCAGCTTCCAGTTTCTCTCGGTAGTCATCACACAAAGCCTATAAACACAATAAATAAATTCTAAAACAGGAAGCATGTTGTAAAATGAAGAAGAGAAAGAAAGTCAAGTCATTTCTACCTTCTTCTTTTGCCTCAGAACATTAATTGCATCTCGCTTTTGTGTCAACTCATCCAGACAAATTTGGGCATCTTGTATCTTTTCCCAATGAGATTCACTCATAAATCTTGGAACTTTCATCAGATAAACCGGATATGGTTTAATAACTTGTATATCTCCTCTGTCTTCATTATCGACATTGGTTTCTAATTTCGGCTCACTATGGTTTCCAGTTATATCTGTGTTTATGTTTTCATCATCATCATTGTGCTTATCATGAATTATGTCAACAGTTGTAGATGCTATATCTGTCACCATACAAAATTTAAAGTATAGTTAATTTAATTGTACAACTTAATAACTTAGGAAATAAATGAATAAAATAATCAGTACATACCTTGCACATATTCCGTTTCAGCCACACAAGAAGATGTAGTGAATGCATTTGCATTTTCAGAGCAAATCTCACCAGGTGCCCCATCAGCAGGGCAATTGTCATCATCTTGCGAAGGGACATCTTCTTCAACTTGAGCATCATCTTGCGAAGGGACATCTTCTTCAACTTGAGCAACAGCAGCAGCAGAGTTTTCTTTAGAATCATTATCTCCTGTGGGTGCACCACTTGAAGCTCCCAAATCACAAGCAGGAGTTGAATTTTCAACTTCAGCCCCATCATTATCAGCCAAATCTGAGGATGTTGTCTCACCATGTAAAGCAGGAACCACTCCAGGATCAGCACAAAGATTAGCACCATCAATGTCCTCCATATCAGACTCTTGCTTCAGTTCACTTTTATCAGATAGATGATTGCCATTTGTAGCTGAGAGCGCCTGCTCAGCGTCTTGTAAGGAAGCAGATGTTTGTTGTTGATCACTGATCTCCTCTCTCTCAATTTCAACAGTTGAACACGATATCGATTCTACGGGTTGAAAAGTGCTGACCTCATCCCCATTGACACCACACTCAACGTTATCCTTGGACAAATCAAGACCTTGTAGAATATCATCGTTTGTCTTCTCATGTTTTTCTTTTGTCTCAGTACCGTCAATGGCAGTGTCATCATTTTTCTCTACAGTCGAAGCATCTGCTTCCATGGCAGCCTCATCTACCCCAGACGTAATGGCAGCCTCATCTATCCCAGACGTAAATGCGTCTTCCAAGGCGTCTTCCCTGTTGTCATCAGCTCTATTCTCCAACAGATTAACAGCTATGAAATCCTGCTGTCCATCGCCAACCAAAGGTTCCAACACTGAAGTAATTCCGGCACTCTCTTCCACATGCTCATGCCCATTAGTAAGGATCTCTTCTTCAGGAACCTCCTTGTTAGCCACCTTTGCATCCCCCTGCTCATACCCATTAGTAAGGATCTCTTCTTCAGTGACCTTCTTGTTAGCTACCTTTTGATCCCCCTCTATTTGTTGATCAATCTTAAGGGTTCCTTCAAGATGCACACTTTCCACGACCTCCACAACACTTTGTACTATGCCACTTTCCTTGGAGGTAACCAAAATCTGCATAGGAGCTTCATCAGAATCAGCATTTGTGTTTGGATGATCACATCCATTGACCACAGATACAGCTTCTGTGCCCTGTTCTCCAGTGGTTGCTTCCTGCTTGACAAGTTCCATGGCATCAGTAGCACATTCTCCGGATTTTTCCTTGCTATCACATACCTCAGACTTGGTCTCAACTTCACCAGAATCAAAACTCCTCTCCACTTGATCATGTCCATTAGCCATAGCAATATCTGACCGGTCATAATCTACAGTAGCTGTAACCAGCTCCTCAAATGTTTCAGTGTCTTCCCCTTTGCTATTGCTGCCCTTAACATCTAAATCCGCACCAGTCACATAACCATGACCACTTGCATCTACGTGACCATGCCCATTGGACACGGGACCACCTAAACCATCCTGAATTAGAGCAGCTACCTCCTCCACTGGTTTCGCAGAATTGGCATTAGCTTCTTCAACGTTGCTTTGATCAACTTGAACATCAGACTTTGCACCTTCACCACAATCAGCACTTACGCCTACATGAGTGTGCCCATTTTCTATTGGAACATCTGAACCATCCTGTTCACTACTGATGGCCTCCTGCTCCATCAACCCAGTTGCATCCGCATCCACTTGTTTAATCAAACTGTCATCATGAACTTCGGATTCTACGGTACTCGTATAGGTGTGATCATGCTCACCAGCTATCCTATCATCCACCCCCTCCAGCTCCCAGCCATCCACGCCTTCTTCTACCAATACAGAACTATCAGCGATCTCAGGGGCAGCCTCTTTACCGTTAACCTCCTCTACCACACAACCCTTGGACTCCTCTACCACACAACCCTTGGATTCCGCAATACTCGTATCAGGATGATCATGCTCATCCGCTATCCTACCATTCATCCCATCCTCAACCGATCCAGCGATCTCAGCTGTCTCAGTAGCAGGCGCCGCCTCAGAGTGCACATGCCCGTTCGCCACGGGAGCCTCGGTGAGCACATGCCCGATCGCCATGGGAGCATCCTCCTCCTCCACCGCCCCAGCCTCACATCCACCATCTACACCATCCTCCTCATGAACAGTCTCGGCACAACCCGGTGCTGCATTGGACTCCACCGCCTCCCCGCCCTCCCCGAGGACAGCCGGATCTGGCTTGGCCTCCAGATTCGAGGCCTCCCCAGAGAGATCGCCGCCCGCAACCACGAATGGGTCGCTCACCGCCTCGCCCACGCGCCCCTCCGAGGTCGCGGCCGGTGCCTCCTCCACCGCCAATTCCGCCTCCCGCACCTCCACCCCGCCGCCGCTACTCGCCGCCGCCTCCGCCGCCATTGCCCCCCAACTGCGTCCCGATCCTACACGCGAAAACACAATCATCAGATCAAAACCCCCCAACCCCCCCCCCCCACCCACGAGATGATGACGATGAGATCGGCACATGCGGCGGCTTACCGGTTCACGGAGACGGCAGGAAGAGGCGGATCGGGGAGCAGCTCGCCGCCGACGCCTCGCCGGAGACGAGGACGACGCGATCAGGAGGAGGAGAGAGGCGAGAGTGTTAAACCGCGGCGGAGATCGGCGCTTGGATTGGATCTGTCTCGGCCTTTTTTTCTCTCTCTCAATCTGGTGTGTGCCGCGGGGGGTGGAGTGCGGACTCGTCTTGTTCGCCTTTTATCTATCGTCCTTCCTCCCTCCCTCTCTACTCCTATCTGCCTACGCCTCCTCCACGTTGGTGGGTTTATCTTTATTTTATTTTTATTTTTATTTTGCTTCTCACTACTAGTTTGTTTGGTTAATTGTTTAATTGTAATAATAACAAGGTTGATAAATGATAGTGATATATATTGTGACATTGTAACGATAATAAGAAGGTTTGTTAGTCCTTTTTATCCAGTGTTGTGTCATTGTGTTGTTGTTATATGATAGATGGACCAAATAAAATACGTTGTTGTTTTCTCTTTTGGACTAAAGTTTTTGTTGGCGATGACGTTGTGCCTATGTGTATTTTTGGTTTTATCTTATTGGTGTGTTTTAAGCACTTGGCGCTAAGAGGTGCGCAAGTCATGTTAACACACGTGTGTCTTGATAACCTTTGCCATGCAGGATGTACGTGCGGAAACGACAATTGGGCGCGAAAATATGTTTGGTGCCACTATAGTTGGTTTTTAATACATTAAAATGGGAAAGTAAATTAAAAGTGGCATCAAATTATTTCCCACACTTTCCCCAAGCAAGGGTTGAGTGGGTTATTTAAAATTAACCGGCTTTGCTATGCATGCACCTACATGTTTTTCCACCAAAATTCATCGGAATTTTCACCCTTGTGTTATATCTCTAGATTCATATTTTTCTTGTCCCACCGTTTGCATCCAAGTTTATACGTCGATTAGTGCAACTTTCTGGCATTTCTCTCCTCCCGTGTATGGACTATAAAGATGACAGAGGTGAATGAGAGAAGGGGTTGCAATTAAATTGTAATGCTGCATTATAATATTGTAATTTATACTGTAATGTTACGATGTAACTTATAAATTACTACATAACTACTATTTTACCCTCTTATTTTAAAAAAACATTTATATCGTAATTTCGAATTTAAGTCATTTATTGGTTATTAATGAGTTTTGGCGTGATCAATATGTTCTATTGTAAGTCATTATTTACTCACTCCATCTACTTTTAATAGTCATTTATTGGTTACTAATGAGTTTTTATATTTCTCGATGCTCATGTAGTTAATCTTGTGTAAAAGAATAGAGAGTCATGTATTAAATCATAGAAAATCATTAAAAGGATAGGTGGTTGGATTGAAATATGCCAATCAAAAATACCTTTTCCAGATTTGGAAATATGACTATCAAAAATAAAATAGATGGAGGGAGTACTATTCAACAGGTCTAGATGGCCGGATCCAACTGTTCAAAATTTGAGCCCTTTAAATTTGCTGAGTATATAATGGGCAGTTCGTTAATATTTTTTTCGGCTGTTTGCAGATGATAAGGCAATAGTCAGGATAGAATATGCACATTTGAAGTATTAAACATAGTCTAATAACAAAACAAATTACAGAATCCGTCAGTAAACTGTGAGACGAATTTATTAAGCTTAATTAATCCGTCATTAGCAAATGTTTACTGTAGCACCACATCACCAAATCATGACGCAATTAGGCTTAAAAGATTCGTCTTACAATTTACACGCAATCTATATAATTAGTTTTTCTTTTTGTCTATATATTAATACTTCATATATGTTTTCAAACATTTGATGTGACAGGATGAAAAAACTTGTCAGAGACCTAAACATGCCCTTAGTTTGTAGAGTACTACTATTCATCGGTAATTAATATACCCTCTTTCATTGGGAAAAAAACTCACATTGAGAATTCAATAAATATAGTGCTGGCCAGTGTGCTTGGTGTTTAGATCAAGTGTAGGCCAAGCCTATCTGTCAGCTGTCACCAAGGCCATTTTAGAGATATCACTGTGATGTAGAGGAAATGGTTCAAGAAGCTAGCGGGCCCAACCATGATAGGGACTATTAAAGAGTTCTAAAACTAAAATATTGCTAATACTTGAAAATCATATATCTGGTTGCAGATGTTACACTTACCATCACAACACGTCTACTTGCGTAGTAGTATTTTTTTTCCGACAAAACCATGTAATTCTTCTTGCACGTGAAAAAGGAACGACAGATGAACTGCACAAAATTGTACAATACCTTTTGATCGATGTACAAATAAACTTAAATCATCAGTTCATGTAAAATGGTGAAGTATACCTGCCAGTTGTTTGGTTGTACGTCACCGTCTCCATCAAATGTGTATTGAGGAGTAGATGCGAATATCCGTTCACCTTCTAGATAACTATTGTCTGTTTTGGAACTACATGGAACTCCTGATAAAAATAACATCCTTTACCCCCCAAAATAAGTGAAATAGCAATATTTGGCACTATATTTTTGCACTTATACTTGTATATTGTAACTACACTATAAATTTTGAATTTTACATTGTAATTATATTTAGATTTTAATACTTGCATTATGATTTTTCTAATATACTATATATAAAATAATTAGGACTAAAAGTAATTTATTATCTATATAAAAGAGGATATAGGAGAGATAGAAGTATACTTACATATAGAAGAGAGACAATTATATAAGGATAAAAATGATTGAAATTAAACGAAAAAAATTGCACTATAATCTAGCAATTCCAGAAAACAATATGAGTTCAAGTGAACTTCCATTTGTATTCATTATGCAAATAGTACTACTCACACAAAGCAATATGAGTATTGATTAATTGGTAGATCAGATTTATTTTTCTTAGTTTTAACTTCTTTTTCTATCATAATATATATGTAGAGATTCAATTATATCCTAGGTAAAGATTTATTGCGTGTTATCCCTTTCCAATCACACAAGTGAGAGATAGAAAATGACATATCATCATATCACGACACCATTCACAGGCGTGTTTAGCTTGTGGAACTGGTTTTCACCCCCTGTATATACATGTGCCTATCTCTGCTGTAACATCATTGTTGACTCCTATCACGTAATCTGTAAAAAGCTTAATCGCTTGTAAGCCTCAACTAAAAACCTCACACGATGGCAATCTTCGAACGGCTAATGTTGTCATCCCACACAAACAACGACAAGCAAAAGTGATCGATCGATCGATCAAAATGATAAGAAATCGTTGGCATTCATCACTGCTGATCGATGCAGTGATGAAAATCTCTGAGAGACATGTTGTAACGACTTGGAAACAAGTCTTCTCCCTCCCTATCTCCTAAATGTATCTTTCGCGCTTTGTGCTAGAGCTTTGTAGAACTATCTCTTACTCATATATATATCAATGGAAAATTTAGGTGGAGAAACTCTCCTCTCTGATGATTTCACTTAGGGTCTGTTTAGTTGGCAAAAAATTTTACCCATATATATCACATCGGATATACGGAAACACATTTCAAGTATTAAACGTAGTCTAATAACAAAACAAATTATAGATTCCGCCAGAAAACTGCGAGACGAAATTATTAAGCCTAATTAATCTGTCATTAGTAAATGTTTATTGGAGCATCTGTCAAATCATGACGCAGTCAGGCTTAAAAGATTCGTCTCGCATTTCCTGTCGAACTATGTAATTGGTTTTTTTCTATATTTAATACTCTATGATATATCTAATCAGATGTGATAGGGTGAAAAATTTTGTTTGGGTACTGGATCATAGATGCAATGACAGAGGAGGGGATCAGGCATCATCGATCGTCAGTAATGCGACACAAATCTGTCAAAGAGGAGACACGGTGGGCCCAGCCCATCGGCATGCCAGAGTGATCCGTGAGTGGGAGCACAGGTAGATGCAAATGCCGCAGATCTAGAACCCACAACCGTTAATTCGTAATTAATTACGCGCATCATTTCCTCGCAAAGATGATGAAGAAAAAAAAATGCACACACTGGCCGGGCCCGATGGTGAAGCAATCTTCCAAAGCAGAGGAACCGAACCTAACAAAAAATAGCTTTAATCATCAGGATATATACATATTCAGGAGTGCAGCTAAGCTTGTAGCTAGCACACAGTCTGCAAAGAGATGCGGAATGAACGTAGTACGTCAATTGATTAGTTTTTTAAACTTGCCTTTTTCAAGTTCAAGTCTTTAAACTTTAGACGGGGACTCACATTTATTTACGGTTAATTATTCATGTGATAAATTTATTATAGGTGTTTTTTTAAACATGTTAATAGGAGTAAAGTGTACGCGTCTGTCTAGAGGGATTAGTGTGTAGTATTTCCTCTGTTTTATATTATTATAAGTCGTTTCATTTTTTTCTAGTTATTTTTTCTAAGTTTAATTAAGTTTATAGTAAAATATAATAGTATTTTTAGCAATCATATTATCAAAAAAATATTAAATGTTAAATTTAATAAAACTAATTTAATATTATATATATATTACTAAATTTCTCTATAAATTTGATCCAACTTAATAAAGTTTAATTAGGAAAAAAAGTAAAGTGACTTATAATAATATGACACGGAGGGAGGACGTGTTCTGAACATTTACGCTGTTTTTGTAAAAACAATAAAGAAAATTCTGTGAAGAAGAGATGTGAGATGGTGCAGTTTGTTGCGTGGTCGTCGTTGGTGGCCGGCAAAAGATACACGGATCGCGCAGGCGGGCGGGCGAGCGGAGGGGGATGACGAGAACCTGTGGTCCACCCTTTCGGTCGCTTTCGCCGTGTTTCACCACCACACCCCCGCCCCGCGCGGCCGCGCGCAACGTACTACGGCGCTAGCGCAATCATCCCCCGGTTTCGGTTTCGATCAATGAACGGCAACGCCTCGCCTCGCCTCGCCTCGCGTCGCGCTTGCTTTTGCTTCCCGCGAGCGCAAACGCCCCCCTGCGAGCGAGATCGGCACGCGCGCCATGTGGGGGGAGCCCGGACGGCCGACGCCCCCCCAGTACTAGTACTCGTACCACTAGTAGTACTGTACGCTTTGGATGCAAATACGGCCTGATCGTTGAAACACGCGCAACGCTTTGGTCTAGCCAAATTAGAGTCCGTTTGAAGGAGGTTCTAGCAGCTGCAATTTTTCTAAACAGTTTAGATTATCACTTGGATTTTGAGAATATATAGTTGTAGAATCTAAAAAATAAACTATAGCAAGAAACTGGAAAACTCAACTTCTCCAGATTCTTAGAAACTGGTTACCAAACAATAGATTTTCATAATCTCTACCAAACAATAGATTTTGTAGGGCTGGTACCGCATTTACCACTGAACTACCAAAGGGTCATTGGACATGTAAAACAAGCAAACCATTAGCGCATGATTAATTGAGTTTTAATTATTTTAAATATAAAAATTGGATTTATCTGATATCTTAAAGCAACTTTTATACAGAAAGTTTTCGCACAAAATATATCATTTTGATATCTTAACAATTTAAAAGGAGGCAATTACGCATTTGACCCTGTTTTGGAGTGTAACTAATTTTTAAGTTTGCTCATTTGACCCTTCTTTTTAAAAACGAAGATCAGATCTAACCCTGTTCTATAAAGGCAAGCTAATGGTCGCTCCCTCCCTGAGCACATGCGTGGCCGCCGCCTGGCCTCCGCGAGCCGGCAAGCTCCGCCATCCCTGCGCCCGCACCTCCGCCCGCCCTCCACGAGTCGGCGAGTTCCATCCTCCCCGTGCCCGCGCCTTCGCCCGCATTCCGCGAGCCGGTGAGCTCCGTCCTCCCCACGCTCGCGCCTTCGCCCGCCGTCTACGTGCCGGCGCCTCCGCCTCCTTCCCCGCGCCAACGAGATCTCCGGCGCTAGCTGTCGCTCGCCACCCACCGTTCGTGTGTCGGTCATCGCTCCCTCCCCGAGCGTACACGCCACCGCCACCCGGGCTCCACGCGTTGGTGAGCTCCTGCGCCGCCGCCCGTCCTCCTAGAGCCGACGAGCTCCCGCGCCGCCGCCCGTCCTCCGCGTGCCGGCGAGCTCCTGCACAGCATAGGGCTCCCATCCCTCCCTTCGCCGCACGCCATCCTCCGCTCGCTGGTCACCGCCACTGCCATCCTCCGTGCGCTAGACTCCGCCTCCCTCCTTGCATGCACCGCCGGCGGCGGCCATTTGGCCTCCGCATGCCGGTGAGCTCCCACGCCTCACAGGGCCCCCCTTCCTCCCTTCGCCCACGCGCTGGCCTCCGCCTTCCTCCCTGCGCGCTAGCAAGCTCCCGCTGCTACTTCCAGTGCGTCGTTGTTGTCAACGCGACGCCGCTCCCCCGGAGAGATGAATGGATAAGAATAAATTTAGGGATATGATGTTGTGTACTCAGGGGTATTTTTGTCACTTCAACACACACACGTTGAAAAATTGTGGTCAAATTAGTAGTTAGGCTTTAGAACAGTATCAAATAAGCAATTATCCCATTTAAAAGGTATGCTAAAACAGAAACTGGTATACCCCCTCCATCCAAAAAAAACCTAATCCTATCTACAAACCTGGACATATGCGTGTCCAGATTCATAGCTAGAGTTTATCTTTTTTTTGGACAGACTAGTATGATATATATCTTAATTAGAAAAGAACGAGAACTAAGGCCCTGATTAGTACCCACGCAAAAACTTTTTACCCTGTCACATCGAATGTTTGGATACATGCATGGAGTATTGAATATTGACAAAAAAAACTAATTACACAGATTACGTGTAAATTGCGAGACGAATCTTTTAAGCCTAATTGCGCCGTGATTTGACAATGTGGTGCTACAGTAAATATTTGCCAATAACGGATTAATTAGGCTTAATAAATCCGTCTCGTAGTTTACATACGGTATCTGTAATTTGTTTTGTTATTAGACTACGTTTAATACTTCAAATGTTTATCCGTATATCCGATGTGATATGCCAAAACTTTTCACCCCTGTAACTAAGGGGTGTAAAGTTTTGGCGTGTCACATCGGGTATTATATAGGGTGTCGCATAGGGGTGTTCGGGCACTAATAAAAAAACTAATTACAAAATCTGTGAGTAAACCGCGAGACGAATTTATTAACCTTAATTAATCTGTCATTAGCAAATGTTTAATGTAGCACCATATTATCAAATCATGAAGCAATTAGGTTTAAAAAATTCGTCTCACAAATTAGTTGCATTTTATACAATTAGTTATTTTATTAGCCTATATTTAATACTTCATATAGGTGTTCAAATGTTCAATGTGACATCGTCAAACATTTTTAGTTGGGACCTAAACAGCCCCTAAACAGGACCTAAAGCAAATAAGCCCTGGTTCGGCATTGGCAATTTGGCATATGCTTGTGTGAGCACCAAAGTGTATGTGAGGGCCGGCCAGCCAGCCAGTTGTCACCTGGCTGCAGGCAACTCGTTCAGTTAGCACTACTATATAATGCAGTTTTCTGCAAGTGTTACAGCTAGCATTGCTGCTTGAGGGCCAAAGGTCACGACTGAAACTCGAACAGATTTGGAACGGAAAGGGACGTACACATAGTACGTTGCCATCCCCCCCGTTGGGTTGCGTAAATGCGTAATGGCTGGTGAGATAACGCTCATGTTGCCATTGTTGACTTGGGTGGAGGAGGACAAACTGGCGATCGATAAAAATTTCTCCAAATCCACCAGCCAGCCCAGCCGACGGAGAAAAAAAACAGCAAAAGCTCGCTTTCGTCGCCCTCCCCTCCTCCCCGGCCCGGCGCGTGATTCCGGCACGGGCTGTGTGAGATGTACGAGACGTTTGCCGTGATTTCGCGTGAAAAGAGGGGGAGAAAACGGGTGTGTCGCGATGGGACGCCGGCCGGCCACCGGGAGAAGAGGTGGAACGGATCCACGATTTCGTGGCCTGACGTTGTACTGTCTGGAGTGAAGTGCAGTCAGCAGAACTGACCGTATGTTAAGAGTGTATTTGTGGTCATCCATTTTACAACGTTTGTATGTACTGGCCATTCTAGATGCTTTGGAATTTATAAAAAGAATTACTATTCAGGTAGCTATGATGCGTCATTAAGGGTGTGTTTGAGACGAGAAAAAAAATACACAAAACAAGGTAAGCCATTGATTAATTGACTATTAATTATTTATAATTTAAAAAATAGATTAATATAATTTTTTAAAATAATTTTTCTATAGATTTTTTTAAAAGATTCATTTAGTAGCTGGGAAAACGTGTGCGCGAAGAACGAGTAAGTTTTTTTTCTCTTAATCAACGCCGCCGAACACAGTCTAAGTTGATTCAACTACTTCATCTGTTCCTGAATATAAATATTTTTATATTCAAAATTTATATAGGAATATTTTTTTAATGACTTGCATCAAACAGTGTGGAGTTGATATTGATAGAGCGGAAAAAATTTACAGTTTTGCAATATATTTGCCAACAAATTTTCTTCTAAAAATTTAACATATGTAATAATCGCAGTGTAATTATACTGTAACTTGCATGTAACTTGTATGTAACTTTCGAACTGCTATATTTGTTTCAAGATTTGTACAAGTGAGGAAGGAAAAAAATCATGCCACGCACACATGTGTGATGTGAGGATTCGTTCTCAGGACATCTGTTTCATCGAAATAGCATGTTACAGAGAGATTTTTGAAATCTATATACACGTACATTGTAGTTACATGCAAGTTACAATATAATTACTTTATAATTGTACTATAATTATATTTGTCAAATTTTTAAAGAAAATTTATTGACAAGTGTATAGGTGATCCCAAAATTTATACAAGAATATAAACATGTTTGAGACACTGATTCTAATACAGGCAAGTTCAAACATTTTCATCCAATTATGTGTTTACAAGGGAAATCCTAGTAATTTAAAATTTGGAAAAAGAGTTAACTAAAAGGTTTTATTTTCTTAATTTTAAACTTTGTAAAAGAAGCTAGAAATGCTTGTGTGTATTTAGGAAAAGAGGGAGTATAGAGTTTTGGTAAAATTCATGCATTCTAACTTCTAAACATGGTTTACCATTTATATAGTAAAAACATATGATTCTGGCATGAATTGAAGTGTAAAACAGAGGATTGCAAAATACAGGAATGGTCGTTTGATTAGAACACAGGAAAAACACTAAAATCGGATGAGAGAGATTCAAAGGAAATTTTCCAAGAGGTTTGGGCCCCTTTGAATCGCAGGGTAGAAAAAACGGAGGAATAGGAAAAACACAGGATTCTGACAGGATTTGAAATGTAAAACAGAGGATTGCAAAACACAAAAAAAACACAGTAATGGTCGTTTGATTGAAGCGTAGGAAAAACGCAGAAATCGGATGAGAGAGATAAACTCAAAGGAAATTTTCCAAGAGGTTGGAGCTCTCGCTAATTTTCCTTCAAAATTCACATGTAATGTACCATTCCATAGGAATTTCATAAGATTTAGAAAGCTTCAATCCTTTGAATCAAAGGGCCAAATAGGATAATTTCCTATAGGATTTGAATCCTATGAAATTCCTACATAAATCCTTTGATTCAAAGGGACCCTTAAGCTCTTGCTAAATTTCCTCTAAGATTCACATGTAATATGTTATTCTATAGGAATTTCATAGGATTTGGAAAGATTCAATTCTTTGAATCAAATGGCTAAATAGAAAAATTTTCTATAGGATTTGAATTTTACGAAATTACTATATAAATCCTCTGATTTCAAGGGCCCTAAATATCTCTCTTTTTTTCAAAGGAGGACAACTAGAAATGCTCAACGTGGTGGCATTCGGGTTAACAAATTCGATTCGATTTGTGTGGGTTCAAAACTTCAAATGCGATCCCAGATGTAAGATGATTTCGAGCGAGATTCGAGTAATTGTGTAGCGCAAACCTGAAATGACATGGAATTAATCAAAATCTCTAAATTTTCTCATTTCTGACAAGCTAGTACAGTACACTCCTACTACTATCAAGTACAAACGCGTCTCCGATAAATCAAATTCAAATTCAAATTCGAGTCGTCTGCAGTTGAGAAATCAGAACTGATGGTGGCGGATGGATCATGGATGGGATGGCCGGATCACGTACGGATGGGAGCGGATCATTCGTCGTCGTCGTCGTAGACGACGGCACAGTCGTCGGCGAGGGGATTGTGGGAGCAGAAGGGCTCGAGGGGGTCGTCGGCGCCCTGGGCGATGCGGCGGCGGAGGTCGGCCTTCGCCTGGCTCACCTCCTCCACCTCGTCCCACGCCACCCGGCACCCCGCATCCCCGGCGGCTTCCCCGGCGCACGCCTCCGTTGCCTCCGCCACCTTCCGCTCGATCAGCTCCGACAGCGCCGCCTCCTTCCTCGCCGTCCCCTTGTACCTCCACTTCACGGACGCTATTACCAGCCGCCGCCTCCGCTGCCGGTGTGAGATCGGCCGGACGGACGCGGGCGATCCGAGCGTGCGTACTCCGGCGCCGCCGCCGCCGCCGGCCAGGGGAGCCGCCGCGGAGAAGAGGGAGGAGAGAGAAGGCGACGCCATGGTTAATGGTGAGAAGTGAGCGTGCGTAATTATCAAGGATAGGGAGGACTAATCTAGAAAATGTACACCTCATCGTTGTGCCAAGGAGGTCGGAGTTTACAAAGCTGCCTCATCACGAGAGAATCGATAAAGTTTTTAAAAATAGAGGCATGTTCACTTTGATAAAAAAAAACTTTATCAAATTTTAGCATTACCGAAATTTTAGCAAGTATGCTAAAATTTTGGTAACTTACTAAAATTTTGGCAGTATTTCTTATATAGTTACCAAAATTTGGCAGCAAACTAAATGTAGCCCTTTTTTGGCAACTTTACCAAAATTTGATAAGGTTAAAAATGGCATCAAAGTGAACAGGCCCTAGGACTATGGATAAACTTTCAAGGGGCGAAATTTGAATATTTTGAAGAGAATGCATTTCGTAATTTTGGTAGTTCGAAATCAACATGGCAATTCATAAAAAAGAGCATTAAAAAAATCCATCTTTGCCGAAAGAAAATAAAGTCTTAGAATGAGAAAAGCATGTCTCATATTTCTTCTTCACAATGCACAAGTATTATGGGCTGATGGTGATCCATGTCGAAACCAACAATTCTTGCAGCCTCATAAGAAGCCATGTAATTGGCACAATCCTCTTCATGAGTTCGTGCATCAAGAGCTCAGAACTGCAAACACAAGGCCTCTTACTTGACATAATCTTTTTTTTTTTTAGCTACAAATGATGTGCATAGGGAGATTAGCCCAAAAGAAGCCAACAGACAAAACCGTGATACCGATGGGGCTTAAAATTTAGTGGTCAACCGGTAATATAAACCCTGATCTGTTGTGCGAACGGATGAAATTATAGGTCTCGCATTTAAGAACATAGCTGCTAAAATGAATTTCGCCAAGGATAACGGACTGAGTTTTCAGAAGCAATTTGTTATTTGTAGAGAAGATCAGGATACAGCCAGTTCACTATGCGATCATGTAAACAGGCCTGCTCGGTCACGGTAAATTCAAAAAGTGTAGCTTCAGCTAAAGATAAACCTAACAGGCCGTCCAAACAAGGCAACACATGTAAATTACAACAAAACATTTTTGCTCCCGTTCTACGTCTCACTGCCGCATCCTTTGTTGCAAAATGACCGTACTGATATCATGAAAGAGGAATTGTTCCAGAGCGTGTAGCTCCAGGAGCCCCTTATGCAGCTACCCTCAATTTCTGTGTCTTCACCTTCAACCTTTCCATGAATTGAGCATTGGCCTTAAGTCTGTTTTTAACATATGCATTTCTAGCATCATCAGCCAACTTATTGGCCTTGTTTGCATCTTCTACTACAGCATACAATGTCCTCAAGCAATCTTTCCTGTTCTCTTCCCGATGCTCAAACCTGCGGTATTAATCAAATACTTATCAACAATTTCTACAGTGCCACTATATGCTGATGGTAAGATCATAGCACTCTGAAGAACAAAACGGCTCAATGTCATCAATATGTATAAAAGCCAAACAAATACATGACACAATAAAATCACACATCCTGCCAGTAATAGTGGTTCACCACCTTTGCTTAGATCATTGAGACAAAAGGCATCTCAAGAAAGAATGCTATTATTACTATAATACTAAAAAACACTACAGCATAGTAAGATTCTATCAGAACCCAACATACCTTCGGACATTTCCCAAGCAACAAGCACAACTCAATAAGAAGCTTGAATAATTAAGTTGGCAACTTTAAAGAAACCTAACTACCAAATATACAGCAGATGCAAAGTCTGCCGAATTCCCCATATTTCTCCTGTGTAATATGGGCATGCATGTATAACAAACACAAATCCATGTATCTACCCAGCAACCAGGAAACATAAGGTTCCAGAACTAGAATATTTTCAACAAAAAAAGGAAATAGAACTATACAATTTACGAGAATTTATACTCCTCTATTTGCCTGTTTTGCATTTGATAACAGAAAGTAAATTTGTAAACTCCGTCCTGACATTATGTATAGTTCAACACCTTGACTCGGGATATAGCTCAATTTGTCAACAACATTGCTGTATGTGATATACCGCACAATTAAATTAGCATAATATACAAAAGCTGCAAGCAGGAAATCTATCATACCTTTCACTAGTTATTGTGAGTTCATCTTTTCCAGAATTGTACCTATTCCCAACAACCTCACGTAAACGTCGGAAGGCATGTCGTGAAAGTCCCAGCTCTTTGACAGTCACACTGAGTTTAACTTTCCTGTTTTTGGGATGCCATGCATCACCTCCAGGAGCAAAGACAATACGTGACTCCCACCTTAGAACAGGTCCCTCACCAGGTGGATCGTCCAACTTAACACTCTTATTTTCCATTTTAGAAAATTCATCCACGTCAGTTGGGTTCTCAGCTTCCATTAGTTCTGTGCACTCTGAAACCATCTTATCCTCAAACTCTTTGAATAATTCATAAGCCTGCTCAGGTTCAAGCTCTCCCTTCTCACACATGTCCCCCAACTCATTAAATTTGGCCTCCACCTTCTTTTTAATTTCATCTGGACAAAATATAGTGTTTAAAAAATACAATAAAATATGATAAAAGAAGTGCAGGGAAAAAGGAACAAAGGCCCCTAGCTATACAACAGTTATTAGTAATACAACATTACAATAAGATTACTGAACCATGCATGAATTGAAGAGTAGAACAACAGGTCCATATGCAAGAGCCAAGTTTGAAACCTCCTAGTTCCTTGAACAATCAGTACTGTTTAGTTAAACACAAGACTGGTTCCACAGGGCTGCTTAGATAACGTGTTATGTTTAACTTAGATGTTCTACCACAGCCTGGATGGCACGAATAAGTGGGACAAATTGGTCGCAATAACCGCCTACAAATTGGCCATGTAGTTGGGTGTTTGTGGCAAGATCAACATTTTTTTCCCTCTATTTATTGTGCTGGGGTGGAGTACAACTTAGGCATATTATCAACCAATGCCGCAAACGATTCAAGATATCGAAACCACACTGTGAATCCAGGGGGGCGGCGGGAGACCTGGCACTCATTTTGCATAATCTAGCTAAATAGTAGTAGTTAATAGTTGGAAAAGATAGATAGTTGTCACTCATTTTGCCATAATCTAGCTTTTGTGTCTTTTTCTGTTTGTCTAGACTTTTAGATCGAATGATTTTATCACTGCTTATGATCTAACTGCTCAAAAGGCTAAATTAAAATAAATAAATATATGCAGTCTCTTTTGAACTTCTGTCTTTTTATGTTGATATGATATATTACATTTGGGGAACCTTCAAATTCACGTATATTTTTTACTCTTTTTTTAATCATGATCACTTATCAAGTTGGCCCCCCTCATGCCTAAATCCTGGCTTCACCACTGTCAGGCTACCTTCAGGCATTACTTTTTCTCATGCAGATAACAGTCACCAAACATGTCCTAAGTATCATTAACTTTATGTATAAATGTTGCATGGTCTTTTCACATAATCACATGCAGGAATAAGGAATGGCCGATACATAGTACATGTAAACAAAAAGATTCACCTAGTATGGAGACTTCTGTTGCTTAAACAGGAAAAGTGGTCCATAGAGAAGGCCAATGTCCAGGTAACTGATTCAGCAAAAGTTTTTTAAAAAATAGAAATCCCAGGGACGCAACAATTTCTTGGGTTTTCATTATGACTTCAACCAAGAGGTTGAGTTTTGCCCCCTAGCATAGGACTGCAGCAATATTCTACAGGTTTTGCAATCTACAGATTCCCATCTCAAACCCACCTTTTCTAATGAGATGGCATTCTAGTCAGTATCTTTGTAAGCTGAAAATGCCCAGAAAACCCCACTCTTGGATATGCACCGTGAGTCTAAAGAGGTCCAACTCTACAGTATACACACCAAGTCATGGAGTCCTTGAAAGCTTCTGATGACAGCTCCAATAATGGCGCAGGAATGAACATATGCTTGCATTTTTGTTCAAGAAAAAAGTGCTAAAACCAACTGGGCAGCTATGTTCATTCCTAGAAATGAAGGGAACTCGTAACTCACAAGGCCTTTATATCTATATTGTTGCAGGTAATCATGTGCTGGTACTAAGAGGAAGCCAGTCAGATATAGTTGAGAATTGATGTAAAAGCTAGACACGCTACGGTTCAACATACACACTTTAGATAGGTTCAGAATGGGTGCTTATGCTCATAGCTTCTATCCTGAACAATCCACTAGACTGAATACACTAGCATGTGCTACTTGCATAAAGAGTGGTCTATATGTAAAGTCAATCACTTGCTAACCAATTGATCTAAGGGGTGTAATGGATCACCCCATCCTAGGATATTTTATGGGATGATCCTGTAATTCTGTAGGGATGGTCCTAATCCACTTTTTTCTACTACCTTTGTACTCACTAGAGATGAGGTAGTAACACACCAGCTAAGTCCATTGCACAAACTGAACAAAAGCATGAGCAGTGAGTTGGTAGCGTTGAAAATTTCAGTATTGGTATGTAGAACATTTGGAAGTGGAATGGCCAAACGTTTGGTGGCAAAAAACCAAGCTTTTTGGCATGACAAATCCACTTTAAAGGACACTTTAGGTATGTTTAGAGTAAAAAGAACAAGACAACCATGGAAAACATGGCTAGACAACATAATTTGTAATGGATAGCCATTACTCATACTGCCCTTCTGGTCATAAATATTTCACTATTCCATCCAAAGGAAAGGAATGATTTCTTCTTAGGACTAACCCATTTCTTGAACTAAAACATCCCATCACAGCACAAGAACCCAAACTTGCTGGCCATGAATAACCAGGTAGAAAGGAATACGACATCCCAGCAAACAAGAGCTTGCATCCAACCCTCCACAGCATAACATATAGTAGAAAGATGAGAGGAAATTGGATATTTCCCAGATTGTAGACCATAATCTACCGTAGTATAAAATACCATCCCAAGTTGCCATGACTACCTGGGCATTGTAATTTCACTGATTTGTGACAACCAACCTTAAAACTTACTTTGAATACCATTAAACAGTTTTTTTTTCGACGAAAAAACAGCAGGAGAGGCTCCTGTGATTAGATTAATAACCAGAGGTATATTTACAAGAATACCATTAAACAGTTATAATCCAATAAGTTAATCTAAATTCTCCCTAAATTAAGGAAATATTTCAACCACAATGAGTTGATACAGATGACAAGGTAAACCAAAAATAAATAAACTAACAGTCACAGTATCAAACCAAGTGTCCTAGCTACTTTTAGTGGAGCAAATAAAGAATTGTGTTTGGAGAAAAGTTTTACTTCACACCTATTCACAAGAGAAAAGAGTGAGGGTGGGAGACAGATATGACTGACCAGGTAATAGTTTGTCCCAGTGGAGCATGTCCTCCAAAATATTCTCACATTCGTTCATATTACCGAGGTGGCCATTATCCACAGCCTTCTTGATCATCTTATTCCACTTGTCGTCATCCATATTAAAGAACTCGTCACTCTTGATCTTTTTCTCCACATACTGTCTGGCGTTGTACAAGTTGTCCAGCTCCTCATCAGTATCGTGCATCTCCTCAAAGTCGGACTCAAAATCCCTGTCACGAACCTCAGGGAGTGGTTTGCTGCGCAGCTCCTCGATAAGTTCATCGTCCGTCTCGCTGTGCACATCCGCAAGCTTCCGCTCAAGAACAGCCTCTGTGACAGATGGTAGTTCTGCCTCATCGTCCACCCCATAGTAAGTTTCCAACCGCCGCTTCAGCTCTGCAGTCAGAGTTATCGTCATGGACAAATCAAACAGGCCATTTCCGTGCCACAATTAATATTACGGCATAGGAAGATGAAGAACCACGCGAGACTATCTTTGCTCTTTTTTTTTTGCGAACATGCAAAAAGATTGCACGTCAATATATTAGAAGATTACACGACGCAATCAGCCAGACCCGTTTAGGCTATGGGAAGGGAGAAAAAGCAAATGAAAAAAAACTGAAGCTTAGAGAAACTACGGTGGCTAAAAACAGACTTCAAGCAGCCGGAAGGGGCAAGCCACGCTAGACTCCCAACAAGACTATCTTTGCTTAGGAAGCGAGGAAGCATCCAGCAGGGAGGCATTAAACCGAGCAGGTGCAGACTCCGATCTCATCATCAACAGGGGGACCAATTCCGACAGGTGCAAGCAAGGGAATGTTGTTAACAGCTCATTGGCATTTCGCCGAGCAGATGGTTGGAGACGAGAGAAGGTACCTTTGTTTGGGACGTCGGCGGCGGGCGGAGGCGCGGCGTCGTCGGAGAGGAGGCGGCGGGAGAGGAGGAAGGGGAGGCTAGTGGTGGTTGGGGGTCGAGATGGAGGCGGGGAAGGGATGGCGCGGTGGGAGAGGCGGTGGAGGTGCGTCACCAAGCGCCTCATTGCGGCGGGGAAGAGGGGGGAAGAGCGCCCAGGCGCCGGAAGAGAGGAAGGGGGTTTAGGGTTACCACTTACCAGATGAAGCTGGGCCGGGTCGTCAATTGGACACGAGGAGGAGGAAGGAATGAGAGATTTGATAATTTAGACAGTTTAACACTCATATGGTCCTATATGTCATTATCATGAGTGTCAATTAAAGTAATTAGACAACGAAAAAAATATCAAATTATCAAAATTTTCGGAGGGAGAAGATGAAAGGAAGGTCGCTCGCGACGGGGCGGGGCGGCGGTGACCGATGGAGGCGGCGAAGGAGGAGGATGGGAGAGGGGGAGGGGAGGCGGGCGGCAGCGGCTAGGGTTAGGGGTGAGTGGACCGGCGGTGGAGGAGGAGGATGGCTGAGGGAGGGGCGACGGCGGCGCGAGAGGGAGATGGGAAAATTTTGATAATTTGACACTTTTTTTTTGTTATCCAATTGCTTGAATTGACACTTGTGAGGATGACATGTGGGACCATCTGAGTGAATGAAAATGGGCTAGGATGTCAAATAATCAAAACCCATTTAAAGGAGTGTTAAATTATCAAATCTCTCGGGAGATGGAGGAGAGGAAGCGGGCGGCGGCTAGGGTTGGGGGGTTGGTGCGCGTATTCTTGCGAAAAAGACTCTCGGCTTTCTATTTTACAGCGCGGTCCTAACACGTGATTTTTCCCTCCTTCGCATGAAATATCCATTTTTATAAGGGCTTCCATGTAAAATAACACCTCACAAGTACTATTCGCGAGGGACGGTATTCGATTACACGCGAAGCGGAGGTCTTTTTTTTTTGCAAAATTTGCAGCGTGCCTGAGACGCCGGCCTTAAGAGCATTCTATGGCCAGCAGCTCCTCTATCCAGTCCTCCATCCCGTTTTTGGCGCATGGAGGTGAATAAACTACGCTTCAGCAGAGTCTCCATCACACACGCTATCTTTGGAGGTCCTCCAAACCAAGCCCTTCCCAAGCCAAATATAATGGTTCTCTCTCCTCACGCCATCCTCCGACTACCCACCTCTCAATCGAACTCGCGCCACCATCTTGACTGCATACCGCCAGAGAGTAACTAAGTAACTATAGAGAGGAGGTGCATACCGGATTTGAAGGTGGAGATCACCGGAGTAGAGCGCGAAGAGGCGGCGGATCTGGCAGCGAGGTCGCCGAAGTGCCCCGCCATCCTCGCAACCAGCGATGCTCGCAATCCGCGCTGCCCCCGCCATCCCCGCCATATTTCACCTGTGAGGTGTTATATCCTATTAGATGTGAATATAGATTATGGAATTTGGATGAGCTCTTGGGATGTTCTAAAAAGTAAAATTTGTGGTCATCCATTTTACAACGTTTGTATGTACCGCCATTCTAGATGCCTTGGAATTTAATAAAAAGAAAAAGCAAACTATTCCGGTACCTATGATGGGTAATTGAGAGTGTGATTGAGGGGAGAGAATACACAAAACAATGTAAGCCATTAGCACGTAATAGTTAGGTATTACTCCCTCCGTTCTAAATTTCGTTCTAAATTATAGGACGCTCTCTTTTTAAGGAAAATAAACTTGGTAAATTTTGACTAATAATCATACTAACCATATATATAAATTAATGACTTTCTATACATCACTAGATTTATATTTTAAAGAACTTTCATGTGATGCTAATTTCATATTTGTTGGGAACATAATATTGAATAAATTAACGGTTAAAATATATTATTGAAGGCCGTGTAAAAAATATAGGTATTATAATTTGGGACGGATGGAGTAATTATTTTAAATTCGAACAATGGATTAATATGATTTTTATAACAATTCTTTCTATATATTTTTATATAACAAATGATCCGTTTAGCAATTTGGAATATGTGAAGAACGAGGGAGTCTCGATCTACTGCTGTCGAACACAGCCTAGGTTAAAATTCAACTACTTCATCTGTTCCCGAATACAATTACTTTTATATTCAAAATTCTCTTACGAATACAAACATGTCTAAGACACTGATTCTAATACAGTCCAAACATTTTCAACCAATTAGGTGTTTACGAGGGAAATCCAAGTAATTTAAAATTTGAAAACAGAGATAACTAAAAGGGATTTTATTTTCTTAATTTTAAACTTCGTAAACAAGCTAGAAATGCTTGTATGTATTTAGGAACAGAGGGGAGTATAGAATTTTGGTAAAATTCATGCATTCTAATTTCTAAACAAAGTTTACCATCGATATATCGGTAAAAATTTAATAGATCCAATGCCTTCTTTTTTTAGAGGACAACTAGAAATGCTCAACTTGGTGGCATTCGGATCGGACTAACAATTTCGATTGGTGGAGGTTCAAAACTTCAAACGCAATCCCAGAGGTAAGATGATTTCGAGTAATTGTGTAGCTCAAACCTGAAATGACATGGAATTAGGCCTTGTTTAGTTAAAGAAAAATTTTTGGGTTTGGTTATCATATTGGATATACGGACAACACATTTAAAGTATTAAACATAGTCTAATACCAAAACAAATAGACTACCAAAACAAATTACAAATTCCCCCGAGAAACTGCGAGATGAATTTATTAAGCCTAATTAATCTATCATTAGCAAATATTTTACTGTAACATTATATTATCAAATTATAGCGCAATTAGACTTAAAAGATTCGTCTCGTAATTCAAATGCAATCTGTGTAATTATTTTATTTTTTATATTTAATACTTCATGTGTCAGACCATTTGATGTGACAGAGTGAATTTTTTTTTGTTGGAACTAAACACTAAACAGCGCCTTAATCAAAGTCTCTAAAATTCCCCATTTCTCACAAAGCTAGTACACTCCTGCTACCAAGTACAAGCGCGTTCAGAAATCAGAACTGCTGGTGGCGGATGGATCATGGATGGGGATGGCCGGACCACGGATCGGATCGGATCATTCGTCGTCATCGTCGTCGTAGACGACGGCGCAGTCGTCGGCGAGGGGGTTGTGGGAGCAGAAGGGCTCGAGGGGGTCGTCGGCGCCCTGGGCGATGCGGCGGCGGAGGCCGGCCTTCGCCTGGCTCACCTCCTCCACCTCGTCCCACGCCACCCGGCACCCCGCCTCCCCGGCGGCTTCCCCGGCGCACGCCTACGTCGCCTCCGCCACCTTCCGCTCGATCAGCTCCGACAGCGCCGCCTCCTTCCTCGCCGTCCCCTTGTACCTCCACCTCACGAACGCCACCACCAACCGCCGCCTCCGCTGCCGGTGTGAGCACAGCCGTACGGACGCGGGCGATCCGAGCGTGCGGACTCCGGCGGCGGCGGCCGCGGAGAAGAGGGAGGTGAGAGACGGCGACGCCACGGGTAATGCTGAGAAGTGAGCCATGCGTAATTATCAAGGATAGGGAGGACTAATCTAGAAAGTGTACACATCATCATTGGGCCAAGGAGATCGGAGTTTACAAAGCTGCCTCATCAAGTCATCATCAGATACCTTTAATTTTTTTTCTCTCTTTTTTTTTTAAAAAAAAAAGGACTATGGATAAACTTTCAACGGGCGAAATTTGAATATTTTGAAGAGAATGCATTTCGCAATTTTGGAAGTTCGAAATCAACATGGCCATTCATCAAAAAAAAAACATAAAACAATGCATCTTTGCCGAAAGAAAATAAAGTCTGGCAACGAGAAACGCATGTCCCAAATTTCTTATTCACAATGCACAAGAATCATGGGCTAATGGCGATCCATGTCGAAATCCTCTTGATGAGTTCGTGCATCAAGAGCTCAGAACTGCAAACACAAGGCCTCTTACTTGACATAATTTTTCTTTTTGGAGGTACAAATGATGTGCATAGGGAGATTAGCCCAAAAGAAGCCAACAGACAAAAACTTGGCAGACATGAGTACATGACACGAATTTTGTTTTAAAGCCTGCAATATCAGTTTCGGTTGCAACAAAAACTTGTTGGCGTTTCCCTGTTCGGGATGCTAAATACAGTTACACAGTGATACAAGACAAAAGATGTGATCAACTGCTCGCCGAGCCATCGTCCATAGCGCCTAAATTTAACTCTTCATCTGAGTCTATTACATCTTCAAAATCATAGTAGGGATTTGCCTGCACCCAAAAAATATTGTTCTAACAAGATTCTTTTTTTGGGTAGGTAAATCACACCATACAGCTACTTAATAGAATCAAGGATTACTCAATGATAAAATATCAAATGATAGGAATACAATGTACAGCGCATACCTTAGGTCGAGGTTTTACAGCTTCAAAGCTATGGAAAACAGGGGTGGAAAAATCTGGAGGATTGAGGACAATATATGCTCCACAATTGTTGTACCGGTCCTCTGAAGCCTGTACCAATAGACAATATCAAATATGAGAAACAATAGATATGATCAACCAATCATAAAATCAAATCGTTTAGCATGGAATGCCCCAAAAAAAAGTTGAGTAGATTTTCACTTGTGGAATTCATATACAGTATAATGTTTCAATAATAAAAGATTATTTTCAAGGTGAACGGAAAATCATGTGACAGAGAATTACTTGGAACTGTGGATAATCTGGAGCACTGAAAAGAGTTATTAACTTTCCACATTCCACATGATGGTCAATTGTATATCCATTGTCCATTCCTAAAAGATCATGTCGTTTATCTCTTGCATCTGGACCCTCATGTGACCTGATGATTAACTTTGTTCAAATAAAAGAGGAAGTAAGAATATGAATTTAAAATGGACATAGTTGTATGACGGTGAATGGGTGCCTACTCCCTAGTAAAAATGTTAAAGGGACATGCTCAATGTGCTAGCCATTTTCCATACAAATATGCCAATTGATCAAGTTGGGAGGATATATATATCAGTAATCATTCTAAGTTAACACAAACACACAAATAATTAGAAGTTTAGAACCATCTAGCTCTTCAGCAACTGCATTCATGAATTGCAACATATGTGTTCTTTTGTCCATTTTTTAAAGGAAGAAAATTGCTATGTTAGATTCATGCTCGAACTTATAGAAGTAGTTCTACCATATTCAACTAACCAGCCAAAGAACACCTAGAGCTAGACATTGTTGAGTGTGCAACAATCCAAGAAATGCAGCAAGACAGTATGCAATATCAAAAGGGAGTAATAAGCCATGATCCATACAGGTTCAATTTAACCCAAATTATTATGCAAAAGTGTTGTTCAGATGCCATGTTTTAGAAAAAAAAATCATTACGGAAAACAGATTTCTTAGGACTTTTAGGAAAAACAAGTTTTAGATTGCAGGAGGTGCACTTGTGCAGTTGTGCATGGTATCTGTCCTGCATATCCTGCATAAGAGTGATGCTCATTGTGTGTACCACAATATGCAATGAACATGCCCTTGGCCAACAAACATAAGTGCCCATTAGATCTGATGCATTCAGAGATTAACACTAAGTGTAACAGAATATATATTACTAAAAGCATCACTGCATAGATTTTTTGGGTAGTACTAATTTTAATTTGTTGGTATTGCCTACATTCACATCATGTATTTCAAATTGACAAAACAATCACTATGGATACAACAACCCTTTGGGTTAATTAGATTGGTTCCATGATAAATACAAAAAGGATCCAAACCAGAAACCATATATGTCCACACTTGGGAATAGCATGACACCTTACATATGGCGATGTTTTTGCACAACTGCCCTGCTTCTCTAATCTTTTCAATCTGACGAGATGTAGTATGGTGTAATTGTTGTATATCAAACATATTCAATACTGAATAGATAATGTACGGCAGATATAAAAGGTATGGAAATGTGACACTGGAAAAGAACCATGAACTATTCAAATTGTATTATAAGATGCAAACATTAAAGGACCATAAAAGCATAGCAATACTTAATAACTTAACAACAAAAATTCAGTTCACCAGATAGTTCTAATGATAAAAGAGATAATAAATGAGTGACAACAAACCTTTAAATTATTTGTATATAGAAACTGTTGAGTGATATCTGGACCCCAAAGCAAGCCAATGCCTCTTTCTTTATTTGAGGAAAGACCCATCTCCAAAGAAGGATCAGACCAAAGAACATCACCAGGAATCAAATTTGAGCCCTCCCATGGAGGGTCGAGAACAGTTCTCCTTGCTTTCAATAACTCATCCAAGGATCCGAGCTTCATCAAAGTTGGATCAACAGAGGAATTTGCTTTGTATTTATTCCCCTTCTTTCCCTTTTTTGTTCTTTTTGATGGCATTACAATCGTCCCACGGAAAATCCCTCCATGAGCAGTGTAGACGCACCCTGCTATTATTGTTGCTAGAGGAAGGTCTTCAAAACATCTTAAGAACTTCCGATAAACTTGAGGACCTTGACCTTTGTATTTAAAATTTACCTCTTGTTCAAAACCATATACTGATGTACAGTACTTGGATTCATGATTTCCCCGCAGAAGGAACACAGAATTCGGAAGCAAAACCTAACAGATACAAAGCAAGTTTATGACCATTAGCTGATAGTTTAAATCCCCTGATTTCTGAAGATGGTTAGTTTAAAACAATTAACCATATGCTTCTTTGCTCTTGTGAAGATGGCTATGCATGCTAGTGTGCTAAAAAATTTCAACCTTTCATATATGTATGTATTACATTTACAGCTACAGGGTGTTCGGAATTGTGGTAATATTGTTGAATTTCATTTTAGGAATTGGAGCTCAGAATTTACTCTTAAGATAAATCTGGAAACCCATCTAGAGAGAACAAAACATATACTGGTCAAATGTCAAGTTCAATTGAACCAAAAGTTCATCCTATTTGAAAAAAAAATTGAAGCTATAATATCAGTACAAAGCATAACTAATATCTATGGCAGTGGATTTCCATCTATTTAATCAATTAAACATAACGAGGGAATGATGCCTTTAAAGCAATCTGCTTAACATAATGGAGTAGAATCAGGATGAAGGATCCACCTTCCAAGCCAGGAGGAGGAGGAAGGTCTCGAGTCCCCAGGCGCCGCGGTCGACGTAATCCCCATTGAAGACGAAGACGCGGTCGTCGGAGGGGAACCCGGCGTCCCGGAGCAGGAAGATGACGTCGTGGAGCTGGCCGTGGACGTCCCCGACCACGACGACGGCCTGGTCGGGCCGCGGGTCCACCCGCACGAGGTTGGGCTCCCGGTGCAGGATGACGGAGGCCGCGAGGACGAGCCGCTGGACGAGCGCCGCGGGGAGCACGTCGGGGAGCCGGTCCGCGGGGAGGCTGCGGGAGCACCAGTCCAGCGTCGCCGTGAGCCCCGCCACCCACTCCCGCGTCAGCGCGCCGTCCTCCGGCCACGCGACGGGCGGCGGCGGCGGGTTGGGGGACGGGGAGGGGGAGGGGTCGTCGGCGGCGGCGTCCGGCTGCGACATGGCATGGATCGCCGTCGCCGCCGTCGGATCGGGAAGGGGGGGAGACGCTGTTTGCTTGCAGTGGGGTTCGAAGCTGACGCGGCGGCCAAAGCGAACGAAACAGAAGAAAAGAACGGATTTGCTATTTTATTTGCGATAGCTTTTTGAGTTTTTGTATCTTTCGAGTTTTTGTTAGCAGAATCCTTGCGTCAAAAAAAAATCAAGATTCGTGTTTTTTAATCTACTCTCTCCATTTCAGGTTACAAGACGTTTTGACTTTGCGTTAAGTTTGATCAAGTTTATAGAAAAAAGTAGTAACATTTTCAACCCAAGACAAATTTATTATGAAAATATATTCAATTATTGATTTGACGAAACTAATTTAGTATTATAAATATTATTTTATTTATCTATAAACTTAGTTAAATTTAAAATAATTTAACTTTGACTAAAATCACGTCTTGTATCCTGGAATGGATGGAGTAACTTGCAGTTACATCCAGTTACAGAGTACTTATATTTAGATACAATGTATCTGAATTGGATTTTTACGGTTGTTTTTGTTTATAGATTTATGGTTTTTTGACATGTTTGTTTCTCTTTCTTTTATTTCATTCAAACAGTCTATGGAAAAATTGGTACGAAAAAGGAAAAAGGAAAAGCAAAGGGTAGCGTGGCCGCGTGAGCTAAAGAGAGGAGAAAAGGCCAAAAGGGAGACCTGCCATTTGGTTTGAGACATCAAAGTTTCAACGGTTCTCAATGTTTGCTGCTGAATCTTCCAAATGCCAATGCTTTTTTTAAACGAAAAGGTTGTTGAATCTGCCAATTACGCTATATTTTCAATGGTTAAGATATCCAGATTAGACGTATTCAAACTGACAATAGTTGGAACACTTCTTACTTTCACATAAATATTTATCGGTTGACAGTAGCAGAAGTTCTGAAAGATTTATTGCAAACAGAAAAAGGCAGATGTATAGTAGTACTATAGCACAAGTGCACAACCCACCGACGACTGTGCGTGTCTGTGTGCGTTGCTGTTTCTTAAACATGTAAACATCTATGGCTAGCAAAACCATACAAAGATGACCCTATTCTGAACGCATTTACATTCCTCTTGTCCAGCCAGTTTAGGCAAACTGCATCCAAATACACACTAGTGAACTCAACACTGTCCAGTTCTGGTTTGGTTGCATGTAGAAGCAACGAATTTATGAAATGTTTCATCTTGCAGCATCAGAACTGCAGTAAGATCATCCTCCTTGTCATGTTGCCCCGAAAACTTGTATGGAGTGGGGCGTTTTGGTACAATATATTCTCAGATGTGCTAGTTGTCAGATTTTGTAGGATCCTTCTTCTTCCCATAAATTAGGCCAGTATCCTGGTCATTACACAAAGTATTAGCATAAGGAAATAGTTCAAATGACCTGTTGTGGAACAATTTGTTGCTGTCTCAGATCGAGAGTAGATGCGGCGAGGCTACCTGGGGGTCAGGAATTGGCTTTCGTTTCTCAACATAACGGTAAGGATCCGAAGCAGCAGCCAGCGCAGCTCTCTCCTGCGGGGAAACACATCATTTTTCGAGCCAATGGGAGAACATAACCAGATTTAACAAAAACAGAAACTTGGGAAGAGAGAAGGAACAACAAACAAGGGAACAGCAGTGAAACATTCAGGCAATGTTCCACCAGTAACATATTCAGTGAAATGAAAGGCAGCCAGATTATGACCGTGAGATATCATCGATAAGAGAAATATAGCTGCCCAGTTATTCTTTTTGTTAGAGAAAAGACAAGAGCATCCGTTCTCTGAGTTTGTTGCTTTGACAAACCATGTTGTCTTAGTACAAAACTGTTAGCAGTTAACCGATGCTTCAGAACACAACTTTAGATAGTTCGATGGATAGTACTATTTTACTCTAAAAAAAGCCGAAGATAGACTCCTATCACCGAACTGAACATGTTCTACTAGACAAGATGAACCCACATGAGCTATTACAACATTTATGTTCGGGTTTAGTGCTTGTTTGTGTCTAGCTAGTACTTTCTGCAATATTTCTCCAAGAAAATCCATTGTATCTCTCATGTTCCAAAGTCAAAATATGACTATGTAATCTCTGAAATTTTTTTTAATCAGCTATTAACACCATTAGTTTCACACTATGGGTATAATAAAAGCAACAACAGTAACTAATACAATTATCGTGAATGAGGATCAGCTGCTACGGATGCTCAGAGCAAGAACATATACACACTAATAGCTGCACATTAGCCGGTAAAGTGAGCGATCCCACAACAATTAGCTAGAGAAAATACTGCACAACGCTTGTTAACCAGAATCTCGCCATGCCGAAAATCCATAAGCACACACGCATGATTTACCCAGTTGCCGGATTCGATCGAACAGGGGCATGGACAGGAGCAATGTGCAGATGTGAGCAGCAGCACACACAAACCCCCAAATCACGAATCCAAAGCACCAATCGATGCGAGCTCGAGCTACGCGCGAAACACAGGGCTAGGGATATGGGGAAGGGAAGTGGGGGGGGGGGGGAGCTGACCTCCTGCTCCTTCTGGAGCTGGCGCGCCGGCCTGACCCAAAGGTAGTAGGCGAGGGTTCCGGCGACGGCCCACGACGCGAGGTTACTCCACCCGCGGAGCCCGCCCAGCGCGTTCCCCACGAACGACCTCGTGTTCCCCACCGTCCGGCTCCACCCCCTCCCCGCCGGCGCCATCTCCCTCCTCCTCTCTCGCTCCGCCACTCGTCGCCGACGACGACGACGCCGCCTCTCTCGCTCGTCGGCAGTCGGAATTGGTCCGCAAGAAAGGAACCCGCGGCTCGTCCTAACGCAGTACGAGATCTCTTCCGTGTCGGCCCATGAATCGGCCCATAGGGTGCGGCCCAGTGTTATGGCTACCGAAAGAGATTGGAAGCAACCAGCCCATGAGCCCATATTAGTAGTATATTTTACGGGCCTTTGAATAAGTCCATTTCCATTCCTCGTCTCTCCGTCGGGTTTAAATCGTATCCCTAAACTACAATACTACTAGAAATCGTGACGCCTAACTTACAAAACCGGGTTAAATTAGTTTCCATGGCAGTATGGATGGCTGGTTTTACAGACATAGCATCCTAGTTGGCAAAAAGGAAAATAAGAAAATGTGTAGGACCCATGTGTCAGCGAAACATATCATCCTTACTTCATTCTCTACCCCTCTCCTTTGGTTCTTGCTATTTGTCTTGAAGACGACAAGGACTCAGCGGTGGTGGCAAATGGCTCACCAACCCGTTGGGGGGAAGACGTCAATAGCCACCATAGGGTTGGAGCTCATGTCTCGCCGTTGAGCACTGACCGCTTCAAAAGGGGCATCGAGCCCCCGCCTCGATCCTTCATATCGAGTTACTACAACTTTAGAGGACCATCAAACCCCCTTCTTCCATCCTTTTCCTACGCCGTGACCCCATCCACTTCGGTCGCCTACTATCGCCGTAGCCTTCCCGCGGATGGCTAGCAAGCTCGAGCTCGTCGACTCCCTTGCCTCCTCTTCTTCTTCTTCGTCACTGTGGGCCACTGAAGCCTCCTCATTGCCAACCTCCCACTGTAGTTGCCATCTCTCGCGGACAGGCTCGTCGACCGCCGCCCCTCTCCCCGCGGGCTAGCTCCTGGGAAGAGATGGAAGAGGTGGAGAGATGAGGGAAGAGAAGGGATATGTTAGGAGAAGTGAAACTTCATTTACATGTGGTCCCATATGTTCTTTTAATTTTCTATTTGTTGATTAGGATGCCAGGTTAGCCACAACAACCATTCACACTGTTATGGAACTTGATTTGGATGGTTTTACTATATGTAGATTGAATATTTCTGGTATCATGGTTTAAGGGTAGTATCAATCAAACTCAAAAGAAAGATAAGGGACAACAGATAGACTTAGGTTGCGTTCGGGAGGAGGGGTGGCATGCAAACAAAGCATGTATTATTGCATAATTAACTAAGTATTTACACTTTTTTCAAAAAATAATTAATATTATTTTTTAAAATAACTTTCGTATATTTTTTTAAAAAACATATAATTTAACCGTTTGAAATACATGCGCGTAGAAAACGAGAGAGGTGAGCCTTGGGATGACCTGTGGGGTGTGTATTGCTGGCAGCCAGCGTCGATCGCCGATGACCCCACGGGCTGCGCCGCAGCGACGGACCACTCGTCTCACCGGCCACGAGTTGGGCGATCCTCCTCGACCTCGAGATCTGCGCTGCAGCGACGACGGATACGGTCGTACAGCACTACAGCCCGCGCCCCGCAGTGGGGGGCGAAACGAGTGGACGGCATCAACGCGTGCGTGCAGTACGGGAGGCACCTCCACCGCAAGAAAGCCCGCGCGCGGCCCCCGCCGGCGTACGTGGGGGCGGTCACCGGATCTCGCGAGATTTCCCTGCAAACGCCACGCCCCCTGCGCCCCCGCGGCCTCCACACTGACTCCACTGGCCATGTGCCATGCCATGCCGCTTGCCATTTGCCGCCGGCCGGCCGGCCAACGTGCGGTCACATGCCCCACACGTCTCACCGCCCCCGCCCGTGCATCGCCCCGTGCCTGCCTGCCTGCCTGCACGGTTGCTTCCGCGCAGAGAATCTCCATTAGACTAACAACACAAACAGCCACGCCGGGCGCGTCCCCGTGATGGTGATGTTTCTGCCTCGCTCGCTGCCGAGAACAAGCACCGGATCGGCTGCTGATCGCTGGAGCTAAACCAAACTAGTGGAGTACTTGACACGATTAACTTTTTAACCAATATTTAATTATTTATCTTATTTTAAAAATTTTGTGTAAATATAAAAATATTTAAGTCACGCTTTAAGAACATTTGATGATAAATCAAGTCACAATAAAATAAATAATAATTACATATTTTTTCAATAAGATGAATGGTTAAACATATCTTAAAAAATCAACGGCGTCATATACACCCTCCATCCAAATAAAAGCTATAACCTATCCTAACACAATGCTTGTCCTAACTTTATTGTCATAGGATAGATCACATCCTAGACTACTAACTCCTTCCCATATTACTTATCTTTTTGAGTTTTTGTTTGTCAATGTTTGATCATTCGTCTTATTCAAAAAATTTTGGAATTATTATTTATTTTGTTTGTCATTTGCTTTATTATTAAAAGTATTTTACATATGACTTATCTTTTTTTATATTTGCACTAATTTTTCAAATAAAACGAATAGTCAAACGTTGCAAATAAAAAGTCAAAAATATCATCTATTATGAGACGGAGGGAGTTTTTTTTTTTTACGCAGAGAGTATAAATTAGGCCTAGATCACTAGAGCTGAGGTGAGCCCGAGGACCATGGCCCATGAGGATCGGTTTCTCCACGTCATGCCAAATGTTCATCCAATTAGATATGCTAAATGTTTCCTGAAGGGACAGGGATGCGTGTGCACATACCACTACACACATATGCATACGTATTTCTCGACACGTGTTAATGCCTTGCAAGTGACTTGTGACTAGACGCTCGCGCACTACCTCTCACTATGAGCACACCAACTGAGCAACGCTCAATCCTTAGACATGCCAAATGTGAAATGTTCACCGAGTTAAACATGTCGAATTGTCGACTGTCGAGGATATAAACAATTTCTATTATTAAAGGAAAACCAGACATGCTAGTGAGGGAGATGATGATAGAGGCGCGTAAGAGTGTGACACTTCAACGTCTCGACCATTCATTCAGATCCCGGAATTGGCCAGAGAATCGGTACAAAAAGGAAAGAAACAGAGAGAGTTTCATACACAATGGAGAGGAGCCACTTAGCAACACATCTTTTTTTACAAAATTACCACATCACTAAGCTTCGACAGGGTTCTGAGTTCTGACCGACGAGGAAATAATGGAGAAAAACTACTCAAAAAAGGATTAAAACAAAGCGAAAGTAATTACTAAAGCAAAGCTGGAAAGTGGACAGCTTCGTGAAGCAACGAGGGAGGCCCGTCGTCCACCAGTAGTCCAGTACCTACCAACCATGGCCTATTTTATCAACATTATTGTTTATGAACACCAAGACCAAAGTTAGCCTCCCAGTTGTAAAATGGGGTCGATGACAGCACGCCGGAGAACGACCGGTTTCATGACTCAGCAGCAGACCGGCCAATACCACCAAACATCAAGAAATAAGTAGCACAAACCTCGGAACAAGAACTGTTTGTATCAGCATCAGCAGCCATGACGATGTCACCGTAAACTTCACTGTCCTTCACTTTTGTTTGATGAGCCCTTGACCTCTTAAGAAAGCCACCCATTTCACAGGACATGAAATTCACTTCATTCTGAATCTATCCATTTTTTCTTTCTTTCTTTCCAATGCAACGATCCAAACCTCGAACTACTAGGACTAGGAAATCACCTTGGACATGTCTTTGCTGGACCTGTTGTATTTCATGTGGCTCTTGACAAGCTGGCCTGCGGCGAGTGCAGATAGGAGGGACAGCTCCCCGGCAAGGACACCACCTGCCACCACGGTGGCCAGGAGCCTCGCGTTTGATCCCGGGGATTCCCTGTTCGCGCCTTTCACGCCGAGCAGGTCCAAGCAAGCAGCCTGTGACGCCAGCTGAGTCCCTCCCCCAACTGTGCCCACCTGCATTTTTCAAAAAGAAATGCAACATGTTAATCATTTTTGTACCTGATATGCATGCTTTAAGTGTCATTATGCAAGTATCTTAGGCAGCACACTGTCGGTATATGCTCTCAGAAACAAACAACAAACATGAAGAAGGATAGAATACGCGATCCCACCTCATCCTGACAAGGCACAACATCACAATAAGCGACTAGAGTTACGTTCAAAACCTGCTTGAGCCAGCGGGTTGCTAGGAAAATCAAGCAAGAAAGATTCCTTTTCGTTGAGAAGACATGGAAAAGATTTCTCTGATAAAAACAGCTGATTGAGCTGACGGAGAAGTGTAACCGTAGCCAGAATGCCGACCGTGTATAGCGAATGTAGAACAATAGGAAATATCGCAGTCTGTACCCTGTAGAGCTACGATAACGTGGAGGTCAGGTAAGGACATTTGAGCCTATATAATTTGGTTTCAACACATTTCATCAGAGTCAAGTGGTAACAGGGGGTGCAGTACTGGACACCATGGACAAGCAGGTTGAGATGGCAGTAAATCAATTTTGCATGATACCAACATTGATTATGGACAGAGTTTTGCTAAACGAAAACGGTCAACAATTCATGGCAAAGGATGTGCAAGCTAAGCATTAGCACACATTGGGGACCATAAGAAACGTGCAGAGCATTTCTTGCCAAATAAAAACCAAAGTAGGGGCCAACATATTTTAGGTAAAGTGTGTTATCAGCACAAAACCTGGATATGCTAACGCTTAACTATAAAAAATGATATTGTATGCATACCTCAATTGATGGCATAGTAACGGAGATGTGAAGGTCTCTGCCATCATTTACAGCTTCCAACATTGTGATGCAGTGAGAGCTTTCCACATTCTGGGCAGGATCCTGCCCAGTGGCTATGAAGATTGCAGTTACAATATTGCTAGCATGGGCATTGAAACCCCCAAGAGCCCCAGCAACAGCTGAACCAGCAAGATTCTTGATCACGTTGAGCTCTACCAACGATTGCACATTGGTCTTCAGCACCTTTTTGACTACATCCTCCTTGATTACTGCCTCACAAACCACAGATTTACCGCGCCCTTCGATCCAATTCACAGCAGCTGGCTTCTTGTCAGAGCAAAAGTTACCTGGTTTCATAAGCTTAAGATTAATGGAAGAACATGAATCATGAAAATGTGGTAGAAATTTTCAGCCTGGTTTAGAGTAGCCTGATGCTGTGCAGCCTAGAGTTCAGACCAACAACCCTGTTGTTGATCATGTCTGTACCCTGTAGCCCTTTCTCAACCTCAATAAATTCAGCCGGTCCAACAATAAATATATTTATTAGAAGATATTGAACATTGGGTTGTATTCGGATATTTGACAGGCACACTTGGTTTTACTAATCAGGTTCATATTGTTGAGTTATATGCTCTCTGTTAAGTTAGTGAAGTCAGTTATATACTAGTACAGCCAAATAAGATATGCACAATACACTGGAGCTGTTAGCATTCTAAAAACAAAAGGATGCAGTTACGTGCCTGCATCAAATGTCATCTCTTTTGGTTTTTCTTGAGCAAACTATCTCCTGAACATTCAAGTGTGCATGAAGTTCAGAAAAAGTTCCAGCTAATGTGTATATTAATTGAAGTCATCAGACCAAGCGCGTAAAAGAATGTGCCTTTTTACCAATAAAGCAAGCTTTCAAAGTCCTGTCACTTTCTAAATCCTGTCATTTGAACAAGTGTGCCGTAATGTAATTGATCATTCTACATCATGCCGAGTTGGCTCACTAACCGTCTGGTTTTAAAGGGCTTAGTTGCAGAGAACATGCGCATATTTCAGCATTTTGATGTCATCTTCAAGGTACTTCTTACTTGTATATTGCCAAAAGGTTGTTCAGTCTTATTGTTATTCGAACATTCTTGCCATGGTTCTCTTTCAACTATGATAGCGTTTTTTTTTCGTACAAGTATTAAGTTCAGTACAAAATTATAGCCAGATGACCAGCAGAATCTGGTGTGGATTATTTGTGCAAAAGAGGCAGAGGAGCAAAGCTGCTTACCTGAGATGCTAATAACATCCATGTCAGGGAAGTCATCTTGGAGGTAATCCAGCACATTCTGCACGCCCTTGGAGACCATATTCATCCCCATGGCATCCCCCGTGCAGCAGCTGAATCTCATGTACAGGTTCCTCCCAGCCATGGCACATTGTACCCCTTGCAGCCTCGCGAATCTACTGGACCTGCTCAAATTTGAAATTTTGAGTACAATTCACTCATCATGTCATAGTTCATAAGAGTTCTTTTGCAAAATAATTGCGCCATACCTGTAACTTGCGACATAGTACATAAGAATTCGGTTGGCTAGTATACAACAACTAAGGCAGTGTTTGGCAAATGTCTAAGGGAAATGATTTCCCACCCCTCTTTAAATCTTAACCATTCATTCTCCCTCATCCGTTTAATCCTAACCCTTCATTCATTTCCCAATCCTAATCCCACCCCTCATTTCCCATTATCCAAACACAACCTAAGAGTAAATATGAGTTGGACGATCATTTTCTTTGGCTAGTACTCCAGTAATTAACTGATGCTAACTAGTGACATAGCGAAGTATGGTACCACGAGAAGAGCATTAATCCTGTGCCATTTGCCGTACTAATTCGGAAAAGGAGAGGAGCATTAATCCTGTACCATTTGCCGTACTAATTCACAAAAGTCAGTTGAATAGGACGAATGAGACTTATGCAGCAGTCAGCTATTAATCAAAAAGCACATTGCCATCTACACCATTCATCTCAAAAAAACAAAAAAAAACATCTGGCTATGAATATGAACAATTGATGGTTTTTATTTGGGACGGAGGGAGTATGGTTTATGGGTGAATGTTGTACCTATTGAAGACCATGGAGAGGGTATTGAAGTTGACAGAATCCTCCAAGAAGGCCTTGAGCTCGGCGGCGCGGCGAGCGGTGGGGAGGCGGGCGACGGGGGCGCGCGTCATCCCGTCGCGGAGGACGACGCTGACGGCGCCGCCGGACTCGGCGATGGCCTTGCAGCCGCGGTTCGTGCTGGCGACGAGGCACCCCTCGGTGGTGGCCATGGGGACGTAGAACCGCTGGCCGTCGAGCAGGAGCGGCCCGGCGATGCCGACGGGGAGCTGCACGTACCCCACTGGGAGCTCGCAGCACTGCCCGAGGATCGAGGCGTAGTCGAATCCGTCGAGCGGGAGCCCCTCGATCTGCCTCCCGGTGATCCGCCGGACCGCCTCGCGCCGGATTCCGGCTGCGCGGCGGCAATCCCCGAGCTTGGTCTCCAGCACGTAGGAGGGGACCTTCCCGGCAACGACCGACGACACGATCTCCTCGTCCTCCTCCGGCATTCTCTCCCGCGCGGCATCGTCGTGGGGGCTACCCAGCAGCGAGCACTGCGCCGGAGAAGAAGGCGGCGGCGGCGGCGCGACGGCCGCCGCCGCGGAGGAGCCACGGGCGGGCCCGACAAGGAAGTCCTCCTCCTCGTCGTCGCTGGAGGAGACGATGGACTGCACGAAGGCGATGCCGAAGAAGCTGAGGAGGTAGATGAGCGAGGCGACGAGGCCGAAGATGGCGAGCATCTCGGCGAGCCCCACCACGTGGAGCGGCGTCGACGACCGGATCTTCTCCCGCCACCGCCGCATCAGGTACGCCAGCGACGCCGCGAACAGCGCCGAGAATATCAGGTTCGTGTGCCGGATCGGCAGCGGCAGCGCGTCGCCCGCCTGCACCCTCCCGGGCGGCGGCGGCAGCGGCGCCCTGCGGCGCACCTCCATGGCACCAGCGAGCTAGGCAAGGCAAGGCACGCCGCCGCCGCCGCCGCGCCGGTGGCCGCCGCGAGCGCGAGGTGGTGGGGGAGCGGGTGTGTCGGGGCCTCGAGGCGCGGGCGGCCACGGGGGAGTATTGGGGGCCGGGGTAAGATGGGCCCTTTTAATAAGCGGATTAGCCGAGCGGGCCCCGGCCCATTCCCGGTGCGATTACCGCCGCTTCCCGGGCCCACTTAAAAGGTCTTGTTTGGCAAAGTGGAAATTTCCTTACGATCAATCACCGTATGACAAGGATTATCGCCTCCGTCTACCAATATAAGCATTTTTTTTCTGTGTAGCTGACTATCTTCATCTAAGAGCAGGTCCAATAGCAGTCAGCTATAAACACATCTAAGAAGAAAAAGAAGGAAAAAGAAGAGCAGCGAACTACAGATTTATAGCAAGCTGCAGCACGGATTTCAAGATGTAATGTGTTTATGATACGTGAGACCAGATATTAATAGTGTAGTATATGTACATGGTCCTATCTGTCATACACACATTGCGTTATAACTGGCTTATACTTCCTCTGTCCCATTTTAAGTGCAACCATAAGTTTTCATGCCCAACTTTAATCGTCCGTCTTATTTGAATTTTTTTTATAATTTGCATTTTTATTGTTATGGGATGATAAAATATGAATAGTACTTTATACGTGACTTACTTTTTCATTTTTTTCAAAAAAAATTCAAGTAAAACGGACGATTAAAGTTGTGCACGGAAAATCATGGCTGCACTTAAAATAGGACGGAGAGAGTAGTCTGGTATTGTAACTGCTCTTATAGGTAATTATGGTAAGAATTGACTAAATTGATTATAAATGTTTTGGAGCTAGTAGTTGTCTATACTATTAAACTTGCTCTAAGTACGCCAAGCACTAATAGGTGTTACAGTTTAAGAAATATGATACCTATCACAAGACATACCTCACTCCCATTAGGAAAATCTATGGTACTAAAAAGTCCAAAGAGTGAGAGCGAGTGGAAGAATATGAATGAGCTGAGAGAGTTGTGTAGCCGCCGGGGTTACTATTTGGGGACAACTTGCATGAAGAAGAAAGATGATATGGTAATAGCTGTGCTAGAAGCACAACTGTCAGAATTACGGGCATCTACTATCAACTAGTTACTTGGGTACCGGTGATACACCCTAGGATACCTTACCTATTTAGAAATTTACGCCTCGCTGCGAGCCTTTCCAACGAACCAAAACTATGTAGTCTCTGACGCTACTACAACGCTTTGCTAACTCGAAGCACCTCGCTATGAGAATGACGCTTCGCTAACGCTCGGCTAAGTCGTCGAACCCTCTCGCTTTCTTCGCACATATTTTCTTTCTCCCCTTTCCACCGGTAGGACCTGGAGATTTCTTGGTTCATCATGCTATTGCTTTAGGTTTGCATACAACTACATTGATTTTAGTAAAGGATACTTTAGATGCACTCGGTTCCAAATTAATGCCGGATAAAAAAGATTTTGGATATAGTTTTCCTTGCGACGGTCCAGGTCACGGCGGTACTTGTGATATTTCTGCTTGGGACGCGTTTTATTTGGCATTTGAAATAGATGTCCGAGTTATTACGTATATCATGATCGATACAGAAATCGATCGGATCAATGCCCCCTCCCTGTTCTAAAAAGAAAGGCCGAACAAACGTTGGAATGGTCAAAGGGACTGCTTCGGTACATACATTAGTAAGGAGGCTAAATACAAAACAAGTGTCTACGCTCGCTTTTGTTTTGCTGTCATTGGACTAAAGACTTTCCAACCCATATGAGTACTGTTTTACCTAATCCAACTCCCCCAAATAGTCTGAGTTTTCCTCCACGCCGATAAGGAGCTAAAAGATCGACCACCTTAATACCAGTTGCAAAGATGGATAATTTCATATCTAACTCGATAAAGGCGGGTGCGGATCTATAAATAGAGATTGTGAACTTTACAAATTGACAAGGCTAAAAGTACCGCTCAAGATACTTCTTCGTCTATTTACAGAACGCATAATCCATTCCGCTCACCACCACGGTCTGCGAATATGCAAAGGTGAGGTCGGGTCTACAATCATGCAAAGGTTATATGCTCAACCGTCTAATTTTTGTTATAAATTCTTCCACCCGCTATTTGGTTCATGTTTCTCCATGAATCTTAGATGATAATGACTTGTTCACTTTGCTACCATATTTAACCTAATTATTTTTTAGTGATCAATATTTTGGTAAGTTTCTTTTCATATGACCATTACCAAATTTTGGTAAGCCAACGTTGCAAAAAAATGGCCAATTTTAGCATCGTCAAATGTTAGTATGGAATTTTATCAACAAAGTGAACAAGCCTTGCTTATAAGCATTTTGGTTCTTAATCTGCATCCGACCAATAGAGATATAAAACTTTGCATAATTTAATTTTGAACAATATTTAGCTAATTTTAAACACATCTTGCATAATTCAAAACTTGTTCCAAATTACATAAATACGAAATGCCAAAATAAAGTTTGCAAAATTGGAAAACAAATAACCGAACATTCGTAGAATTTAGAAAGTTTCTTTATATAAGATTAACATTATTTTTGCCATTCCGGACAAGTTTTGAATTTCACAGAATATTTTTTATGGTAAGCAATATATGTTCAAATTTAAATCTTTTAAGGTGGCCAAGGGTAAATTATCTTTTTTCTAAATCTTCTCCTCTTCATTGCAAGAGGATGTATTAAAATAATGATATATCAAAGTATCTCCTAACAAATACTACAGTAACCATTTTAGTAGAACGTTCAATGTTAAAAGTGCCTTGAATTTCAAATGATACTAGGGGCATGTTTACATCCTCTAAAATAGCAAAAGTTTTACTATTTTAGAGCACTTTTTGCTATCTTGGGTCTAAACACTAGTAGCAAAAGTTGACAATTTGTCATTTGTCATTTGCTAGTCCATAGTAGCAAATTGTGACAAAAAATGTTTTGGGACCACTCTCCACCAAAAAGTGCTAGAATGACAAAAGTTTAGGATGCATCTAAACACCAACTAGTACTTTTGCAATGCCAGAACTTTTACCACTAAAACCTTTGTTATTTATCGTTTGCCATTTCAAATGGATCTAAATATGCCCTAGAGTACAGGATAAATCATACATGTTGGTCAGTAGTTCAGTGTACGTGTACCGCATGCGTGGTAGTAGCTGCTGTCGATGCACGCGTGTGGCACCGGCATGCACACTCGCTCGACGCAGTCTGGTTAATCTACTGTTGATCGGAATGGCTCACCATGCGTCGTCAGATCGTCCAGACAGCGTTGAGATCGACGCGGTCAGGACACGAGTGAAACGAGGCCGGCACTGTTTCACTTCGTATTTTAAAAAATATTTAGTCTATTTTGAAAGAAAAACTTACGGCATGGTAGATTGGTAGTAGGCGCCGTTCACGGTCCAAACGCGGCCAACACACGGCGAGACTGTAGCCGTGTGTGCATTTGATCAAGGCCCATCCTGAGCTGATATAGTGGTGGTGGGTTGGTGAAAGTGAACCATCCCACCTACTTTCATCGTAAATTTTGCAAAAGTAGTTTATAGGACTTTTCAGTGTTAAAATTAAATCTAAATGACTAGCCACATATAAGATAAAAATAAAATCAAGGTGAAAATTCCTATTTAAAAAAAGGATTGGTAACAAATTTCATGCCAAATATAATTTTATTTCTTTTAGCCGATGTTGTAATATATTTTTCTAATATGTAGCAAAAGACATGCACTGAACTACTCCCTCTGCTAAAAAAACTGAGTCTAGAAGAGGATGTAATCTCTCCCAGTACAACGAATGTGGACAATCTTTTAACCAGATTCGTTGTAATATGTTGAGTTTTTTTTAATGGAGAGAATAGTAGGAGAAATGGAAAAAAAAAAGAAGCGATAAACATCTCATGCTTTACAGCGTTTGTCGACCTGCACTCCAGCATCTGCATGGGGAAAAAATGCTTCCCATGCAACACTCTGTACACGGGGGACGTGTGTGATGTGTCCTACAGTCCTAGTATCTCTTGTTGTAGCCCGATCCGATGGAGAAGACGTTGTTGTCAATAAGTTATGGTCTTCTAGACTTCCACCACCTCCCTCCCTCATTTCTTCTTACCTCCCATGGGTTGTGTTTAGATTCAAACTTCAACTTTTTCCATCACATCAATCTGTCATACACACACAACTTTTTAGTCAACTAAACACAAACTTCCAATTTCAACCCAAACTTTTAACTTTGAAAGGAACTAAACACAACCATAGTGTCCGAGGTTTTTTGCCTTTGGTTGGAGCTTAAAGATGACTCCTCCATTGTTAGATTGAAATCCAACAGCCAGAAGCAGGTGACTGAAATAGAGGAGGATTTCAGTCACCCGAAGCTAGCATTTCCATTTTTTTCCCCGAAGATCATCAAGTGATACCTTCACACTTAAAAAAGGGAAGCAAATATCAGACCATATATCCTCATACGCAACTAACAGAAGGATGGCTGTACAATTGATTTGTGGCAAAATGTGTACACCAGCAAACATGCTTTAGATAAGATCGACTTGTAAGTTTGAGGTATTTTGACGAAACCCAGTTAACGAATCCCTCTTTGACGATGGCATAATCCCAGATGCAGGCGTTGTGTTTAGGTGGTGCACAGGAACCCTCCTAAACTCATAATTTGTCACTAAAAACACTAGAATATACTGTTTTGCATTGAAATTTTCTAGATTTTCAATAGTAGTGCATCACCCTTATTTTGATGCCAACTCCGCCCCTGGATGCAGGAGATGGAGTGTCATGGAGAAGGGTAGATGGTACAAATTGTTTCCAGGCTGATCCATGGTTTAATGGGCCTGCGGTTTTCACTGTTGAGTCTTCTTCGGTAACGGTCAGTAAGCGGTAGAAAGTTCACAAACCAACCGTTTCTTCGCACACAACTGGCTGACTGACTTGACGAATTAACGACAACAAACAAAACCAAACAAGAAAACTGATCGACTTATGAAACATATAAACACACAGATTTTGTCGAATTCTTAAGTCATTACTCATTACCATCACAAACAAGTGAATTCTTAAGCACACTAAGCAGCATCCAGGAAACAGACACAAACAGTACTTTTCCCCCTAGAAGCAAAAGCAATGCTTCAGGGCAGGCTAGTCACGAAGACGCACAACGTTTTTTTTTCCTTGGTGGTGAACATCATCAATCGACCTTCAGTAGAGCTCCTTGTTCACGTCGTTGAAGTAGGGATGCTCCATGGCCTTCTTCGCAGAGATCCGCTTCGACGGCTCGTACTGCAGCATTTTCTGCAATCGAAAACAAGAACCATGTCAGGATTCAATTCAATTGATAACACCTTTCTTCCATTTTACGTTCATGATACAGTTTACACCTAACATTGTACATCGATTTTGAAGTAGAAGAAAATAATCAAGTATAGCAACGAGCAAAAGCAGCATAGTACAAACCTCAAGAAGATCAAGAGCATCAGCGTCGAGACCATGGACAAGATCAGACACTTTCGAGGGATTCCACTGGGGGTACTCGTGCCAGTTAGGTAGCTTGCTCACTCCTGGCCAAACTTGCTCATTTGGGGTGCCCAGCAACCTGGAACCAAACAATCAAGATAAATCACCACCATGAATACACGATTATACCCCTCAAGTATGCCAGCGAGCACAAAGAACAATTGATGAGGAAACAGGCACAGTACTTGAAAATGTGCAGAAGCTGCTGAACCTCGGAATCTCCAGCGAAAAGAGGTTGGTTAGTGGCCAACTCAGCTGCAATGCACAAGATATATCAACAATGTCAAGGCATGAATCCTGAAGAAATGATAATTTACAGTGGCCAAAATATCAGTTCACCGTACCAAAAATGCAGCCCACAGACCAGATGTCAACCGGAGTGGAGTAGTGTGCCGCGCCAAGAAGAACCTCGGGAGCCCTGTACCACAGCGTCAGGATCTGCGAAAAATAATCCATTCATCACAGTGAGATCCAAGAACAGAAATCACGCATGCGAAACAGATCACCAAGCAGATTAGAGACTGCTAGTAGTAGGATGTAGGAACCGGACCTCGTGGGTGTACTTCTTGAGAGGGACAGTGAACGAGCGGCTGAGCCCGAGGTCGGCGATCTTGAGCGCCATGGTCTTGCGGTCCATGAGCAGGTTATGCGGCTTGAGGTCACGGTGCAGCACACCGCGGCCATGGCAGAAAGCAACGCCCTTGCAGAGCTGGTACATCAGGATCTGCACAAGCGCATCCCCCATCAATCACCCCCATCGAACCAGACAAACACGGACGAGGCATTCACACAAACACCCCGCGTGCACGGGAAAAAAAAACAAGAAGAAGAACCCCTGATCCAGATCTGAAGCGGTCGTAGCCGGATGGATACCTTGACGGTGGGCACGGGGATCTTCTGGAGATTCTGGCGGTGGGCGCGGATGAACTTCTTGAGGTCGGTGTCCATGTACTCGAAGACGAGGTAGAGGATGGTCTGGCCCTCCTTGTTCTGCCCCTGCTTGAGGTCCAGCAGGCGCACCACGTGCGAGTCCTGCGACAGCATCCGCAGCAGCGACACCTCCCTGAGCGCCGTCGGCGGCACGCCCTCGTCGTCCTCCGGCAGCCGCGTCTTCTTCAGCGCCACGATCCGCCCCGTCGCCTTCTCCCGCGCCTTGTACACCTTCCCGTACGTCCCCTCCCCGACCTTCTCCAGCTTCTCGTACAGGTCCATCGCCCGCAGCTCGCCCCCGTCCGTCGTCGTCGTCACCGGCGCCGCCGCCGCCTGGTGGTGGAGCGCCGCCATCTCTCTCTCGCTGGTTGGGTGGTGTGGAATGCGCGTGGATTTAGGGTTTGGTCGATTTGGGGGGGATTCGAGTGATCTTTTGTATTGGGGATAGCCGTTGGAGGGGACGCGCTCTAACGGGCGCTTTTTGAGATTTCAAATTTCGAATCGTGTGTACGCTTTTCCGCATGTGCGCGCCAATGGGCCGTCTCCATTCACACGGAAATGGGCCCAGGAAATATGTGGGCCGGGATTGTGTGGTGGGCCGTGTGAGATGAGAGAAGGGAGCCCAGATAGAATTTTTTCATTTTTAAATTTTTATTTTTTAATATTTACAGAAATATTATACCATCCAAAATATTTACAGAAATAGCCCATGCCGTCCAAGTGGAGGACGGCAAGGTGTGCGTATTTTGCACTGAGGTCCCTTGCAACCTTTGTAGAGGGCAGCAAGGGGGTAAGTGCAATTTTCGCCCAGCCAAAAATGCATTTTTGGAGTTTATTTCTGTCCCTGACATCACCCTGCCGCTCTTCTCGAGAAGGAGAAGGGCAGCAGGGTCTACTTTTGTAAATATTTTCGCCGGTATAATATTTATGTAAATATTAAAAAACAAAAATTTAAAAATGAAAAAAATTCGCTCAGTTACTCCATGTGACGTGAATACGTGATCTTTTACGCTTGCTCTGATGGAAAGAGTGAAGCCAAGTATACGCCACTTGGTATGTTGCGTCTAATAATCCGATTTCCACCTTCCAAAAAAACATATAATTCTAAAACATATAATTCTGATATCTTACTGACATGCAGGATCCAAGTAGGGATGTAAATGGGGCGGGTAAGCGGGGTTTTTCGCTTATTCCACTTCTGTTTATTTTTTCTTTAAATTTTATACTATCATGTGAAAAGTAATAAACTAGTAGTGGGTTTTTATGTAGGTAGTGGAACTATCCACTTCCATCACTAGACCCAAGTCATGTATAGTGATGCTGATGCATAGTGATTATTTTTTGGGAATGTCTATATTCTAGGTGTCTGTAATTTAAAAAATTCCAGTCCCTTTTCTTATCCATGAATTCTCTTTCCAATAGTTTTTATTACTCCACTATTACTTATTTAAACAATGTACTTTTTCTCAGATAAAATGTTTAGCAAGAAACTACTATCCATAAACATGAACTTCATTAAAAAAACAAAATTACATACAAACATATTTAAACTGGGATGTTAAAATGAACTAAAATATAGCAATGTGCAACTTTGGGTGATTGAAATTTTACAAAATTTTGGCCGCCTGAAATCTAACAAATACACCTGTTTTTTCTCCCTTAAAAATGCATAGAAAACAATGCTTATGACTTGCCACAACATAATTAGCTCATGTTGGCCTCGGCAAGGCCGCATCGTCAAAATCTCGGAACAATTGGTGTACATTTAGTTGGTTGAACTGATGACATGAATATACTGATTGATTTACAATTATAACGAAATACGTTGGTTTACAAAATGTTTTTCGTCCTCGCCTTGTTGGATGTTGTGTAGGATGCTCCTCTTTCATGTGAACCTGAATGACTGAACACACTGCAAATGAAAAACCTTCAGTGATCCATCCAGCAAACGACAGGCAAAAGAATTGCAAGATGAGCAAGATATCTGCTGGTTCCAGATGTTCAGTCCAAGATCTCACCTTCTCTATCTGAGCCCTGTACTTGTCTACATCCCCGTCCTCATCGATGTACTGCGAGACACCCACCAAGTTCAGCATATGAGAAGAAAATCTTTGCTACTAAAATCAATGTTCGTTGATCACACAATTGGCATGTTTGGGGGGAGTTTCTAACTGTTGCAGCTTCTCCCAAACAGTACAGTTTTTGGTTCAGATTCTAAGAAGTTAGAATCCAAAAAATGAAGTAGAAGCCAGAAGCTGTGTTTCCTAGTTTTTTCAGATTTTCAGAATCTTAAGCTCCCTAAACAGGCCCAATGATCAGTTGAAACCTGATAGTGCATTGTTGTTGCTCACCTGGCCTGTCACCGTGTAGAGCCGGTTGTACCAGCCGTTGAACGCCATCCCGATGGCCGAGACAATGTGCCGGCGCTGCTCGCCGGGGTTCTGCAGCGTGTACTCGATGTAGTAAAACCCTGCACACGCAGATCAGCAGTAAGCAAACCCCATGTATGTCAGGATCGATCATTGATCATCAGTATGCAGGCAGCAAGGCACACACAAATGCTGCAAAGTGCAAACATTGTGTCATATGATGTCATTGTGCTCACCGTTGGCTGCCCTGGAGTTGATGAGCTTCGCGGCGACCCCCGGCGGCCGTTTCCAGCTCCTGTCCAGGCCGTTCACCTGCTCTTGCAGCCACAGCACCAAGTGAGACAGTGCGAGCTACTACTGCTGCTATTCTTATGTCTGAATTTTGGAAGCATGTTGCTGTGTCTGAATTTTGCTATGTACATTACAGTTTTGGGATAGCCAAACCGGCAAGAAGTGGGAGTGGATGCGTACCAGGGTCTCTGCGAAGGCGTCGACGTCGCCGAACGACTTGAGGCTGGTGAAATCGGGGCCGATTCCGGTGATGGCTACGCTGACTGATCAGAGGCAGACATCAAGATGCAGAAAAAGCTCGTGAATTCCCAGAGGAGAAAAAACAAAAGATTTCAATCTTGGAGACGCAGCACGACGCGACGCGACGGTGGATTCGTGTGCATCTGCATACCATTGGAGTCGGCGACTTGGTCAGGGTAGAACGCCGTGACGGACTTGAAGCCGCTGACCTCGCCGGCGCCGATCAGCCAGTCTGCACCAACAAGGAAGAGAACTATCTAGCTGCTCAGCTCTGCTCGCCTCCCAGTTCTGTGAGCTCAAGAATAACAAAGGGCGTGTTCTTTTCTAGTACAATTCTAGCTGATTAGATGCACGTAAAACGAAAAATATATTAACATATCTGTTTCATTTTTTAAAGCACCTTAAAAACTATATTTGAAGGAAAATACATCCCTCAAAACATTATTTTAAAAAGAAATTGTTAGCGTGTCGGGGATTGAACACAAGACATTGGGGTAGAGATCTGCATCTTTTAAAGCACATTCTACATAGAAATTTTTCACGGCGTTAACCGTTTGAAAAGCGTGCAAACAAAAGAAAAGGAGAAGTAACTAAGCTCAATTAGCTATTCATTCAGAACGCGCCCTAAGCTAAATCACCTTGTGGAATGGCGATGCTGAACTTGTTGGCCTCATCCTCGTACGTGCGGAACCCCTCCTGCAACTCTTGGCAACACACAAAAAGCTCCACAGGATAAGCACGGAATCAACCAGCAGAGGCCAAACAAGAAAACGTTGGATAAGATTGCAGTGGCTTGTGATAGGTGTCGCATTACCGGCGGTCGCGGCCACGGCGGCGACGGGCGCGGACGCCGCCGTCGCCGTGGAGAGGAGCACGCCGAGCAACGCCTCCCTCCGCCCCAGCCCTTCCACCCTGATCGACAACCACAATTCCACAACGGCAGGTAGCCAACCAGTTTAATCACCAATCAATCTGCGCGGCGCGGACGAACTGGAAATATGCGTGTGTCAAGGATGCGTACCGAGCAGCGGCGCCGCATCTGAGCGTCGTCGCTCGCCGCGGCTTGGCGGCGGCGGCGGAGGAGGAGGAGAGGCCACGGCAGAGATGGGTGGTTGTGGCGGTGGTGGTGGTGGTCACGGCGGCAGCCATGGCCGGCGCGGCGCGGGCGCTCTCTCTGCTTCGTCTGGTCGCTGCTGCCTGCCTTGCAACCGGTTTGCGTCGGGAGGAGGATATTTTGTTGTTGCGGTGGTCGACGGCTTTGTGGCTCGCGTCGCCGCGGCAGAGCAGGCGATGCGTGGTGGTCGAATTTTTTATATTTACATTTTTAAAAAAACTAGCTAGGTGGCCCGCGCAATTGCGCGGGCTAGCACCCATACAAAATTATCTATTTTTTACATATGATTTTACTTAAAATTTGTTAAATAACTATATGTTAGAAACCGACTTTATCATCCCGGTGCTTTTAATAGTCATGCTAATCACTACGCATTATTTCTTTATCATCGCTTTATTTACTTGCTCGATCTACCAATGCTTTCATTCATCCTTCCTGGAACCTCTACAAATTTGACCTTGTGGTTTTAGAGTTCATTGTATTGTTGGGTTTCATTTTTATAATTTTTATAAGTCTCGCTAAACGCCGCCACTATACTCCTCTTTGGCCCGTCCATTGCTTCCCATTTTTATTATCGTTGAGATTTGAAAATCGAACATGATTATAATTGAGAGTTTTTTTTTACTTTCTAGAAATCCCTCCAATCGTCGAGATCGTGCTGCTTAACGACCGGCTCGTTGTCCCTCCTCTTAATTATCATTGATATTCTATTTAAGGTTTTGTTTATAGTTTTTAGATGTCCCATCTACCTACACCACTCTAATTTTTTATGGGTCTATTCTCTTGTTTTTTTATTATAATTTGTCATGTTGTGGTCTGTATGGACTATTTTTTTCAAAAATAAATATTTCTTATTGTGATATTTCTTTCATTTATAAATTGTAATTCTACTTGAACTCTTATAATTATTTTTTTATTTACTTTACCACCCTCGGCATGCCCTCCTGTGGCAACTGCCTCCTATCTCATTTGTTTGCGCACGCTCACCTGCCCATTGCTTCTCTTCTTTGTCATCTCACTACACCGGTAAGATCCGTATTATTGATATGATTTTTTTTATAGTTTTTTAAAAATTCCTGCAAGCCGTCGTTGAATGCCGCCTTATTTGCCGTGCCTTGGTAATATGTTTGTTTTCTTTTGATTAAATGTGGTTTTTTTAGCCCTGCAAATGTGAATTAATTCTTAGATAGAATATGGTGGAGAATTGATGATCGAACATTGCAGGCTGCCAAATACTGACCTTGATCTTGATGTCTTGATAATTTCTATACCTCATTATGTAATATTTGATATTTATAGTATTTTTTAACCACAAAATTATCTCCAAATGCAAGAAAAAATAGGAATATATTTTTATCTTTCAATCTACAACCAACAAAACAATTAAACTTCTTACTTAACAAAATTTTGATCATACTAAACTTGCCTTTCAATGACATCGTGTGCGTGCGCGTGGGCGCGTGGCTGACTAAATCACGCGCTGCTGCGCAAGGAAAGGAGGCATTGGTTGGCTGAGTGAGTTTGATTGTTAGCTGGCAGGTCTCTTTTTTGTTGTATGCGGTAAGTGCCAAGGAAACAGATTGATTTTCCTTTTTTTTTTTTTGGGTAAGTTTCTTCAGGGACAAAAGTAACGTTGTCAGCCCTCTGTCCGGTTGGGCCATCACAGTCCGAACAAAATTTTTATTTTGCTGTATAGTATTTTTTTTTACATAGTTTGAGTAGGATTTGTCATGTACTCTTTCTTACTTATACTATTCCGATCAATCTCAACAGTTAAACTATAAGCGTGTCATGATCTAGCGGTGTAGATTTTTTTCTTTTTCTTCGATTAATGTGGAAATTTCTAACCTCCACAGCGAATGTGGTGCCTTCTTTTCGAGTTGTCTTAATAATATAATAGATAGATAGATAGATAGATATTTAAAAAATAAATCCCCATTTCAAAGTTTTGTAAACTATATTGCTCCCGAACTATCGTAGGACGGGGCATATAAATTGTCGTGTATGGTGAGCTATGTAACGTGGCACAAGGTGGGAAGGATGCACCGTGAAAATTTTGAAGATAACCCCTTCTCGTCCTCCTGTAGGATGATTTATTTTGGTGACATTGATAATATTTTGTTGATGCATGGGACGCGTCACGACAATTTTGTACCTCCCCCTAAAAAAAACTTGCAACAAATTTTTAGATACTCCCTTGAAAAAAAAACTTGCTTTCGAAGACAGCTTTCTAAATCGTTAAGAATTAATTTGCACCGATTTTTTAAGATGGGGATATATTATACCCGTTTTTTTAGTGATTATTTAATCGGGAGCAAGAGATCAGGGCCCCGGTTTTATGCAGGGCGTCAAAAGTAGACTTGTTACTTTTCACCAACGTGTGTCCTGTTTGGTCCGGAAGGTACTAATGGGCTACGTTGGGCTCATATTGATTGGGCCGGAGCGGTAGTGTAGCGTAGGTGAGGCCCATATAAATTAGCTGAGACAGTAAGTGGCGGATAAAGTCTATTGTGCTTCCCTCATACAGTATATGATTAGCGTCCTTCGATTGTAAAACTGGTCATTGAGCCATGCTTAACTATTAAAATTGGGTTAACCGATCTTACATGGTTGTTTAAGGAGTGGTTTTAACTGACATAATGTTTACTTTGTCTTACAGATAGCTCGTGATGTCACCGCGCCATTTCGTTTTCGCCTACTCGAATCAGTCATACATTCAGGTAGCCGCTAGGCACCGGCCAGTAAAAATTCATAGGAGTGAATTTTCTGAAAGAATTCATAGGAGTAGTTACTAGTGAGCTATCCCTAATTCTCCATGAATACACTTGAATGCATCCGTAAATGCATGCCGTTTCCTTTCTCAGGCAGAGAGGCAGGCAATTCATTTTTCTGAATTCCGAGACATGCACAAGTGCAGACTGAACACTGAAGAATCTAGTCTTGCATCTGCATCCCCCCCCCCCCCCCCCCCCCCGCGCCCGCGGCAATTTACCTTTGCAAACTTGTGGCATTCATTGTACGAGGCCCTACACTTGGCGGTACGCCACAGTACAGCTGCATTCACTCAAACTGTAAAGCCACTGAGATAATGCCACTGTTTTTTCCAAGAAAAGTTTGATTTGATTGGTCTTTCCATGCGGAATGGAACCGTATTAGTAAGCGGGCCCACACCTTCTCCATTCCTCGATCAATAGTTTATTTCTCTTCTCCATCCCCTTTCTCGAACTGAGCTATTTCAACATTTCATAAACAGAGTGTTGTCTTTAGGGTGTGTTTAGTTCATGCCAAAATTGTGAGTTTGATTGAAATTGGAACGATGTGATGGAAAAGTTGAAAGTTTGTGTGTAGAAAAGTTTTGATGTGATGAAAAAGTTAAAAGTTTGAAGAAAAAGTTGGGAACTAAACCAGCCCTTAGAAAAGAACTTATTCACTCTTGTAGCTGTATTTTTACCTCCTCTAATAATTCGAAGCAACACAACTAATTTATAGGTAAAATTTTTATATCTGACTCTTGGAAATTTAAAAACCAATATTAAACCTCAAAATCAGTTTTGAAATTAGGTTTTAAAATTAAAATTCTGTGTGGCTGATAAGCCAGCAAATAAACAAGAAAAGTAGCCGATGAATCAGATAGGAAAAAAGAGCTGCTTTGCACCATACCAGTATAAATGTGTATAATTGCAGGCTCGTCACAGTGGGCATTGTGCAGTGAAGATCCAAACCGAGAGGGGAAACGGTTGGGGCGTCTTTCTGAACCAGCAACCAACTGGTTGCAGAATTCAGAGAAAATGGCCCGTGTATATCTTCAGGATCTTGACCTGTTAGGTGACAATGTGGCCAAAGGCCACTGCAATGCAATTAACCTCTAGTGGCCAAAAATTGATTGTTAGGTCATGCAAGGGGGTCCAAACCCTACGATATTAGGGTGACTGTTTCATGAAAGCTGAAGAGGATTCGATCGATTTTAGAGAGGTCACATGGGGGAGAACTGTTTTCTTCTTCCTTTTCCCCCATTTTTTTTACCTCCCCTTTTCTTTTTCTAGCAATAGTGTTGCTTTTGTTTTTCTCCCAATTGTTTTTTTTGACATGACAAGACCTTTTTTCTTTCTGTTTGTTCAACAACCACTTATGATTGTTTGGAAATTTCGATTTGTTTTCTGTTGTTAATTGCTTACTAGATATGTTCATTTTTTTTTCTTACACTTCCACATCTCAATGGAAAAATGAGTATGCAGTTGTCTCCACCAAAAAGATGTGTTTATTTGACAATAATGAGCGGGAATAGGTAGAGTCAAAAGGCATATTACTATCTTTTTTATACTTTTTAGTATTACGCCGTCGCCGAATTTCTGACTTGTTTGAATATCTGTACAATTTTCAGAATTTAAATACCTCCAATTTGGACTTCTCATACTGAAACTAGTCTGGTTTCTAAAAAAAAAAATCTATTCATAATTGTTCTGTCCATCCATATAAAAAATTTTCTTGGTACCTTATTCTGCCTAACAGGCTAAAGTATTTCGCACACTGGTTTTCTTTTTCTTCTCAATTGGATGCATCCAGAAATGAAAAAAAAACTTCTCTGAATTTTTGTCACATTTCAGGATAAGCTTCGATCGACAAAGCTCGAGTAGAATAGTGTCACGCTGAAAAAGTCAGGGGCAAGTGGATATGCATAAAACTAATAAATGGTCGTATCCATCAGACAATTTGGAGGCTTGCGATTAACAAATCATTTTCATCAATACACCTGTTTATACGCAGCATCAGGAGCAAAGCAGGACGCATGTTCTCTGGCCGACGTGTCCCTGTTTTTTTTTCCCTTCTTCTCCATCTGTTTGTGTTTCCTCATGCTGTTAATTATGCAGAAAAGAGAAGAAATTAAGTGCAGGCGAAATCTGTAATTACATAATTATTCCAGGGTCTGAATTCTCAATGTGCTCATATGCTTTTGCACTTCTGTTTTGAACCGTTTTAATATGGTTTGCATGTCGCTGAGTTGAGTTTCCATTTTACTATCTGAACAGGTGTAGTGTGTGTTTAGTTCACGTTAAAATTGAAAGTTTGGTTGAAATTAGAACAATGTGACGAAAAAGTTGGAAGTTTATGTGTAAGAAAATTTTGATGTGATGAAAAAGTTAAAAATTTAAAGAAAAAGTTTGGAACTGAACTCGGCTGTAATGTTTCAGACATTGTGGAAAAGTTTGCTTTGAAGAGCAGAGTGAGAAATTATTCAGAGGAAACTGATGTTGCAAACACGCATATATAGGTTTGAGTATATCCAGTTTTTGTCAGACATAACGGTTTTCGTTATGCTTTTTGGGCCGAGAAATGGTAAGTATATTCTTGGTGATTCCATTTTATTTAAATCTGTATAAACCATTTCTTGAAGATAATATAAAATTGAACAAAGATTCAAGAGCTGGTGGCATGCAAACTGTGAAAACCCAAAACAGTGTACACATCACTTTTGTAGTTTCTTTGGGTTTATTCTCAAATTATTCTAAGTGGAGAGAGCTATCAAACTTGGTCTTAACCACCATTTTTCTTGAACCCATCGATGGATTTCAAACCAAACATTGGTCAAATGGCCTTATTTCCGTAGTCGACGGCATCACAAGTTACTAGTACAAGCATGCCAGATAATTAACAAGATAATACAAAAAGCACATGCTAATGGCCGAAAGTTAAGGAGGAAACAAGCAGGAGAAAGAAGAGGATTCTGCTGACTGCACATGGTTTACAAGTTAGATAAAGAAAAAAAATTAATTGTCTTGAGCGAAGATTACTTTATTCGATTAGTTAGCTAGCAAACCTTGCTATTCACTCAATCTCTGCTACTGACACTAACTTTTACAGTTCAAAATGTCCAAACAATTGAAAATTAACGTAGAACACCGTGGATAAAAAAAATAATTATGATGGAAGAATCAAGAACAGGGTTATTATGGAGAGGCAGCCGAAGTAAATTTCAGCAGAAGCATTCACTCTTTGCATTTGCAGCCACGGACTGTACTTTGCCGTATGCAATTAATTTTGATATTTAGCGAAGCTTAACTAACCTCTTTGTATTAGGATATGCATCTTTCAGAACCTCCCAACTTTGACCCATTGACCCTGACCTTCGCTTTGGTGATTGGACCACACATATTATTGGCTCTCATCAATGTTTCAAGGACTATTCCGTTATATAAAGATTCACTCCTATAAGCATTAATCATCAATAGGAACAGGAAATCAGGCATATTCCATTTGGAAAATCACATGATTTTGAGACTGGTTTCACAGAAACATTTTTAAATAAAGCTTTACAGGACTATAGCTTGAGAAGAATATAACAGGAAAAAAACATATCACACTACGTGTCAACACTACCATAACATTTAGAAAGATACCTAGCACCATAGCCGACCGGCTAGCCGCTGCTAAGCATAACCAATTTATCGCCGAACCTATAACAAACCAGCCGAATCTCCGAAATGACGCCACCAAGAAGGTAGCAACGTTAAGAATACCACCGCCGCCCACCCAAGGACTTGGATATGGTTAGTAAGGGAGAGGGAGGGGTCATACCAACGTCCTTAAAAAAAAGTTGCAATGTTCAAATACATTGTCATGCTCGGCCTTGGAATAGGTTTCTTGAAAATGGGCTAAGTGCCTAATTACATATTTATAAGAGATGTTAACTATTTTTATAGTCTGAAAAATTCTGTTTGAAAATACTAAAATTATTAGTTGTATATAAATAGCACTCCATCCGTTATTATAACCGTGTATAACAACTTCCTTGCTTATAAATCGGAAATGTAATGGACAAAAAGCTCCCTACCATCAATTTTCAAAGCGGAATATTCAGACCCCTTTTTTTTTGGCCAATCTGGTCAAACAAAAACGTGCTATTATCATGGGGTGGTAATGCTTGCCAGTTGTTCATCTTGTTGGGGGTGGTGATTACTGGGACAATAGCTGTGGTTTAGGCCAATGGGCACAGTGGCCACCAGTGGGAACCACAGTGAGAGAAAAAAATTAACCAAAAAACAAAAAAAGAAGAGCAGAGGCAAGTAAGGCCAAAAGCTGAGAAAGGGGGGGATCTGAAAGCAAATATCACAAGTGCTGGGGTGCTGGGGTCAAATGAGGTAGACCCCCCTGCAATCTGCATCCATGATCCATCTCCTTCTTCTTATCTGCTACAGCAATTATATATTTTTCTCCCCCAAGGCAATTTCGGCGTGCTTTACTTACCAGCTGCCTGTTTTTTCTTCTCTTTCCTTGAAAAAAAAAACCATCTTTATTTTTGTTAATTAGGGAAAAGAAAGAGTGCATGTGAAGTCAGGAGTAGGAGAGGTTGGAAAAAAATAGGGGGAAAAAAAGGAGATATATATTGATGAAGGATAGTTGAGATATAAGCAAGAATTTGTGAGAGGCTAGTAGGTAACCAAAATCTCTGAACCTGTTCTTTCTCATGTGTGTTCTACTGGAGTGAGTTTGTGACATGTTTTCCTGCTCCTGAGCTTCATATTTTTTGGAGGAGTGTGAAAGTGTGCTTCTTTGTTTTCTTTTCATTTTGTGGAAATAATTTTTTTCCCTCTTGAGATTTTTTTTCTCTCTCTCTCTCTGCAACTGTTAGGTCTGAAACTGTGGCAATTTATTGCGTTTTGTCGCCTGCAAAATCCGGCGAAAAGAATGAGATCTGCAATTCCGGTGCTCCGTTTTTGATAAATCCTAAGCCAAAAGCCTAGTTTTTTTTTAACTCCATCCCCCTTTCTTGAGCTTTTCACCATTTCCCATCTCCAATTTCATCTTCTTCCTTCGGATAATTTTTCTTTTATTTGTGTTTTGTTTTCCATTTCGTTTCCTTCTTCTCTTCTACCTCGCTCTTTCTTCTGTAAAAATCTCTGGGTTTCTTGCGAGGAAGATCTCTTTCTCTTCTCTCTTTCAGCTCTGAGCAGCTAGGGTTTTATGGGATTTTGCAGGTTCCCAAATCCCTAGCCCTAATCTCCTCACGTGCTCGTGAGCTCTCATCGGTGGATACGAATTTCCGCGGCTTTGTGTTAGAGTTTTTGGTGATACAAGAAACGTGTTCTTGGCCATGGAGGTGAGGTCGGAGCAAGGGCTAATGGCGGGGAGGGATCTGTTCGGCATGCCGAAGAGCCCGCCGGCGGCGGCCGCGGCGCCGCCGCAGAGCGTGCGCATGGCGTACACCTCGGACGGCACCCCGGTGTTCGCCCCGGTGAGCGCCGCGGTCTCGGCGCCGCCGGGTTACCAGCCGGGTGGCGCCGCCGGTGGCAATGGCGCGGCGGCGCTGGCGGACTCCGGCGGGGAGCCCGTGGCCAAGAAGAAGCGCGGGCGGCCGAGGAAGTACGGCCCCGACGGGTCCATGTCGCTGGGGTTGGTGACCTCGCCGACGGCCGCCGCGTCGACGCCGGTGGCGCAGGGCGTCCCAGGGCCGTTCTCGCCGACGCAGCCGAAGCCGCCGGCGAGCTTCTTGTCGTCGGGGTGGCCGGACGGGGTGAAGAAGCGTGGCCGGCCCAAGGGTTCTACCAACAAGCCGCGCATCGACGCCGTCGGTAAAATCTCCATCCCCATTAACATCTCCATATGCTCAAAGTTAATTAGGTTTTGCACCTTGCTATGGTCGAGTAGGTTTTTGTTGATAAGAAATTGAGGGGGAAAATGACTTTTTTTGCTTTGCGAATAATTGTTCTAGAAATCATTGAGAATATACTTGTTTACAAACAGGGCTCAATGTGGCATATTGGCACCGCTTAGAGTTTAGATCCACTGCATAGTTTGAAGAATGTACTACTAGTTCATAGGGCCAAACTAAAATATTCTTTTGACAAGTTTATCTTCCATTCATTGAGTGATTCTAGTGTTTATGTCTAGTCGACGCAGTTTAATGTGGAGTTGTTTTTCTGTCAAATTATTGAGCATCTGCTTTATTCTATTCTAAAGTTGTATTGTATCCATCCTTTTGACCTATTAATGTGAAATCGATGTGTGTTGACTTCATCTTTGTTGAAGTTTCTATCTTTCGCATAATTAATCCTAATTTGGAGTTCTCTTGTAGGATCGGCGGGAGTTGGATTTACACCACACGTTATTACAGTTCTAGCTGGAGAGGTATAGTATGCTATCTTACACTTGGTCTTTTGGTTGCTCTTGGAATGTGTATTCAGATTTTTTTTTATTTGCATAAAAGTATTCAGATTTTCTTTTCTGGGCTCTGTTTGCATGCCCCTAATTTACCTTTGGAATTTCCAGTTTCACTTTGATGGTGGTGTTTCTGTTTTTCTCTCTGAAGTTTGGTTCTAATATTTTGGAAGCTCAAGCTTGTAACGATTTTGTGCTAAGGGTAGTGTCAATGATTGTTTTTAGTAGGAAAGATACTGCAAATCTGCAATAAATTGATGTTAAGCATCACATTGTGATAATGTGAGTGTAGGGTACTTTGGCACAAAATCATGTATTGACTACTTTGGTACATTGAGATTATGTTCAATCCTGTATTTTTAGTTTTATCATCCTCACATTTCGGGCCTTTGAATCTTATTCAATCTTCATCGTCTTAGATAAACTATATCAAATTACCATTTACCATTACCTATTTCATTGGACACAAAGTCCTGTCTGAAAATCAAATCGATGTAATCTTGGTTATGTTTTGATGTGCTTCTTTAGAAATATTATAGTTTGAACATAATCCATGTTTTTTTTTATGGTTCCTTATGATGCTGTTTTTGCTCTGAGTAAATTCTTTCATTCTATGGATAACTTAGCGAATAGTGATGCTACAGTGCCATTTTGTCTTGGTGAGTAAAATATGTTGACAAGGTTTATACAGAACTAATGAAAAAAAAAATCATGATCCCTTCTTTCAGGATGTGTCTGCAAAGATTATGTCGTTTGCTCAGCATGGAAATCGTGCGGTTTGTGTTCTTTCAGCAAATGGTGCCATATCAAATGTAACACTTCGCCAAACTGCTACTTCAGGTGGAACAGTAACATATGAGGTTTGTACTATTATCCAGTAGAAATTAACACGGTATAAAGGCAATCCTCTCTGCAAACAGATACCATACTGTTAGCTGGTGCTATCACCATTCATGTGATTTTAGATGAAAAATTATGCATAAGGCGCATAAATTTACAGCCAAGTTGCAGATATGCTGTTTATTAGCAATGTACAATATGCTGATCACGAATGTTGATTGTGATACCTCCTTGATTTCTCACAACAGGGCCGATTCGAGATACTATCGCTGTCTGGCTCTTTCCTTCTAACCGACCATGGAGGCCAGCGTAGTCGAACTGGGGGACTCAGTGTTTCACTGGCTGGTCCTGATGGTCGTCTGTTGGGAGGCGGTGTTGCCGGACTTCTCATAGCAGCTACTCCAGTCCAGGTATGGTTTTATCCCCTGCAATGGCCCCCAACCTTATTTATTGGATTCTGTATGTATATCTTGCTGTACAACATCTGCTTGATATTCTTGAAATCAGCTGCATTTTCCCCCATCTTCTCCCAGTTATCAAAAATGTTTTTTTTCCCTGAACTAGATTCACTGTCCTGCAAGTAGTTTTACATCACTGCAGCTTTTACCTCAATTTTTTTTTTTAAAAAAAGCACATAATGATATGCTCCAACCATGATTTGCTCCTTCGTTGTTTGCTTAACTGAATTTTACTAGACTAATATTCTGATTATCACTATTACTCCTACAATCTGTAGATTGTGGTTGGAAGCTTCAATTCTGAAGGGAAAAAGGAGCCAAAGCAGCATGCTCATTCAGAACCCGCATCCGCGCCATCGAAAGCCGTGCCGACGGCCGGGATGGGACCCAACAGCCCACCTTCAAGAGGCACATTGAGTGAATCCTCAGGTGGAGCTGGAAGCCCATTGCATCCAGGCATTGCTCCTCCCAGCAGCAACAGCCAGCCGCCATTCTTGTCTAGCATGCCATGGAAATGAAATGAGACCTTTTCATCCTTCACCAAACCTGGACTCTGAATCTCTGATAGACTTTGTCGATGAACTGCATCTTCTGCCAGAAAGTAGTAGCAACCGTTGCCACACGTTTTCTCTAACTAGCTCCTATGATGTAGTGTAAATCTGAAGTTTAATTAGGGGAGAATTTGTAGCTGGTAAGTGTAGCTGTCGTGTAGGTTTCACCCTGGATTTATTATGTATTAGGTAGGTAGTGGTATCTTGAGAGACATATGATCATGTTATCCTAATGTCCTATATGCAATGTTATCAAAGATTATTGTTATTATTATGGCCTCTAGTTACATCAAATTTTCTCATGGGTTCATGCATTTCAATGGATGAAAAAAAAAGAAATAGAAAAAGGCTTGCCTAGAATGAATTGCACAATTAGCAAGAGGCAGCTGCATCGAGATTATCATGTAGAAGTCGCTTCTGAGTGGCACCAAACGTTAACATTTACCTATTGACAGTATATTTCGGTTTCAACAAAGCACATAGCTCAATGATCTAATTTGCTATTTGTGCAATCAATGCAATGCCCGGACCGGAAGCATCTCAAGAATCTCATCAACTAGCAAAATGAAACCTGTGCTTGATTTTTTTTTCTTAAAAAAGGGGTTAATTAATCCGGATTAGTACATCAATTGGGTAATGCTCCAGCAAAAACATTTTATTGAAATATACAACTACAAGAGAATTGTTTACCGCGCGGTCTCAAAATTAATAAACAAAAAAAATATTGCTTGCCGTTGCGTAGAACAGTACAACTTCAGTTAGTACAAGCATGCTGTTGAGTGTGAAGTCGGTGTTGACTCTCAACTCTCAAGAAAGCTTGGTCGCGATATCCTGACAACATATTCTAGTTACCACTTGAATTTGATGCTGCATTCGTTCTTCCATGGGGATGATTTTCAGATTTTTCAAGTAAACCACGTGTTCCTGTCCATGTTACACAGCATGATCTGTGGAGCGTGCAGATGCTAATGTTCTTTTCTCAAGAAAATCCGGTTGACAACATCCAGCGGCAGCGCGTAGGCAGGGTCCATGGGTTTCACTCCAGGGTACTCCATCAGTGAAAGCCCTGCTTGCAAAAAGGGCCAACTGAATCCGCTAAGGGACTATAGTTTCAATTTATTCACGCACTATAATATATCGCTATGATAAGAACTGCGGTTAGAAATATAAACACCTGCAACTCCAAAGTATGTGTGGTAGATATCTACCGCATTATCTGGTCTATCTGAAATTCCACCATTTTCCTTGTCCTACCAATGAACAAGATTATATATTTAAAAAATGTAAATGGAAAGACTGGGAACAGGAGACAGATATTTTTATTTGATTAATGGACACATGGTTACACAAAAATCAGATGCAAGATTTCAAGCATTTACCTGGCAATTTAGTATGAATTTTGCAAGTTTGTCCTTGTCAATCCAGTGCACTCTATCAATCATTATCAAGCTTGAGAGCACCCACCAGGAGTAGCACACCTAGAGGTAGCAGTTCAGTCAAATCTATAGTGCCATGATATAATGAGGAATAAAGACAGGCACACTCTGAAAAACGGGCAGTCAATCTCACATCAGCAAGTTTCTCAGGCCGTCCATTGAGCCCTCCCTCTTTGCACTGACGCTCACAAAGCCACCATCCAAGGAGATCTCTATCAATGTGATGCAACGAGCCAGTGATTGCGAGAGCGCCAACACAACAAAATACTGCATGAAAATATATATCCATGACATTCAGGTTGTCTGACAACTATGAAGTGATAGCACTCATAAAATAAAATGGGTTTAGGGCAACCTTGTCAGGAAATGCAAATTTCAGATCATTATAGGAATAACTAAATTTAAGACAATGTTATGGCATGTCAATTGAAATTTCACAAAAAAAATATAGGATTAGCAAGTTAACAAGTTATAACAGTAAACTTCATATTTTTCTGAACGAACTGCTTATAGTAATATACATTTGTGATAACTTAATTTTAGTGCTAACTGAAACCCAGAAATATTTCATAGACCGTGCATTCCAGAATTAGCAATACCATTCTTGCTGTTCTTTTATAATATTGGTGGGAATATAGATGATCTTTCTTGATATTATATAATCATCCTAAAGCATCAATTAACTTCTAGTTCTACTTAGGTACCATAAAAAACAGGACATATAGCAAACAAGAAAAGACATACTCTGCCCAGCGTGTGATTCACCTCCTGGCATAGCTCCAAATCCACCATCCAAGTTCTTACAGCTTACAATATAATCAACAGCTTTTTGCACATTAATTTTTTCCAGCCGATGCAGCAAAGAGAGGGTGCATATTGCAATGTATGAGAATCTACAAACAATAGGTTAGGCTTGCATTAGTAGATCATACAAAAGTTGTGTTGAAAGTTCAGAGCACAGAGATGGGATATCAAAAGGATTTTACCTAGTGTCCACTTCACCCCAAATATCACCAGAAAATGATCCATCTTCATTTTGAAGCCCAGCAATGTCTGACATGATTTAAATAGGAAAAAAAGGGAACCAGATCTCAAGCTGAGGATGCAGTAGTCCAATTTACATAACAAACTACAGGACTGTGCAATCCTCAATTTCATATTGGATAACATGCCACAATTCATTGTATGTGGTAAGGGAACAAGTAAGTCGATGCAGGAATGAAATATCCAAGACAGAGGGAACTAGGCTATACACTGTATTTTACTTTGAAGTATAGCTGATACTCTCATCAAGTCTGACAGTAAGCTGATTTCAGGATCAACAGGTTAGCAGCTGAAATACACTGTTTCTTATGAGAAACAAAAATAGATTGATAACTTAGTGACAGATTTATAGGCAAAACCACAAAAGCATGATGCAAGGAGATATATTTCCGCTTACATCACGATATCTTGGTCTTTCGCATTCTGATTTCGTTTTTTGGATCAGTCTCATGGATCTTGGTTCAGGCAGTAAAGCGAGTTAACACAATCCAATTTAATCGTGCCATATCATCTATTATCCTCTAAGTAGAATATTCACACATACTGCAGCACGTTAGTACTAGTGCAGTCTACAAACTTGCTATCCTGTACTTACTGGTTAGTGAGGATCTAGAGGACAATAAATACTTCTGTGACGCGAGCGTACACTTCTCTTAAGCAAAATCTATTGTCACTGAATGAGGGATGAATTTTCCCATTATTAAGAAAACTGAATGCATAGCATCCTTAAGCTACACCTTTCGTACTATCCAAACTTGCGAATTCATGCAAAACAGTCAGCCTCAAAGTAAAGTTGCAGGATTGACTAGATTCATTTGGACATTGATAACCTAATGTTTGCACAAGCATGATGAACCTCACTCAAGATCTAGTAGTGAAGGATACAATCAGCAACCTTATCGACATCGAGAGCGTCAAGCCGATCAAAGAGGCACAGGACCTGCACGGCGCTGAGCGTGTAGAGGACATGCGCGTCATGCCCAACGTTTCCCCCGAATCCACCTGCAACACCCAAATCCGAAGATGAACCAAACGCACAGATCAAGTCAAGAACACACATCTCCTCTCAAGGATCCAAAGACCACCACCACCAACAACAATCAATCAATCAATCAATCAATCAATCAATTCCACCCCCTCCTTCTCGTGGTACCGGATTCCGGGTGGTAGCAGGACATGATCCACTCGATGACCTCGTCGGCTTCCACGGCGCGGAGCTTGTGGAGGAGGTCGAGCGTGGTGAGGCCCCAGTACGCGCCGTTGAGCCGGATGTGCTCCATCACCAGCGACTCGAACGAGTCCTTCCTCTGCATCACAGCAGCAGCGAAGACCATCCAATCAGAATCAGCCGCTGCATCGAGCAGAGCGAGAGGCGGCCTACCTTCTCCACGGTGACGATGTAGCGGACGTGCTTCTCCGCCGCCAGCTCCCCTCCATCCCCCATGGCTGCGCCGGTTGGACCAGAAGCTTCGCGAGGGCGGCGGCGGAGGCGGCGACGGCGAGGAGAGCGGTGTCGCGAACGACGGCGGCGGCGGCCGGTGGGTGATTGGTTGGGCCGCGGAAAAGTAAGCGAAATGGTGGGATAAGATGGGCCGGAAATGGGCCTCAACTTTTCCGTGCTATCTGCGCCCGAGGCCCAACTGCTTGATAAGGAGAGCACCTTGTTTGGAACATATGAGAATATTTTTTCCCAATTAATAGAAAATTATTTTTTTCTCTATAGTTTAATAAACTCTATGCAAAATTAATCTGATCATCATTCTAACTTTCTGACTCTTCCGTTTCTTCTTAATGTATGAAATTTTTAACCTTTTGGTTTACGTTTGATTATTTGTATTATATTTTTCTTACATAATTATCATTCATTTTGTTCTGGTTTGTTTTATCATTAAAGATACTTTGAACATGACTAATACTCCTATATTTCTAAATTTGAAAAAGAATGATTTAAACAATCAAAATTATGTCTAAAATTCAACAACATCATACATTAAAAATAATCAGATGGAGTAGATGGCTAAAATTCGGTGCATTTAAAGTCTCACGTGTTTTTCAGGTTCTTAACAACAAATCAAATCAAGCATTTGGTTGTTTTTTTTATAGATGAAGCATTAATTTGTTTCCCTTGATGCCACAAACTTAACAAATCTTTTTGCCTGCAGAACATTTTACATCTGCATGCCTCACCATTTCACCTCCCCAAACCAAAGGAGAAAAACAAAAAGCTAGCAACTGCGATCGAGATCATGTACACCAATGGAAGAAGATCGAAGTGGAGATCACCACATATCTAAGGTAAACTACGCAGCATTATCCCAGCACAGTCAGGCAAGCTAGGTTCAGTCGCCGACTCGCCGCCGGTGGCTTTGGATATCAGTAGCTCAGAAGAAGGTGTGGTAGTAGTTGTTGGCCGCCATGAGGCTGCCGGCGGCGTAGGCGCTGAGCAGCTCGTTCCTCGGCGACCATGGCTCCGCCCTGAGCCCCACCCTCCTGAGCGCCTTGAGGATCTTGCTCCGGTTCGCGTACCCGGTCACCACCACCTTCTGCAGGCTCCCCTCCACCTCCACCCTCTCCACCCCTGCACACATTGTTCAGACATGCATTCTTCAGAGTTCAGACATTCCCATCATTGCAGCCACAGGCAATGATCGAGCTAGGTTAAGACCATTCATATTTATTCATTCATTCATTCATGGCTTTGGGAAAGAAAGAAAGGGAGAAAGAGAGAGGAAGAGATCTGCGACATGGCTACAGCGAAATGCAGAGACAAAGATGAGGTTTCTGGGGGGGCTAGCCTTGCTAGCTAGCTACATCTGGCTGCTGGATGCTGGTCTTTAGTTTTTTTTTTCTCTTCTGGTTTTTTTACCTTTCACTTTGGACAGGCATTTTCGTACCCTCTTCTCATGCAGTGCCACCATCTCCACTTTCAGCTCGGTGCTCTGCACGCATGGCAAAAACTAATTAATCATCAGTATAATTAAGTTTGCATCACATCCATTGATCATGCAAGAGGCAGTAATATCCAAGTATTAATTCACATTCTTTTTTTATTTATTTTTGCATGTAGGAGATATTATTGAAACAGATCAGAGAAGTTGTAGTTGTCTTTTTCATGTGTATACTGTGTATTGTTACTGTAAGATGGGGTAGGATAGATACAGTAACAGATTAAATATGGTTCTGATCATTTGAGTGCAATGTACAGTTCTACATGCTGCTATTCTACTTTTCTGTCTGAAATGTTTCTGATTTCTGCAATGTACAGTACAAGGACAGATGATGATTAAAAGGTACATGCAGATGCACACGAGATTTCATATCATTTCATCATGCAGATCGACAAGCAGAAGCTCACTATATGATGGCATGCATCATTCTCAAGAGAGACAACAACCGTACCTAGCTAGCTATGATAAGGCTATGAACCTGACTGAATTATCAACTAAACATTAAAGCATTCTCAAACAAATAACACACATTCAGACCATGCATGGATGGATTTTCAACAAGCAAAAACTAACCTCCATGGATGAACAATCGATCTTACACAATTGTCGGTTCCTCGATCGGCGCGACGGTGCGGAGGAAGAAGAAGAAGAAGAAGATCGAATTAGAGGGAGAATGATGATGAGGACGGCGCAGGGCTCTTATAGCAGAAGAGAGAAAGACCCACGAGAAGAAGCTATAAGGCGTAGCAACAAAGGCACAAAAGAGGCACCGGCAGGATGTGATGAATGGGAAAGGTTAAAGACGGTGTTTCAAGAGATTCCTGGTGCTTGGAGCTAATCTATGGCCTACCTATGAAATGGTGGCGATCTCTCTCTACTTTTCCAAAGGTGATCTAGGTCTACATGGAGATGAGTGAACCGTAGAGTAGTTTACTTCTTCTTCTTCGTCCTCAAGCTCACTTCTCAATGGCGAATGCATGGCTAGCTCATGGGCACGCAATGAGAGGTTGATTTCAGAGACTCGATCGACTGCATGCAGGAGACATGCTGCCACACATGCATCTCTCTCTCTCTTTCTTCAGAGTTTCAGTGTCATATGCTACAAGAATACACTTCAGTCTTCAGACAAAGTTGCTGAGCTACTGCTGCGATTGGTCGTAGAGGATCCTGCATTGTCCATGGTGACATGGACGTACCTCCATTGACGAGTCCAAGCTTGCTTTTGGAGGTGTACTCCTACTACTACTCTGAGTATCTGACTGGTGGGGCCGGGTAGGAGCTGTGTGAGGAGGCAAGGAATACAGTTTGGAATGTCTGGAGATCTACAGGACCAAATGGTTACAAAAAGAGCAAAAGCGCAAAAGGTTAAAGACGAAATGCATGAGGAGAAGAAGAAAAGAGCATCATGGAGCTAAGACAGCAAATGGACCATGGTGCAAGTTTGGTATTCTTGGCTTGGCTTCACCACGTATCCATCTCACATGCATTATTCTACATGTTTCTTTTTCTCGCAGTTGATTCTAGAGACAGCAAACAACTACTGATGGATCCTAACTCAATAATGAATGAAAAAAAAAAAGTCTTGTGATGATTGCCACCTACAGTAATTACAATTGTGTATATTTTGTTCTAAGGAGGTACTTTCTTCGTTTCATAATGTAAAACTTTTTAGCATTGTCCATATTTATATAGATGTTAATGAATCTAGAGAACATCTATATAAATATAAAAAATGCTAGAAAGTCTTACAATATGAAACGGAGGGAGTATTTACCAGGTATATAGACATTTATTTGTAATGTTAATCATGAGACCCGATTAACAATATGAACAAGCGAATGGTGTTATGGCGATCTCTACTGGTAGTATCACACTACCAGCGTATATATCTTGTAAAACCTATAAGAGAGGACGAAAGGAAAACTCAATATTTATGATATATAAACTATCTTTCTATATTAATTTCTGGCATTATTAATCCAAAATTCCAGCTACAAACATTTACTCCAACTTATCCTGGCAAAACTTACTGCCCATGCATCCACCACATGCAACAGATCGATTGTACATGCAAAACCTCGAGAAATCACGAATAAATCAACTGCTACCACCACCACAATATCACCTGAAGTCTAGCTCACTGATTAACCAAAGTCATCACTGACTAAGCACCTTCCTGATCTCTGCATCAAATTAAAGCAGCTGGCGCAGCTACTGCGGCTCTAGCTTCCTGGCACGAGCGATGTCGGCGGCGGCGGCGCCGCCTCTGCAGCAGGTCTCCTCGTCGCAGTTGCCGGCGATCCTGCCGGACTTGAGGTAGCCGAGCTCGACGCAGGTGTTCCCCGGGATGACGTGGTAGCCGACGTCCTGCACCGGGCTGTGCTCGCTGCAGACGGCGTAGGTGGCGTCGTCGAGGGTGCCGTCGCGGTAGACGATGAGGCCGTCGTCCTCCACGCCGTGGCTTCGCATCACCCGGAACACCTTGTCGAACACCCTGTCCTGCGCCGTCGTCACCGGCATGCACCTGATTTCACGATGATCAAGAAGAGAAGAAGAAGGAAAGAAGGATCAAGAAATCAATTAAATGGAGGGATTCATCAATATCAAATCGTTTCTTATCTCCAAAGACGAATCATAAATCGTGTCAAAAGTTCACTGAATTGGTTTTCAAGGATTTGATCTAACAATTACAGGTACAATCAATCAAGGGGTGAAAACAGTATGGAAATTTCCCGATCGTATCGTTTCCTTTTTGCAAAACTAATCTAAGAATGATATCTTTACCGACTATTACCGTTTCTAAAATTTAGTTTTTCTAATTTCTATCAGCGTCGCATTGAAGTTGAAACTAAATAAACAAATTAGTAAGTATAAAATTTTTCAATCATTTAAAAAAAATAAAAAAATGATATCGTTTCTAACCGTTTTCATCCTAACACTAACAATCAGTTGCTCATTATGATTGGACCCGATGTTTAGGCTAGTCAGTATTTGGGCTGGCCTTTTTATCGTTGAATGTGGCTGGGCCTCTCAAGAAAAAAGCCCAACTACCTCACCACATCTAATGCCTTCTTTACCTTTTTTTTTCCGAATATTTTTTGCAAGCGAAGATTTTTGGAACGATTTTTTACCAGCTGTACTTGTACTTGGTTATGATATCTCCCTCTTTTACCTTTTTTTCCGAATATTTTTTTGCAAGTGAAGATTTTTGGAACGATTTTTTACCAGCTGTACTTGTACTTGCTCATGATATCTCTCTCTTTCGCATGACGAACAGAAATTTATCACGACTTTTTCAATAACACAAGGCACCAAATTAAAAAGGCTACAAGGCTTTAACCAAAGCATGAATTAACGTTTCCTTCATCTGAAAAACGAGTTAGCTTCTCAGCCTTTTTATGCAGCAGTATCTATCATCATATCCTGGATAATTAATTATCCACACTAGCGAGATTAATAGCAGGATCAGCTTCGATGTGACAAACCAAAGCCGTCATCAAAATCACACAAAAAAAATCACACGCTAATAATAGCTGAAGTTCAAGAAAGCGATCACGATGTATACACCAATCGATTTTCTAGCGAAACCACACCAAAAAGCGTCAGAGACACACCTAACACGAGATTAGCGTTCACCTAATCAACCTTTCCCATCCTAATATCAATATCACTAATCACACGCTAAACATTCCATCCGATTCATTACAGCAGGAAATTCTCAACGGAGAAAATTTCATCAAAAAGGTTCATATAATATTAGTTTATTTTTAAATTCTCAACGGAGAGAAAATTACATAAAGAAGATTCATATAATATTAGTTTCTTTTTAAATTCTCGACGAAGAAAATTTCATAAAAAAGTTCATATAATATTAGTTTCCTTTTGTATTTTGAGTTGAATTGGATGGGATTGAGATGACAATGTCTGCGTGGACGATGCAACAAGCGTGCAACAGCAACAGGCTAAAAAGTTGGTAGAAAAAAACAAGAAAGAAACAAAAAAAAGAGGAGAAGAATCCGGCCATGGCGGGGGGAGGAGGAGGGGATTGACCTGACGTGGAAGAGGCTGGCCACGCGGAGGGCGCCGAGGTAGAACTCGACGGCGCCGAGGAACGCCTGGTACGTGCGGAGGTGGAGCGCGTCGACGCGCGGGCACGGCAGCCGCGGCCGCGGGCCGAGCCACCCCACGCCGGCCGCCACCGCCGCATTGCCGCTCCGCCGCCGCCGCCCCGCCGCCGCGACCCCGACGAACGCGTACTCCCTCCACGCCACCGGCTGCCCCGCGCCCGCCGCGCCGCCGCCCTGCGTCGTCGTCGGCGGCGGCGGCGTGGGCAGCGCGACGAACCCGGCGGCGGCGAGGATGGGCTCGAGCTCGACGTGGGTGAGGATTGGGCGGAACGTGGCCGAGTCCCACAGGGACAGCTTCTTGGCAGCCTCCTGCATCGTCAGCCTCATGTCCCGTGGCCCCCTTCCTCCTCCTCCCGCGCCGCCGCCCATCGCCGCCATGGGAGGAGAGGTTTCTCTTGGGGTTTATCTCGGTGGATGGACGCGTCACCCACACCTCGCGTTTTATTTATGTTCGCGATGAAGACTTCTCTTGAGATTATTTGAATCAAAAAAAATTAAAAAGAGAAGATTTTGGGGGAAAAAAATTAAATTAGGAGAGGGAGCAGCGAAAGGTGGGCGTCGTGAGAGATGAGATAGGGAGATGCATTGGGATTCTCTCTGCTCGGCAAATATTTTTGGAGGGTTCAGGGCCGTGATAAACGCTCTCTGCACCCGGAAATTGGAAGAGGAGGTGTAAAACTTTCTCTAATGGTGACACTGACATGTGGGGCTACGACTATTTATTTGTATACAAAGTGGTAAGTTTGAATTGTGAATTCCCGCGCAATAGTGGATAATAGTGGTCGAGTTTGAGATGTGAATTCAATGAGCTATGTACGCTTTACGCCGACATGCTAAAACGGAAAGAGTTTCCTTGTGTGAATATAGAAATTCAATGCACGTTGTCTAGCCGCCATAAGTAGCAACCGTTAAGTTTTGCGTATAAAATAGAGTCGCGTGAAGTAGTCGCTTTGTGTGGTTATATTGAATTAGGAAGATTTTTCTTATCCAAACAATGCAATTCAATGTGTCGTATGTTGCCGTCCTACGAAACAAACGGTGCGTATCTAGTCAATATACGATTCTCGATCATCATCAGAGAGAAGCCGTTCCACGGTGACGCACGGTGGAACAGACCCCTGTATGAGCTAGATGTTTAATGAAATATATCTTCTGCATGCATTCATTGATATGAAAACGTCATCGTTATACATAAAAGCAATAATTCAATAAATATTGTGTGGAAAAATAAATTCAATAAATTTATGCTAGTGTCCTTTTGTGAATAAAATAGACATTGGCATACAGAGTAGTGATATGTAAGCCACCAAGATAAATACCACGTTAGCAACCGTGTGGAATTCATATGTATCCAAATTTTTCATAACTCCAATATTATCTCCTACAATAACTGTCTTAAAGCAAATCTGGTACATATTTAGAATCACCTTAATAACAATATCTTGTAGATATTCAAATCTACCATAATAAATCACCTTAAAAACAAACCATGTATAGGATATTAGGATATCCCAAAACCTCCTATCTTGGCCACAAATTCTTTAAAACCATCCTTTTAATGAGATGCCCCACCTGTCAGTGAAACGGGCCCGGGAAGTAGGAAGTCGGCGGCGCTCGCGTGGCCGTAGCCGCGGCGTCGACGCAAGAGCGGCCAACTCGGTGGCGGTGGCGTTGGCGTTGGCGTGGGCGTGCGTGAGCATCGCATCAACCAACTGCGACGCTGGCATGCGATGCGACGCCGCCCGAGCAGGCAGCCGCTGACGCCTCCTCCCGCAACGCCGCACGCACGCGCGCGCGCACGGCGCGTTGCCGCTGCCGCTGCCTACCGCGCGCGCGCGTGCGTTTCTTTGGCCTGCGCTTGCGGCTCGCGCTGCGGTTGTCGCCGCCGTGGGCGGCCCCGCGTCTCGCCGAGTGCGCGTGATGCCGCTGCTGGTGAGACGGGACGAGACCGGGCGCGGTGTGCAGTGGCCGCGGCATCAGCGTGCGTGGCGTGGCGGCGCCGAATCCCGAGAGGACGGGCAAAGGCGGCCAGGTCTCGAGCTCTTTTGGTACATGTTTTGGCTTGCAGATTATCGTGTCGACAAGCAATGGACATGGGTCAGGGTCACGTTCATGCTTCGATCTTTAAAATCAAATTCAGTTTTTTCACTTGAATTTCGCACGAAAAAATCATTGGCTTGAACTCAGGACTGCAGTTTTAATCATCTGGGAAGTGTACAATCATACCAAATCTTCAAAAGTGAAAAAGAAAAAGAGAATACTTGCGATCGGCACAGGATAAAAACCAGACGTCCTGAGCCCCTGACGCAGTAGACTACACAGCTATTCCCTTCGTCCCACTAATATTTTATTTTTGAAAACGCTTGATCATCCGTTTTATTTAAAAAATTATGAACAAATTTAAAAAATTTAGCCACACACAATAATAAAATATTTTTAAATAAGATGAAGAGTAGACGTTGTATCAAAAACTGAAAAATGGAGCCTTTGTGGCATAGAGGGAGTAGCTACTAGTTTCTTCTTTTTTTTTCTTTATTTAAATATTTTTTTCCTCCTAAACCACTTATCTGTTCTATGACCCGATCACATTGTTATATTAGTTGTAATTAAATCTTTATAACAAGATATCATATGATTATATTTTGATAAAAAAACATGTGTTTTAAACCGTTAAAACTTAATTTTTCATACACGATAGTGATATGTTTCAACGTGTCTCACAAAAATCACGCAACTAAGTGCACCTACGAACAATATTCTCTATGCATGCATTTATCGATCTTCAAAACGAATATTTTTCCTAAACTACTTATCCAATTTATGATCCAATCACACTGTTGTATTCATTATAATTAAATTAAAAAAAGATATCACGTGATTATATTCCGATGAAACTATAACAAATATTTCAGGCTCTCATCGGATGGCCTATTCAGTCAAAGAAAAAAAACCAAATTTGAAATTTCAAACTTAATTTTAACATTGATTTTGAGATATTTTCAACGTAGTTTTTTTTCAGCATTGGCTTTTAAGTCACCGAGTACACATACATAAAAGTTTTACCTACAAATTCATCTTTATTATCTAATAAGCCGACGAAAAAAGCCAAACGATGGGCCCTCAATCCATTAACACTCAATGTTTCAACGTGTTTCTACTATGTTCCAAAAAATTTTAAATGTTTTAGTGACCGATTTTTCCACTACGTAGAACTCAATGTTTCACCGGTGATCATCCGGAACACAGGACCATTCGATTTTAAGCAATCGGATGTTTGATTTGGAGTGTCCTCCTAAAGAAAAGAGAAAAAAAGAAAAACAATTGTATGGGCATCGGCCTCTCGGGCCCCGCCACGAGCTGCAAAGCCCCTCCCTCCGCGGCCGCCGCCACGAGCCCACGGCTCTCGCTTCTCATCTCACCTGCTCGCAATGGCGAGCAAGAAGAGCTCGACGCAGGCGTCTCCCATGGCCGCCGCCGCCGCCAGCCTTCTCCTCGGTCTCCTCCTCGTCCTCCCCGTGCCAGCCGTCTCGTCGTCGGACGCGGAGGAGGCGGTGGTCTCCCGGTTCCGGGAGTACCTCCGCATCGACACGGCGCAGCCGGCGCCGGACTACGCCGCGGCGGTGGCGTTCCTCCGGGGGCAGGCCGGCGCCGCGGGGCTCGAGGCGCGCACGCTCGAGCTCGTCGCCGGCAAGCCCCTGCTGCTGCTCCGGTGGCCCGGGCGGCGCCCGTCGCTCCCTTCGCTGCTCCTCAACTCCCACACCGACGTCGTGCCGTCGGAGCCGCACAAGTGGGACCACCCGCCCTTCTCCGCCGCCCTCGACGAGGCATCCGGCCGCATCTACGCGCGTGGCTCCCAGGCAAGATTCGATTTCTTGTCTCCAAGATTGCTTAAAATCTCTATTTTTGGTTGTTTGGTGAACTCTAGCTATGTTGTCAGCATGTTCCTTGTAATCATTTGAGCTATGCGATTTTAGTTTTTCCATCAATAAGTTCGTTTGATCCGTATTTAAGTTAGGGCTATTTGGCTGGAATTATCCCCATACATCAGTATCCTGCGAAAGACAGCAAACTATGCATCTGTAGGTGTGTGTTATTCTTGGCCTGTCATCAGCAAGAGGTGATTCTTTTGCCAGTGATTTTTCCCACAGATGATTTTTGTTGCTCGAATTTCTTATAGGTGCTGTAGTCACTAGTTTCGGTTTAAAGTTCTTGATATCCATACTCCGTGTGTCCTAGTAACCTCCAGTTAAAGTGGAAGTGTGAAGGGCATACAACTTTGTGAACCTAGTTTACTAAAGATACAACCTTCAATATGGTGTCTGAAAGCCACTACTTATGGTTCTATATGCATATCCATGTGGACTTTCCCGACAGGTATTTTTCAGAAAATAAAGCATCTTAAAATTTAGTTGTTTTTGTCTTGTATTCCATTAATCCATTTTGCTTCATTCAGTTGATCGAAATGATTGAGTGGTTTGACATGCATGATCCTATTAGGTAACATTCGGAGCATTTTTGCTGTGAAATTTCTCATTCCAGCTCTTAGACTGTGCAGAAAGCTGCTACAAGGCATGGTTATTTATTTTATCTAAGATATCTTTTAATGTTTTCGGTGGTTATTGCAGGACATGAAGTGCGTGGGGATGCAGTACCTTGAAGCCATCCGCCGTCTTCGTAGTGCAGGCTTTATCCCAGATCGGAATATCTATCTTACATTTGTTCCAGATGAAGAAATTGGTGGGCATGAGGGTATAGAAGCATTTGTTGCATCAAAGGAGTTCAAAGACATGAATGTAGGTTTGGTTCTCGATGAAGGGCTTGCATCACCTGGGGAGGAGTACCGCGTGTTCTATGGGGAGCGTAGTCCTTGGTGGCTTACTATTAAAGCTAAAGGAGCCCCAGGGCATGGTGCAAAGCTGTATGATGGTAGCGCAATGGAGAATTTGATGAAGAGTGTGGAAGCAATTAGGAGGTTCAGAACATCACAGTTTGATTTGGTCAAGTCCGGAGCAAAGGCTGAAGGGGATGTTGTATCAGTGAATTTTGCATACTTGAAGGCTGGCACACCGACACCAACGGTTAGTTGTTCCATTTTTCCTTCCACTCATGCGCTAAGTTGTAGTTTTTACCTTTAGGAAGTGAGGTGTAACCTGATATTTTACCATACACCATTAACAGTCCAAAACATCAATATCTTGAATAACTGACCTCGTCCTCACTTCCTAGTGTGATGTATCCTATCATATTCATGACCTCTCATTTCCAGACGGCATATTCCATAAATTGTTTATTTGGTATTTTTCTTGACTACTGATTGTATATTTTCTACTGTTGTTTGTATTGTTTTTTTTTGTTATTGATATTAAGAATCTATTGTGTATTGCAGGTTCTGTCTCTCCTATAGATGAGAAAAATACAATAAAGGAATAATAATCCACCTGCTAAAAAAAGAGTTCAACATGCTTGTGACTAGCTGCTCTTTTAATTTTGCACCAGCATTAATCTAATCCAACTACCTTGTTTCGTTGCTAGTTGGTTGAGTCAGTATCAGTTCTATAAGGACTGTAAAAACAGAAATACAAATTGAGTTTGTAGTCACACTCGTCTTCTGAATCTTAGACTTTTGTATCCAGCCATTCTTGGAGTTGTAGAATTGTTCATTTCCATTTTATGCTTTTATGTATGATTCATCCATTATAATTATTAGCTTATGTTATGGGTTTTAGTGGTTGTAGTTGATGAGTTTTCCTTGACTTCTCTTTTTCAGGGTTTTGTCATGAATCTACAACCATCTGAAGCAGAGATAGGTCTAGACATCCGACTCCCTCCTAGTGTTCATACTGAGGCTCTAGAGAAGCGTCTTGCTGAAGAATGGGCACCTTCTTCACGCAACTTGACATTTGAGGTATGATGTTCTTGGTAGGCCTAAGATTTGGAACTAATGCATGCTTAAACGTGTGATGTTTGTTACTTCTTGTTTGTTGTCATTGGGGAATAAATGGGATATGCTACCTGAAATATATTTCACTTTACATTCTTTTTTGGGACTTAAATCCATATATTAATTTGATTTTTTATGGACTTGCAATTAGCAAAGGATTTAGGCAACACACTTTTCAGAATAATTGTAAAACAATAAGATCATTCATGCAGTTTTTGTTTCATAGAATTCATTGGACTGTTGTTCTTTTGACAGTGTACTATTTTAACGATTTCGACTTGGGTGTCTTTGCTTGGGTGAATTAAAGTTCAAGCATTACATTGTGATGACCAAACAATGGAGCCTATCATCATGCAGTCTTTATTTGTTATTCTTTTTAATGATGCAATCTGCTAAATGTACGGCATGCTCTTAATTTAGTGTATCTTAGATAAGCCTATAATCATATATATTCTGGATGTCTGTTTGACAGTTCAAACAAAAGACCTCTGTACTTGACAACTTTGGCAAGCCAGCCGTCACCCCTGCTGATAGCTCAAATGTATGGTGGGCTCTATTTGAAGAGGCTGTGAAGAGAGCCGGTGGCAAACTTGGTAAGCCGGAAATATTCCCGGCCTCTACTGATGCTCGTTACTTTCGGGTGCTTGGGATACCAGCATTTGGTTTTTCTCCAATGACAAACACACCGATATTGCTCCATGATCACAATGAGGTTAGAATCACTTATCTTCATTTTGTATTTCTTATACCATATCTCTATCCCGTGAAATTCTCGAGCTGAAAGATGGATGGATATTGTTTGTTAACAGAGTGATATTTATCTTTTGCCCTTTACAATATCATGTTTACAAACATGGATATCTAGTGGGCAAATGGCAACTCCACAATTGAAATCACAACGATAACAAGAAAAATACCAATACCAACATTGTTGACTCTATAACTTATTATGTTGCAGTTTCTGAGCAAAGATGAGTACCTCAAAGGGATTGGGATATACGAGTCTATCATCAGGACATTGGCCACTCTTAAGGACAGCAATGTCGACTACGAATCCAGGGCAGAGCTATGAAGAAAATGTTTAGGCAAAACCTGATACTGCCATAATTCTTGCAATCAGATGGAGCACAGAAACATGTTTCGGCAAATCAACTGTGTTTTCTTACTGCTCCTAGGGTGGAATCGAAACTTCGAACACGATCGTTGTAAATTTTCATTGAAACCTGTTTAGATTTTAGAATAAATTGATCCTGCATTTGCAGTTAACCTGTATGCTTTTCGCAACTGCTGGTGCTGCTTGATGCATCATTGGCTCACTGCTGTAAAAAGAATAAGAAAAGTAAACCCACGCAATGCAATGCATGCTGTGTCAGAATGCACTTGTTTATGCCTGGAGTTGCTTTTGCTCCTGTGGAATGTGTTGAAATTCGCATGGAACTCGCTGAAATTCCAACCGAAAATTAATTTGGAGCCGCGTCGGAACGTCGAAAAACCACGAAAACCGATCGGATCGCGTCGGCTTTGTAAACTGGTGACTGCGACAAAGCTCTGCTCATGAAAATGGCAGCTGAAAATTTCCTGTCCATACGCCGGTGGATGGATACAGAATTGCAGTCTTACATATTCATGTCACTACGCAGCAACGGACAACATGGTAGCACACATCACTCTTTTCACACCAGCATTTAGCAGCATTTCTTCTCTTTGCAACTGATGCTGAACCACACCACTAGGTTTCAGTGAAAGAGGAGTGCAAGAAAGAAAGAGCTAATCCGGTCAAAAAGATGAAGAACAAAAGTACAAAGAAGAAGGCAACAAAAGGAGATGAGAAACAGAAAGGACAAGACGGGAGGGAACGGATTCTTACTCTCTCAAGAGGATGTCCCCACGTGTATCTTTTCCTTTCAAATTCAATACAAATAGTTACGAAAAATTCTACCAAAATTTAATAATGTAGTGTATAGTGACATCTATTAGTTCATCAAATTCAAGTTCAGATTCGATCAAGACAAATTTATGAGTATTGCTATACGTACGATTCAGTTGTACAACTTATGTACAACTAGAGACATGCAACCATAGATCAATCAAAGGAGAACATGTTCAGATGCACTGCATCCGTTTACAACCGTTGATCAAATTCATACGTGTGCATAGCAATTTCCCAAATTTATGTGTGAACCGTACGCTACTATTCATACTTCGAATTTATCTTCTTTTTATATATCTCAATGCGTGGATTAAGTCCGAACCAAAAATTTTGTGGAGTGATATATATGTTGTATGAGTGTCATTAAATTTTGAAAAACCGTCTAAATGGTTTCAAACAAATAATTAAGAAGGACATCTACTCGAGAGATCAAAACAGTTTCCTGGACAATGTGCCATGCAAATACTCAAATAGGGGACGTAGAAAAGGAAAAAGGCCCACTGGGCTGAGAATTGGAGAGTCTGAGACAGCCTACCTCCCCTTCTCCACCATCTCATCCACGCCAACGCCGAAACAGAGCAAAGGCCAAGAAGCCCTAGCCTAGCCATGGTCGGTGGAGGCCGCCGGCGACAGTGACCGGCGAGGGCGAGGCGGTGCCGGCGGTGGTGGGGAGAGAGATGTCGGTGAGGATAAAGGCGGTGGTGGACAGGTTCGTGAAGGAGCTGAAGGAGGCGCTGGACGCGGACATCCAGGACCGCATCATGAAGGAGCGGGAGATGCAGAGCTACATCGAGGAGCGCGAGCGCGAGGTCGCCGAGCGGGAGGCCGCGTGGAAGGCCGAGCTATCCCGCCGCGAGGTAAACCAATCCCCCAATCGATGACTCTCGGCTCAATTCTTTTTCTCCTTTTTTGGTTCCAGTTATTCCCTGCATTATCTGTTCATAGTGTTCTATCTTGATGCAGTTGCAAGGTATTTTTTCCCCAATTGTATGTTGTTGCTTTAATTGTTCTTGTTAGTTCCTTACAATTATGGCTTGAAATGTGATTGAGATGAAGATGATAGTAGTTGATACCAAAGTTGGTTGTTTCTTTGATGAATTGGTGTCACTGTGTCAAAAAAATTGTCAATGCCCTTCAGTTCCTTGCTAGGATGAACAAGTACATTGTAAGAGATTATTCCTTACCTTGCACTGTAGTCACTAGGGCAGCAAAAGGAATAAAGCTGGCCTCCTTGAGTTTACGTAGAGAATATAGACGACCATCCAAAAGCGAAAAGCGGAGATAAGGATGCAAGAAATGCCTAATAAGTAGGAAGCATATTAATCATAGTATTAATATGATTAATACTATTTAAGGAGCACTGTTTCATCTAGTAGTCATCAAGCGAGCAGAAAAGAACGTATCGTTCTAGTCTCCTTTGAGTTCATAAGCAGGAATGTCCATGCCTTTTTAGTTGTATGGTGTGGCTCATACACAGAATTAGAATTTCTGTGGCCTTTTTATTATTTAAAGTTATGACCTGATATTGATGTTTCCAGCAGAGAAAAAAATTGGCACATTGTCTTAGGAACTATATAGCTATTTGATTGATGTGGTTTCTTTTGGGAGAGGATAGAATCTTCCGAGGAAACAAATGACTCGGAATGCCAATACTAGCAGACTAATAGCGCATCTGGAAGAGAGAGTAACATGATTTGAAAGGGGTAGATGTGGACTACAAGCGGTCCTGATTCTGTAAACATTTTCATAGTCCATGCACCCCTAACAGTTGTACAATATAATTTGCTTGTGAATCTGCACATAGTTTTGGTCACTCGCAGACTAACAAAGTTAATTATTCAACTAAAGATCTACTAGTCGAGTGCCTAGAGAGTGTCCATACATAATTGAGTGATCCATTTTTCAGTCCTGATGTTTTGCTTCGACTGCTGTTTTTTGCATGGTGACACTACTGAATATGGCATTACATACTTGGTCTTTTGCAGGCAGAAATTGCGCGACAAGAAGCAAGGCTGAAAATTGAAAGGGAGAACTTGGAGAAAGAAAAGAGTGTCCTCATGGGAACTGCTTCAAGCCAGGATAACCAAGACGGGGCCCTGGAAATCACAGTCAGTGGTGAGAAATACAGGTGCCTTCGCTTCTCCAAGGCAAAGAAGTGAGATATGGGCTACAGAAGTTGACAAGAATAATCGTGGATGGTACACCAATAGTAGCATTTTTTAGCCTTAGATGTGATTCAAGCTTGGGTGCTTCATGAAATCCTGCAGTGTCCAAAAATGAGGAAAGATACTCCTCTCTTTTTATGGTGTAAGGTAGCTACCAGGCAGTGTAGTCTCTGCAGCCATCTGATTCCTCTTAATCGAATCATTGAGCATCAAAGGTGATCTGAGCCTGCCATTTGCGTGTCTTGGCATGTAGTAACATGGACTTATATTAGATCTAGCTTATGCCACAAATGGCTTCATGGCAACTTCTTCAGTATCAGAGACACCTCTTCTGTCTTGGGCTGTGTTTAATTCACACTAAAATTGGAAGTTTATTTGAAATTGGAACGATGTGACGAAAAAGTTGGAAGTTTGTGTGTGTAGAAAAGTTTTGATGTGATGGAAAAGTTGGAAGTTTGAAGAAAAACTTTGAAACTAATCACGGCCTTGACCATTTTTTCCGGTTAGCTATTGGGTTCAGAAAAGGAAGTTCTCAAAATTGTATAAACTCTGTGTTAGCTGTTGGGTTCAGAAGGTAAGTTTCGAAGGCCGAGTTTAGTTTCAAAATTTTTCTTCAAAGTTTCAACTTTTCCATCACATCAAAATTTTTTCAACACACAAACTTCTAACTTTTCCATCACATCGTTTTTATTTCAACCAAAGTTATAATTTTGGCGTAAAAACGCACGCCAAGTTGAGTGTCAAAATGAAGACCTAACTTCACCTCCTAGTGGCCAGTACTTCAGACATGTGTGATGAGTACCCACCTGAACCTGACAACGACCGTTACCGGAAAAGCCAGAGGTTGTCCAGCAGATGTTCATTAAAGAGCGTGATTTGCTCTCCTCAACCGTATTCCCTGCCAATCCGTTCACCTGCAATTTCTGCAGAATTAAACTGCTGAACTGGGCGGTAGCAGTACTTCCAAGTTTTCAACCTCTCCAAGATAGAAACATCAAGAAAAAATATGGTTGAAGCACATTAAAAAAATGCCACGTACTTCCTCCGTCCTTAAAAAAAACTTAACCTAGGACCCCCTCCTCCTAGGACAATAAATCTGGACAAAAAGTAGTCCGAGTCCAAAAAAAAAATCTCCCTAGGACCCCTTCTAGAACAATGAATCTAGACAAAGAGTAGTCCAGATTCATAGTCCTAAGAGGGGTATGTTAATTTTTTTGAACGGAGGGAGTACAGCTGATTATAAGCATTAATGGTTTTTAACGGTTAAAAATAATTTGTGGATAAAACTTTTATGTCTATTTTAGCAACTTAGGAGTAGAGGCCAATGTAAAGAAACCCATCAAAATCAACCTTGGTCCCGTTCTTTTCTCTAACAAGAGTTGGATAAAAATTAAGATTTTCGTAGCACGCTTTTCAAATGCTAAACGATGCGTTTCGTGTGAAAACTTTCTATATGAAAGTTGCTCTAAAATATTATATTAATCTATTCTTTAAGTTTATTTTAATTAAAACTCAATCAATCATACGTTAATACCACATTATTTTTGCGTAAAAAACTTAATCTTCATCTTCATTTTCAGGAGAAAAGAACACCACCTAAGATTTTAAATTCATATTTTGGTTGCCGTTGATAGACGAATAAGCTGTAAATGCAGGATTCCTCTTGTCCCAAAATAACTTTATTTTTTACTTATTTCACACATACCAATAGAAAAAAAAATAAAAAACTAGAATACCCCTACTATATCAAATCCTAATACAATTATTTCTCCTTTTATCTACTAGTACTAGCAATGCATTTACTCTTTATTATTACAAACTTAGATACAATAATTATTTAAAAAAATATTTTAAAACAAATGGGAAGACTAAAAATGAACTTATTGGGAGTATTGCACATACTCCCAACGATAGCAACCTGTCTACAGATCGTGTCAGTCTCCTGCAGCTGCAGCACAGCACATGCTCCCTCCATTTCAAAATGTTTAACACCGTTGACTTTTTAACACATGTTTAACCGTTCGTCTTATTCATAAAAGTTTGTGAAATATGTAAAACTATATGTGTACATGAAAGTATATTTAACAATGAATCAAATGATATGAAAATAATAAATAGTTATTTAAATTTTTTGAATAGGATGAATGGTCAAACACGTACTAGAAAGTCAACGGTGTCAAACATTTTTAAAACGGAGAGAGTATATTGGGATCTACATCAAGCAAATCTAGTCAGCCATTTTGACACCTGTTAAGAGAGTGGAGACACTATGCAACCTAGGCTGTTTCTTCAGAATACAGCCTAGAGATCTCATCTCCTCTCCTCTCATCTCCCTGCATGTGCTGCTCAGTACTACCAAGGGGAACAAAAGAAAAGATAAAAGAGAGAGAGAAACAGGGACCAGCTAGGATCGCCAAAGAGAAGCATCTGTTCATCTGCAAACTGCATCTCACCATCTATCATTCACCGATCGGCTAAGCCCAATGCTTCAGCTCGGAACAGAGAGACTGCCATGTGGGCCATGCGCCTAGCTGGCCCCACATGCCAGTGACAGCCCCAAGGGAGGCCATGAGCTCGTGCAACAAGTTGATCTATAGCCCCAGCTGCACAAAGCTCAGAAGTGGCTGGCAGGATGGCGTTATCCGTAGGCAGGGCCAGCACGCAGCAGCATGTGTGCAAGTGCAACCGCTTAACCTCCAAAAAAATATGTTGTGGTGGCCAAGGTGGCAACAAGCTCAGTATCCCCAGCCATGCCAACCTTTGTCCTAAAATAATTCAAATCCTATCTATGTTCCCCATCGTTTGGCATATTCATATGCTTATCAGCCAAAATTTGAATTTTCAACGTTAAATTTAAAGTTGATTTTGAGGTTTCTTATCGAATTTTATTTTTTAGCCTTTGCTTTTAGATCACTAAGAACACATATATAAAAGTTTTATTCACAAATTACTTTTCGTTTGCAAATATGTTGTTTGGCTTATTCCACCAACATGTCAAACGATGGCATCCTATAAGTCTAAACAAACACTTATTTTAGATTCATAGTTAGAATTAATAAACACTTATTCAGGTTTGTAGTTAGAATTGAGTTTTTAGACGGAGTACAAGGAGAAAAAGATAAGGTCTCTCGTTATTCGATGAATCATTTTGATCTTATTTTAGATGAATTGCAAATTCTAAACTATTATAATTTAATACACAAACTTTAAATCCATGATCCGAAACTTTGTCAAAAAGGCCTATAACGTGGCTTTCTTTTGGTGAAGCTTACGTAGAGAATGTGGGGTTTCCGAGGGATTATTCCCCAATTCTCGATTTATTATGAGGATAACACGTTCCCATGGATGAAGAACGTCACCAATAAATGAAGTAAATAAGATAGAGAGGTAAATCGTCTCAATGTATCTATATATCTATATATCAATTGGATGCTCCAAGAAATTTTTCGCATTAATAAAAAAGATCTGCTACCTATTAATCAGATGGATCGTATAATCATAATTGTATACCGTATTAAGAGCCTGTGTTAAATAAAACAAACAGTTGAGAATATCAATATATTACTTTCGTAATTCGGAATTAATACATATAAAACCGTATCTATTTTGGACTCTTAATTTAGTACTACATTATTACTTTAGTTTTAAAATTCGTAGTTAAGTTGTAACCGGCCCTTTTTTAACCCAAAATTATAATATGATTAGAAATCAATACTACTAATAATTAAAGGTGCAATTTAAATGGATACATTTTAATCTAAGCCGCTATATCTGTTCTTTTAAAAAATAAAATCAATATATTTTCTAAGAAGAAATTGTATGCGTGTTAAGGATTAAACACGAGACCTTAGAGTTGTAACCACAGACCATTTGTCACTGCACTATCAAAACATGTCACCGTAAATATGCAGAAAAGGCTTTTTTTTTTATTGTCTTGATCTTAGATTTCTCTTTCAAGGATTACTATTCTACGACGCTCGTGCTCCTCTCGAGTTTCTTTTTACCGTGCCTGAATTCGTCGACAACGTAAATACTCAACACAAATTTGGAGATATTCAGTACTACTAACCTGTTGGGCACTGTACTACTGTGGTTGAAAACGTCATGCACACACTCCTGAACAATGTTAATGTAGGATATAGGAACATCAACATGGTTAACGTAGGATTTGAACAATGTTTTAGCATCTGAAACCCACACAGATACCACCAACCAAATCTACCCTACACACCTCCTTCCGGTTCAAGGAGGGATCAAAAGAAAAAAGCTGGTCACTTTTTACATTTCTGCTCACCAATCTTTCTCCCAAGAAAACCAGCAACCAAAAAATGAATCAATCAACCAACCAAAACAACCAAACCGAGTGGTATAATAAGGAGATGATGAGATAGGACAGGACAGCACTGTCCATCCATCCTTCCATCTCTCTCTCTCTCTCTCATCCCAAGGCAAGCTGCTGCTGCATCCTCCATTCCTATCCGTTGCGTTGTTCTAACGTGGAAGAAGATTGGAGCTTTGTGCTTCTGGTTTTTCTTTTTTTTTTTCCAATTTCCCCATCCCAAGAACAGCAAGAACAACCCACGGCACAAAGCTCGGAGAAAGAGAGAGAGAGAGAGAGAGAGAGAGAGAGAGAGAGAGAGAGAGGGGCAAATTTTGCTCCAATTCGACAGGATCTTGTCATTTGTGTGTGTTTTGTTCTCCTTTTTTGGTGATTCTTGGTTGGGGGAGTGTTTGTGAGTGAGTTCTTGAGGTTGGTAGATTCGCATTTGGGGAGGCAATTCTTTCGTTCTTGGATCGATCTAGAGTTACTGGTGTTGCAGAAAAAGTTGTTGCTCGCTTTCTTCTTCTTCTTCTTCTTCTTTTTTCTGGGGTCCAAAAGCTTTGATCTGCGTCACACACCTGTGGTTCTTATCCTCAAGGCATCCGAGGTGACCACGGGCGACACGTGACGAGCAGTTGGCGATGGCGAGAAAGAGCAGCGGCGAGAGGCGGATTCGAGCATAAAGAGGGGGAGAGGGAGATCCCCTTGCGGGTGTTCGTCGCCGCGGTGAGGAAGGAGATCGGATTCCGCTTTGCTGAGTTGAGGAAATGGGCGCCGTGGGGGTGGAGGCCGGGGTGTTCGACACGGTGGATGGGTTGGTCGGGGAGGTGATGCGGCTGCACCGGTCGCTGCCGGCGCGGCCGGCGGTGGAGGAGGTGGAGGCGGCGGAGGCGCTGGCGGCGGCGGCCGACCGGGAGGAGCGGGCGCGCGCCGACGCCGTGGCGCGGCTGCGCAGGTCCCCCGCCGTGCCCGACGAGCTCCTCTGCGTCGCCCAGGAGATGCACCGCGCGCTCGCCGGGTTCCAGTGCCGCGAGCAGAAGCGCGACGCCGCGCGCCTCCTCGAGCTCGAGGCGCTCCACACCCTCTTCGACGACCTCATCCAGCGCGCCTCCCAGTGCCTCCCCTCCACCTCCACCCGCGCCGCGCCGCGCATCGCCGCACCCGCTGCCGCCACCACCACCACCAGCACCGCTGCCGCCGGCTCGTCGTCGTCGTCCGCCGTGGGCAACGCCGAGCGCCACGCCTCGTCGGGCACCAATGGGTTCACGGCGAGCAGGGTGGCGGGGACGAGCACGAGCACGGGGCGCGTCTCCATGGACGACAGCTATGTCAGGAAGGCGAAGGCAGCAATGTGGGATGGTGGAGCTGCGGCGACGAATTCCCATCTGCCGCGAGGACCCGTCGAAGCGAATTCCGTCGCGGTACGAGCGGATGGCAATTATGGTGAGAGCACTTTCTGCTTTTGAATTGCTTCTGTTTGCCAGAATTGTGGTGAAATGAATTGGTTTGGTGTACTTTCTTGGGAATTATTAGATGTTTTATGAGTGAAAAGTCATACGTTGGAAGCATGTGCGGCGATTGTTTATACACTCTATGCCTACAAAATTGAATGTTTCTTAGCTATCAAACTAGACAATGTTTGTTAATTGGATAATTAATTGAACATGTTAAATATTAGAGTTGGAATTGTTTGTGTATGGACTGATTCATTGGTTGATGATTGGAATTGTAGGGGATGATAATGAGAAATTGAGCCTTATTAAGCTAGCTAGCATGATTGAGGTATCTGCGAAGAAAGGTGCTCGGGATCTTAACCTTCAAGGCAAACTCATGGCGCAGATTGAGTGGCTACCTGATTCAATTGGAAAGCTCACTGGGCTAGTTACCCTTGATATTTCGGAAAACCGGCTGCTGGCTTTGCCAGACGCAATCGGGAAGCTCTTTTCTTTGGCCAAGCTTGATATTCATGCTAATCGAATCAGTCAGCTCCCTGAATCAATTGGGGATCTCCGCAGCTTGATTTACCTCAACATGAGAGGTAATCAGCTCTCGTCATTGCCTTCTAGCATTGGCAGGCTGTTAAATCTTGAGGAGCTTGATGTGGGTTCCAACGGGCTTTCGTCACTCCCTGATTCAATAGGAAGCCTTACACGACTGAAGAAGCTAATTGTCGAGACAAACGACCTTGATGAGTTGCCTTACACCATTGGTCACTGTGTTTCACTGGTTGAACTGCAGGCAGGTTATAATCACCTAAAGGCTCTTCCTGAGGCGGTTGGAAAGCTAGAGCCTCTAGAGATCCTCTCCGTGAGATATAACAATCTCAGGAGCCTTCCAACTACAATGGCCTCTCTCACTAAACTGAAGGAGGTCGATGTGAGCTTCAACGAGCTCGAGTCAATCCCTGAGAACTTCTGCTTTGCTACCTCTCTCATTAAACTGAACGTTGGGAACAATTTTGCTGACCTACAATATCTGCCTCGCTCTATTGGCAACCTTGAGATGCTGGAAGAGTTGGATATGAGCAACAATCAGATTAGGGTTCTTCCGGATTCTTTTGGAAACCTAAAGCATCTCCGTGTGCTCCGTGCAGAAGAGAACCCTTTACAAGTGCCACCAAGGGATATAGCTTTAAAGGGAGCTCAGGTATTTCTCACTAATTTTCCTTGAGTTATATATTGGTCATCATTCTTTATGTAGTTTAGTGACTTCTTTTTTTATGTTGTGTAGGCTGTCGTTCAATACATGTCTGATGCTTCCAAGAGAACTACAAAGTCAGAGCCAATGAAGCCAAAGAAGACCTGGGTCCACTTTTGCTTTTTCTCCAGGCCTAACAAAAGAAAGCATGACCGGATAGACAATGCAACATGATATATGGAGGCTAGGTGAGCAGTGAACAATTGTTCTCCTCTTCAGTTGCTTACTGTCATCAGTACCGGTTATATGATTTGCCCAGAGCCTGCTCTTTGGTGATGGGGCAGCAGGTTTCTGTTGTAGAACAGAGATATGCTTAGATCAAATCAGGCTTATTTGCTCTCCTTTCTACTATGATATTTCAGCTTTGAATAACCTTAGACCAAAGAATCAGCAAGCTGTGTAATTTCTTATGATTCTGGCTAGGTGAACAGAAGGTTATACTATACTGTTGAATCCCATAGGCCTATCTGCAACCTATCCAGGCTATCCATAAGAAAAGTGTTAATACAACCATAATCAAGATTGCTGTCCTTTCCTGTTTTGATTTGCTGATTGATTCTTTTGGAGATCAATATATTCAACTGTATCTGTTAAATTCTTCTTCAGGATACAAGATGTCGCATAGCTTAACCTTCTGCTCATGACTTGGGGCTTCTTCAGTACAGTCAGCCTTCAGAATATGGTGGTTTAGCTCTGTTAGCGCGTACTCTTTTTGAATTCTTACTGTTATGTGCATTCTGGATTTTGGTTTTTGCAACTTGTATTTGAGTGTACCATCTTGGCGGGTGCAATTAGAAAGCACGGCACTTTGCTTATGTTGTTTCGTTTCTATATGATTTTTTCTTGTAGAAATGGTGTATTGTCTTTATTGAAAGGCAGAATGGAGAATTCAAAGACTCCTGTGGCTAATTGAGCAATGCAACTATGCAAGCGTGTGTTCTCCTTTAATAAAGAGATACTGTAGAAAGGAAAAAGATTTCATGTGCCTCTTTTCATACTTCTTTGCCAACAATATTACTCTATGCCAATTGCAATTTAATTGGACTTTCTGAAACAAGGAAAAAACATATTGTTGGTGATATGGGACCGAGGGTACCTATGCTGAGGGGAAGGAGTCCTTTCCCCCCAGCCACGTGGCCGCGCGGCCCGAACCCCCCACGGACGCGCGGATAACGAATAGCCAAGGGGCGCCCGTGTCTCCCCAGGGGGCTCGGGGTATCCTGTCGTACCCCTCGGACCCGAGGGGCTGCGTTGCCCCGAGGCTCTCACTCGACCGCCACGTGGCAGCCACGTGAGGAATCAAGTGGGCAGAGACGGGGGCGCTGCCAAGCGCATTTATGGGCGGCACCCCAACCGCCCCCATTGCATTTAATGCAGCGTGGCTGATCGTGCGCCGCCCGACGAATGACGTGCGCCAGGCAGCATTGACCGGTCTGCGACCGGTGACAGAGGGATGGGACAGGCGGCAGCGCACCCACGCCCTACCCTGTGTTAGGTGGCGTGGGGGCAGGTATGCGCTGTCCCGTCAGCAGCAGGGGATCGACATGCGGGTCGGTGCGCCCCACGCGCATGAACCCACGAAGTCTCCAAGAATTTATGAGGGAATGACAGGGGATGTCCCCCATGTCAGGTGAAGGACTTCGCTGGGGACCACTTGAGGACAGGCGTGTACTTCGCCTTCGGCCCAAGGCATGGGCAGCTGTTCAATCCAGGCCCATGTGGGCCCCTCTCCAAAGAGGGGAGCGTAGAGACGGTGCATGTGGTATCCCCTTGAACTATAAAAGGAGGACATTGCCCGGCGAGCAAGGGGACGACTCTTGGGAGTTCGAATTCTAGGAGAAAGCTAGCCAAGCCCTAGTTGACTCTCTTAGGTTTTGGATTCCTTGTAACAATTCGAAGATAAATCCACACACAGGAGTAGGGTGTTACGCGGTCCAGCGGCCCGAACCTGGATAATCTCTCGTCTTCACCTCGATCGCCATCCACCTTGCAAGCTTAACCCCGGCGAGATTACACTCTTGATCATCGTGCTTAATCCTCTGGCCGAACTCACAAAGGAGGGTCTCACGTCCTCCCGCTAGAGAGGGTCACTCCTCAACACATATCATTGTGTCTATTTAGCACTGATTTTTTTTAGATGTGGCTTAAATGAATAGGTGTATTACCAAATTTATACAAACATTTTTTTGTGGATGAAACAAGATCACAATATATGCTAGTACATGTGACATGGTTAGTCATAGTCAGTTTGATCTATGTTACATCCAAGCAAGAATTTGTCACATTGGCTAGCAGTGAGACGTTTCTATCTGAACATGCAACCGGCAAACTGGTCACCTGATCCTGCTTTCTCTGAAGGAAACACCAGCTACTGTCCAGTGATCAATGAAAGCTCTGTTTCAATGAAAAAGAGATGGGAAGTTATGCATAATTCAGGGGCATCATTGCTTCTCTGTCTTCTCCTTTCTCTACGCATAATCAGGTTCAGACAATCGGAGATTCAGAGTTCAGGCTGTCCCCAGCTCAATTCCAATCCCCATGCTTCCCATTGTGCTTTGGCTGGCATTGGGGCCCTCTCATTGTGCGGTGCCAAACTTATAATACAAGCAAGATCTCTTATCCCTGTTCATCCTAATAAAACCAGCTAGATTCATCAACTCCAACAGACAATAGCTAGGAGTAGCATGCATCTGTGTAGTAGAGAGGTTCTAATCAGAGGTTTGAGAATTATTGCCTGATCTGAATCTGAGTAGTGGCTTGATTATTTTAGTACCATTAACTTGCATAGTTTTATATGATCAGACTCCTTTGGAGCAAATGGAATTTCACTGGGATTTTGTAGCAATTGAACTAATTTCTCTGAAACTCATGCAGTAATGCACATATCAACTTACTTTAGGATAAAGTTTGAACTATAGATATCAACTTTAGAAGCAGTGACTAGCTTCCTCCTCGTCTTCTTTCTTTTTCTCTCTACAGATAGCAACAACTCATTTTGCCCCAAAAAAACAAAACAATAGAAATAATAAATCATTTAAAAATCCAGTTTCTTTTTTTGATATGTAGAAATAACTCATTTGGAAGATGCAATAATCGTACAGGGGTCAGTGCACCGGAGCGGCCGGTGGGCCCCAGCGCGCAGCTGGACACCACAGAAAAGGATCTGCAAATGGGCCCATCTCCCACCCGGCCGGCCCAACACCATCGCGCGGTTGCGAACTTTTGCGATCCAATCCACCAACGGATCGGCTTGAAATACCGAAACTGCCCCTGGTCACGCGCGCACAAGGGCGCCCGTTACAGCGAGCAGTTGTAGACTTGTAGTAGGGTCTACTTCACGGCATCACGACGCCTCGCGCGGCCGGCGAGATCGCGCCGCGGCGGCGATGGGGGTCGTCGTGGCGTACCGGAAGCTTTCGCCGGCGAGCCGTCGTGGCGGAGGCGCCGCCCGGGCGTGGGTGGCGCTGCTGCGGCGGGCGGCGGCGGGGGTGGCGGCGCGGCTGCAGCGCGCGGCGAGGAGGCGGTGCGTCGGCGTCGGCTGTGGCGGCGCGAGGAGGCTGACGTGGGCGGGGCTCTGCGTCGGGAGGGGCGTGGCGGTGGCCGCGCCGGCGAGGAGGATCTCGTCGGCGGCGGGGTCGTATGATCCGGCGAGCTACGCCCGCAACTTCGACGACGGGGTGTGGAAGGCGGAGGAGGGCTGCGCCGGCGCCGCCCGGTTCGCCGGCGCGAATGGTAAATCGAGCTCGAATTCGAGATGATTTTTCATTATATTCATCCTCGGATTGTAAATTTCATCGATCCCAGCTTGCAGAATCGGTTAATTCCTGATTAGCTCTGAATGCTATCTGGGGTGGTTCACTGGTTTCGAATTGAATTTTGGATGCATCCATCTGCTCCTTTTTTTCCCCTTTTCTAAATTGGCAAAGGCAAATGCAGCATGAATAATCTGATTAAGATTACAAAATCCCACGTCTCAAATCTAGATTAACTTTGTACTGTCACTCTGAATCTTCATGTAGTTAATGCTGATTAGTCTAGTTGCCCAACTTTTTTAGGTTCTTCTCCTAACTAAAGCAAGAGGGGGAACGGCCCACATAAATAGGGGCAATGTGGGCCGCGGCCCATCAAGGGACCCATGAGCTTTGTCAACCGCCTTGCTTATACTAAGCACCATTTTGCTGTAGATTAGTAACCGTATTATGAATGTAATTAAGTAAGATGACGCTCGTTTACCGGAGGAGTAGTAGTAATTAAATTAATTCCCTTCATCTGTTGCATTCTGCATCTGTCGGTGAACTAGTCGTCGTGGCATCCAAACAGTTGTGCTTACTGAAACTGTTCAACTGCATGTTCCCCTGTGTTTCTTTATTTGTGTATACTGTGTGCTGTGAAGGTTGACGTCTCCCAGTGTCGGTGCGCCATTAGTTTTACTATAATGATTATGCGCGCTACGTAGCGCGCGGCCACCAACTCACAGGAAATAGGCAAACGCAAGATCAGAGAATCGTTTATTTAGGTTATGAATAGCGAGCCATTAGCCACATCAGATGGCCAGATGCGTTTTGCCGCGTCCTCTACAGAAAACTAAGCCGTCGACTATTAGGATGCGACCGTCATGCTAGCCTTCTTTTTTTAGCAGAGTAGGTATGGGACAAAGAAGGAAAACAATCTTATAAGACTACAATCATAACAAGTTGAAATCGAATGGATTTGTAATACAATCTTGGACCCTGCCCTTCCAGCTGCCAGATCAAATGGTATAATCCTCTTGTCACTGCCAACTGATAATATTGCATTTTTTTTGCTGTAATCCAGCAACACCCATGACAGCAGAAGAATGCAAATCCTTGTGCACTTTCGTGTGGTTCCATGAATCATCTTTTTGTTGACAGCATGGTCACTTCCACCAGTCACAAAGCATGAAATTAATGTTGTTAATAATTTCGTTGCTATGAGGCTTCACTGGTAGAAAACTAACTTTCTTCTGTTTCAGAGGATTAGTTAAAGAAACACCTTTTAGTAATGATCCAATACAGACAGTCATATGTTACTGTTAAGAAAATGGTACCATAAAAAAAATTAGGATGGATTCCTCAGCATTTCAAATGAAATGAACACATTACAGTAGCCCTTGATGCATCCTTTCCCAGGGGAAAATAGCACAAGAAAGTTAAATAATTTATGACTTTTGTGTGATCATTTAGAAAGATTTACTGTGATGTGGCTGTTAATTCAATTAAGACAGTATCAGCAGTCAATCGTGATAGGATCAAGCACAAAAAACAGTACAAATTAGCTGGCAATAAGTTACATGCTAAGAGGTGAAGCTCTGAGCATGATTACATGAATAACTTAAAAGACTACATCTCTTGTTTCTATCATGTGGTAGCCATATTTAAGATGATTAGATATCTAGAATTAAATTTGCAGATAGAATGTCACCAGGAAAAAACATTCAGGTGTCGTTATATTTTCTTGATCAATTTGCACAGTCAAGTTAAGCTAAGCTGATAGTACTTCATGCAACTATACTATTGATGGAACCAATTTAATTGGATTATAACAACTAATGAGCATTCTCGACACATGGAGAAAACCTTGCAATGGATGTGAAGAAGTGTGCTACTTCTAGCAGAGTTCTTACTTGTCCTGATATGCTACGATTCATCACTGAAACTTGAGAGTCGCCGTTATCAGCACTGTACATAGCAAAAATTAATTCACCACCTGGATGCCAAGCTACATCTTCAGGCCACCTATGCTTAGGAGAAAAGCAATTTGTTGTGCTAAGCAAGGAGATGGCTGGTCTGCAAGTAAAATATATGTGATTGTAAAATCATGCTTAAAATCAATGGACAAAAAGATGCGGTTGTGGTAAGATTGTACACTTTATAGTTTCTTACGGCTACATGAATTACTATTTTTATATTTTCACATAAGATATTTTTTGTTAAATGTCCTATGAGATTCAGGAAGAAAGAAGTCATTTAGTGTCAACAGTAGTGTATGAAGTCATGACTTCAATGTCCATACGCCATACTATGTTTAAGTTAGGGATTACAATTTATTTAGATTCATAAGCCAACTGTTCATTGACACATTTGGAAGAGCTGTTTGGGGGATTTGGTCGTATCAGTGTTAAAAATGTCACTTGGTAGAAAGCGTTGGCATATTCTTTTACAGCCACTTATGTTGCGTAAGTTGTTGGGTTTAATATCTCAGCATTGTGAAGTTGCATCAGGCGAAGCAATGCAAAAAAGGTAAAGTGAGAGGATTTACCAATTAACTTGGCTTTTGTGAGGTAACAAAAATACATAGGTGCTAAGATGGGTTTTTAATTATGCTTTCACAATATGTGGTTCACGAGGCAATGAAAAAAAGGAAAAGTGAAAGGATTGACCAATTAACTTGGCTTTTTTGCGACATAAAAAGAATACATAAGTGCTAAGGCGGGGTTTTAAGAATGCTTTCACAATATGTGCTTCATAGACAAAGATTAAGTCCACATTTCCAATACCAATCACATGAATGAACTTTCAGGCCTCATGTCAATATAACCATGGAGTAAAAACATTGCCTAGAGCTCCTATTCGCAGCAAAATTAGTCAATAGCAACTTAAAATACAGTATGATAAGAAATCAGAGTAATATGAGGCCTACCCTTTTGGTTGCACTTGCCACAAAGTAACAATTCCATCCAATGCACTGCACCACAAGAATGTGTAAGATTAAAGTTCTTAAAAGAGAAAAGATAAGGAAACAAGTCATGGCGATTAAATTGAATCTACCACAGCTCATCGGTGACTGGAGGTCAACCCAAAAATAAAAAAATAAAAACAAAATGCCACCATTGAACTAAGCATATCCGTCTAAACAGATAGTACATCACTAGTCTACAGCCACATCATTGCTGGCATCCTGCACTGAAACAATTCCATTCCATGTTCAGACTATCTAGATAGTTGTGTAGCTATCCTTTCGAAAGATCAATACTGTTAGTTGTTTGGACTTACCAACCTCAAACATACTGTAACTTTGGTAGCTTGTTATTTCATTAGGATGTAAGGGCAACAACCAATTCTTTGGTTGTTGTCAACCACCATAACCTATAATTTCACATATAATCTAGTACATTCACATTTCAGTAAGACGTATGTACGAAATATGACTATGTTTACACAGAAAATGCTTCATACTTGTATGTCCGAAAAGAAGAAATAAATAGATGGAAATGGTTGACATAGCACGATAACACAACTGGAAACTGATGGAACATGAAAGGTCAGCTAAAGATTGCATTCAAAACTGATGGAAAATGAAGGTCAGCTAAAGATAATATTTGCATCAATGCAAGAGTTCATTTTAGCTTCACTCATGCAGGAACGCAAGCAAGAAGTTATGCCCAATAGAAGATTGCTCTCTATTGGAAATAATAACAATTCAATTAGTGCATGTGCGGCTGCTCCAAGCCGAAGGGATGCATGGACTGAGGAGTATGATCTGTAGATCATATCATTGGAGAATGCTTAATTCTCTACTAAATCATGATACAGAGGTTGAAAGTTGAAACGATTAAGTGTTCTTGCTTGCTTCCTACCTACAATGGCGTCAAGCTGCTCATCCACTCATCGAGTATGCACTTCCAACCTCTGCGATTCACAACAAACATGTCAAGTAATGCAACTGGCTAAGAAAACAAATTTGATTTGAATATAAACAATCCAATAGTAGATGGAACACATGGCCATACTCGATGAGCAATTGAACAAGGTGACGAATCTGCTTGGAGTTGTGCTTCTGGTAGCTGCTCACCACTTTCCCAAACTCAGTAACTTGCAAGACGAATCAGCATGAACACCTAGTCAACACATGAGCTGGTTTGGCATGGACGAATGGATCAATGGATGCGGCAGCGGTCGCCTCACTGTCAAGGTGTCCGGCAGCGGCAGCGACTGCCTTTCTTGGTCGTTGAGGAGGACGTCCTTGATGCGCTCGGTCTCAGCGGCGACGGGGTCCTCGCGGCAAGGGACGCCGCCGTCGTCGGCGATGACATCGGCGCGGTCGGAGCTACAGATGCTAGGTATGCTGGCGGCGCCCTCGGGGTGGAGCAGCTGCGGCAGCGGCGCCTCGGTGGCGGTGCCCCCCGTGGGAGGCACCGCCGACGGTACACCATGTAGAGGCGCTGGGCGAAGGCGTCCCGCCTCGACCTGAGCGCGGCGGGGTGGTCGGACGCCGCGACGGCGATGGCGTCGAAGATGTTGTCCCCAGCGCCCCGGAAGAAGCCGAGCCAGTAATCCATCGCCGGCCAATCGGCGACGACAATGGGGGGAGAATCATAGAAGACACGTCTCGCCGAAGAAGGGGGGAGCTCTTACCTCGATGTCGGCGTGGAGACGCGGCGGGTCGGGCGGCGGCGACGAATTGGAAGGTCGCTAGGGTCTGTGCTCCTTCGCCGAGGAGGCGGCAGGGCGGTGGAGGTGGAGTTCGGGATGCAGGGGAGGGGGAGCGGCGCACCGGAAGGGGATGGCGGCGAGGAAAGCGGCGCCGGAGAAGGGAGAGAGAAAGGGGATCGGGGAGACGGGGGAGAGAGGGGATCGAGGAGGCGGCGTGGGGAGCGCACCGCCCACCGATTCCACGACCAGGCAAGGCCGTACATAGGGAATGAACGGCTAGATCTCGTACACGCGTGGGAAAGAACGGCTCTGATCAGCTGAACCTAATCCGAAATACCGAAACGACGAGGGGTTTTCGGCAAAATTCGATGGCGTGGATCGGCTGAGCTCGCGGCGAATCTAGCACGTTTATGATATAGTATATACGCTGACAGTATATACTGGTAGTATATTTGGTAGTATATTGTACAGTAAAAGTTCTCTTACCTCGATGCCTCGATCGGAGTGGAATGGACCGACACTCTTGCCCTAATTATAATTAACGACTGCTGCTGGTCCAAATGAAAGCCCAGTCCTCTCACCTGCATTTTTATTGGGTACTGTAGTACATGCCCATCATCCGTTAAAAAAAAATCTTCTGACTAAAAATCTAGATATACACTAGGTTCGGATACGTAGACAGAAGTTATTGTATTTTAGACGGAGGGAGAACGTTTCAAATGGATCGTGATGGAGAGATAGAAATATTATTCAGTTTTTGGAGAGAAAGAGAGAAGGGGTTTTTTTCATGGAGAGAGAAGAATGATTATGGTTTTAAAATAGTTAAGATAGTACTAGTAATTTATATATATTAACATATATTAATTACTTTAACGGTCACGGAACTATATCGTCTACTTGTTAGCTTATCAGCCGTAACCAAAATTTAAATTTTAAAACTTAATTTAAAAGTTAGTTTTGACAAGTTTTTTTTTCCAGTTTACTAGCATTGACTTTCTGATTATAGCCTACAGGTTTCACCATCGAAGAACTTCATAATAATTTTACATGATATTCACTGAAACTAGTTCAGTTTATGCAACATTTTGGGAAATAATCATGCGTCAAAAAACAGACCTTAGGTCAGGGCAATTAGCAGAGCAAACTGGAGTATGCTATTCATACACACGCTGCACACTACCAAGCTAGTACCTAACCAGCATCACTCTAGAGATTAATAATGTCTGATCGAGTAAGTAGAGATATCTGGATTAACAAATAGCTAAGTGATAACATGAGTAGTTGTTAACAAGTATTGTATAGTTTAGGCCTGGATGGTAGTGGCCATGTACGCACGTGCACGGCATTCTGCCTCACCAAACACCAGATCAATCGCGTGAGCGGCGTGCGTTCTTGCATAGAACTATACTCGTAGAAGGCAATTATATTGTAGCGCAAGCATATCAACCGAGAACTTATTCAGCAAACAACATATTTACAAATAAGAAATAATTTGTGAATAAAATTTTTTACATACATATTCTTAGCAATCTAAAAGCAAATGCTGAAAAATAAACTACGATGAAAAAACTCTAAAATTTAAGGTGAAAAATTCAAATTTTGACTTATAAATATATGTATAAGCGAAAAGATGAGCCCGTAACAGCTACAACTTCTCTAGCATCATTTAAACAACTATTTTATAAAGTATGTAGTTATATAATTTAGAAAATAAACTTAAAAACAATATGTTGAAAAACTTAACTTTTTTAGATTTTGACCAGCTATAATCAAAATCTCAAGCTCTCATAGGCATGTAGCATATCACTAGAATGCATCAGCTGATGCTATAGACTCGGACGTGCATGCAACTTACTCCTTGCTACCTACACGCAGCATACTGATAAAAATTACACGCATATCCACCATCGTAAAAGAGTAGATTCACTAAAATACCATCATTTAAACAAGTATCAATAGAATACTACTATTTTCCCTTCAACCCTCGGTATGTGTATAATAAGAACTTGCATGAATATGAGATTATGGTGTTGCGTGTATCCTTAATATATCTACTACTTAAAAGAAAGAGTTATTCTCTTTCTCTCCTCTCTCACTCTCTTCTAAAAACCGCTTCCCTCCTATAAAAACCAATATTAAAAAAATCGATCGTGATATAAAACCAATTAACCCACTCTCCCCAAATACTTTTACCATACTGGAATAAAAAGCCATACTACAATGTCAATACAAGATCCTATAACTAGTAATCTATAAATATCCATCCATAATCCAACCACCAGTAGTCTACCATCATGTTGCCATTAATACTCGATTTTGGTGTAGATGTAGAATTACTATTCTATCTTCTACTTTACTCCCTCCGCTCCAAAACATCTTATAAAAGTTTCTTATGTTTTTTAATGAAGAGAGTAAATCCTAATCTATGGCCTTGTTTAGTTTTTTAAAAAAATGCTCAAAAACGTCACATCGAATTTTTAGACATATGCATGGAGCATGAAATATAGATTAAAATTGCACAGTTTGCATGAAAATCGCGAGACGGATCTTTTGAGCCTAATTAGTCCATGATTAGTTATAAGTGCTACAGTAACCTACGTATGCTAATGACGAATTAATTAGGCTTAATAAACTCATCTTGCGGTTTTCAGGCGAGTTATGCAATTAATTTTTTTATTCGTGTCCGAAACCCCTTCCGACATCCTGTCAAATATCCGATGAGGCACCCAAAAATTTTCTTTTCGCGAACTAAACATACCCTAAATATGTCCAGTGGTACAGTAACTGAGTGTCTGAGTAGCTGAAACTGAAAGGGGTACACACTAACACACACATAGTTTGGTGTAACAGCCAGTAGGCGTGCAGCCTACCTGCAGGTGGGTCCCACCAGACCCCTGCCATGCACAAATATTCCCTCCCTTTGCCGCTGCAAAAGAAATCCAAGAAATCCCCAAGAATTAACCCCCTTCTCCTTCCTCTCGCTACCAACCCAACCCAACCAAACGCCAAGAAAACCCCCCCGAGATCTCCACCTCTCGACCGCAATGGCGACCGACGCGATCCTCGAGACGATCAAGCCGCGGCGGAGCGCGGAGCGGGAGAACCTCCCCGTGACGAACGCCACCGGCAAGGGCAGAGGCGGCGACCACCTCATCGGGCTGCGGCGGCGGATGTCGTCGTTCTCGGTGCGCATCCAGCCGCTGATGTCGTCGGCGGGGGCCGGGGGCGCGTTCAGGCGGGCGACGTCGATGCCGTCGGTGAAGGCGCTGGCGGCGCAGGCGGGCGCGGTGCGGCGGTGGTGGGGGTGGGGTCTCGGGTGGGTGATGAACCGGAGGCCGGCGTTCGCGCGCGACCTCGAGATGAACGACGACGAGGCCGCCGCCCTCGGCTGCCACTGCCGCGGCACGTGGCGCCACGTCTTCTACAGGCTCCGCGCCGGCGCGCGCCGCCTCCTCGGCCGCGACGGCCTCCCGCTCTCCGCCCACGACTTCCGCTACGACTCCGTCAGCTACGCCCACAACTTCGACAATGGCGACGCCGCCGCCGCCGCCAGGCCGGAGCCCTGATCCGATCTCGCCGGCGAAAAACCGAAGCTAACGTACAGCTCCCTCAATAAGCAGCCGATCTGGTGATGGTGGTCAGGTATATATATACATATATATAGTACATATATATTTGTGTGTGATGAACTGATGATGAACATGTCGCAAATGGCCAAGCAAATCAAGATCGGATCATGAACTTAAAGCTGTAGTGTATATCATTAATTCCTCCATTTTTGCGTTCTTGCCGCTGCTGTCTCTTTCTCTTTCTCTCTTTGATTCTTGGAAATGTAAATGTCTTGTAATCAGACGAACGAACAGATGATCATCAGTGGAGAATTAAGAAAGGGTTTCTTGTCATCAGATTCAGATTGTTTCAGAAAACAAAAACAAAAAGATTCAGATCTGTCTCTGCTTCTGTTTCCGGGTCTCTTTCCTCTCCAGCTGTGTGACCATGGCAGCTACAGCTGAGCTACTACTGCTACTGCTCACTGTCATCCTGCCCCCAAATTCTTCTTCTCATCTCATCTTCTCCCTGATCGAGCTGTTTCCGGTTCGTACGAATTGATTTCTCGAGTCATCAGGGATAGCAACTGGGCGCCCAACTGAGGTTTGTTTGTTTTTTTTTTCTTCAGAAAAAAAAAAGAAATGGATCTTGGGGCCAATGGAATGATGAGGTGAAGCTACCATGAGGTTTACGCGACGCAGACATGGCCACCGGCATGTGGAGGTTGTTGCGATGGGAATCCAAGCTTGCTCTCTACTGTACTCTCTACTCTACTCTGCTACTACTAGTGGTAGAAGTGTTACCCCAGCAAAGCAGAAGCTGAGATCTGTGATGGCTTGTCATTGTTTTTTTTTTTCAGAAAACTTTGTTCTACTCAACAGTGCATGTTATGGCAGTTTTACATATCACCTTATTTTCTTACTGCAGAAATTGCAATGAACAGAGTAATTTTTTTTCTCAACTAGGAATGATATATCTGCTAATAACAGGAAATGAAACACTGGTGTATGGGGGAAGCACTAGCGGTGTGTTAGTCAAGTTGTGGGTGCATGACTTCAATCACCAGTGTTAAAATCTTGGTGTTTATGAATATATTATGTATATGTAAGTGGGCTTTCGACAGGAATTTATTGTGCTCAAGGATGTGTTGCTGGTTTTCGTCTCTTTTGAGCGTGTGTTAGGGAGTGCATTCGTGGACGTTGAGTGTAGTGTTGCGCTTGTAGTAGTGTGTGCGCGACTGCGTCTGCACTCTGCCGTGTAATCGGGAAAAAAAAAAGCAAAAGAAAACAGGTGTCTGAAACTCTGGTCCTCTGAATTTTTCTTGTTATGAGATGAGTGGCGAGTGGTCAGATGCTTCAATATGGGCCTAGTTAGGCCCATTATGGTAGTGAAAAATGGGCTGAACTGGTAACTTGAGCTATGGAAAAAAAGGGGGAAAAAGTACACAAAAGGTCCCTCAACTTATCATCGGGATAAAAAACATCCTCGAACCACAAAACCAGATGCCGCGGGTCCCTTAATTATATAAAACCGGTCATAATAGATCTCTTGGTGGTTTTGATCCCAGTTTAGTTCTACGTGGCTGCTGAGTTAGCGTGGGACCCACGTAGACCCCACATGTCTGGATGCCACGTGAACACCTTTCTCTTTCCCCTCCTCTCCCTTCTCTCTCACCCTTCTCTCATTCTCTGCACACTTGCAGGAGGCCGGTGGGGCAAGGCACCACATCATTGCAGCCGGCAAGCCACCGTCCGACCACCGCCACCTCGCCGCCGCCGTTGACCCCCACCACCTCCACGAATCTCCCGGCGAACGGGTGGTACTCCACAAGCGCCTTCCCCAGCGCCTCCCTCACCACCCTCGCCGGCTCGCCACCGCCGCCGCCGGCCTCGAACACGTGCAGCGACCGCACCAGGTGGCGCAGCCCCGCCACTCGGTCGATCACCGACAGCGGCAGCGTCTCCGCCGGCGTCGGCGACGACGGCGCCACCAGGCACCAGCGACCTGCTCGTCCTCGTCACCGTGAATCCCATATATACTAATTCAGCTAGCAGCTAGCTGCTGTGATAATCTCGCTTAGCTTAGCTAGCTTAGTTCTTATATGTGAATTGAATGTGTGTGTGGAGATGCAAGAGCCAGCCAATGCCATGTGTATATATAGGCTAGCTAGCTCGAGCTATATATCTTTAGTTAATTAAGCTAAGCTATGCTCGTCCTCGCCAATGTTGGCTTCCTCCATTGAACAACAGGATCAATGCTGAGCCTGAGAACCTCGCTTCTGGGTGTTCAACACTTCAACATGATAACTAATCGGTTTGCTTGCAGCGGTGGCGGTCCCGCCTCGCCCACCGGCCTCCTCACGTGCACCCGCCTCCCCGCCGCCGACGCCGCCGCGGCGCCAGAGGACAGGTCCGCGCCAGCGGTGGCGAACTGGGCGGAGACGGCGCGGCCGTCGCGGCCCACTTCGCGGAGCAAGCGGCGGCCGGCGGCGTGGGACCGTGCCCCACCGACCTCCTCCCCTCCCGTCGCTAGCCTGTGCAAGTGTGCAGAGAAGTGTGAGAGAGAAGAGGGGAAAGAGAAAGGTGTTGGTGGCATCCTGACATGTGGGGTCCACGTGGGTCCCACGCTGACTCAGCAGACACGTAGGACTAAACCGGGATCAAAACAACCGAGGGACCTATTGTGACCAGTTTTGTATAGATAAGGGACTCGTAGTATATGGTTTTGCGGTTTGAGGACGTTTTTATATCCCGATGACAAGTTAAGGGACCTTCCGTGTACTTTTTTCAATAAAGGGCTTTGTGCTGTCTAGAAGAATCGAAAATAGGGCAGGGCCGGTTACTGTTTGGGCTTCACATTTTAGTGTCCAAGCCCATTATCATCAGAATGCCCACAACAGAGATTCTGCAACATTATAGTGTGGTCAGCCAAATTAAATCTCATGGAAAAGGGATAGCTTCAGAATTCCCATCAGGTAAAGAATCTGAAGTGCATATATATATTATTAGTCCTTTTGATATTTACTACGTTAACCTTAGCTTCAGAATGTTATGTATCACTGCATATTTTCCTTTGTATAGCCACTCTTCCTACAATGTACTTTTAGATAAAGGAATATATCAATTCCATCCTCTGCATAAGCCATGCACTCAACTATTCATTATTACAAGTATTCCCATGAAATAGCAGTCACAAATTTCAAGCTCTGGGACCGCGTTTTCCCTAGCTCTCATCTAAATTCCATTACTAGGACTACTTCTGATCACGTTCCTCTGGTCATTACCGCGGCCACTCGAGTTCCTCGGCCTTCGGTCTTTCGGTTTGAAAACTCCAATCTTCTAGACAATCAATTTCTTCCCACAGCGCTTGCAAGTTGGTCTGCAGACCAAATTTCAACGGACGGGGCTGCAAACTTAGCTGGGAAACTCAAACAAGCCAGATCACAGATCAAGAACTGGACTAAAAATAGAACTTCCTGCAGATTTCTCGACAATGATTGCAAGTTCGTGATTGATTTGTTTGATTTCCTTGAGGAACTAAGAGAGCTCTCAGCTCCTGAACGTCTGCTGCGGCAAATGGTCCAAGACAAATTCACTCAGTACAAACTCATGCAAGCATCGTATTGGAAGCAAAGGGGGAAGGTAAAGAAAATTAGATTGGGTATTGACAACACGCATTTCTTCAAGGCTCATGCTACTCAGAACCATCGAAGAACTTTTATTCGCTCTATCAAATTAACAGACATGGAAGTCTCTGAACACTCTGATAAGGCCACCACCATGTTCAGTTATTACAATAGCATCTTGGGTGCGTCCACTGAGACTTCATGGTCTTTTGACCTGCATACTATTTACCATGGATGTGCAATGGCGAATGCTGATGAATTAGTTCAACCTTTCTCTGAACAAGAGATCTTCCAGGCTATCAAACATATGGATAAGAACAGTGCCCCTGGTCCTGATGGATTTGGACCAGGTTTCTTCCAAGCAGCGTGGGCAATGATCAAACCAGATATTCTTCATCTATTACAGAGCTTTTATGACGAAACTGCGGACATGGAAAGAATAAACAGGGCATTCATCGTTCTTATCCCAAAACCGGGCAAAACAAATACTCCTGACGGTTACCGGCCAATCTCCCTCCAAAATTGCTCTGTTAAAATAATAGCCAAAGTCATGGCGAATAGAATGCAAAGGCAACTCCCACCCCTCATCGACTTGGATCAGTCAGGTTTCCTTAAGAGGGAGAAGCATCTCGGAGAACTTCATTTATGCAAGTGAGCTTCTGCAATGTTGTTTCAAACGAAAATGCGCAGCTGCAGTCATAAAGTTGGATTTCACGAAAGCTTTTGATTCAGTTGCATGGGATAGCTTGGACAGAATCCTTCAAGCTCGCGGATTCCCATTCCTCTGGAGATCTTGGACGAATAGACTGCTACAAACTTCTAAGTCAGCAATTATGATCAATGGCGTTCCTGGGAACTGGATCAACTGCAAAAGAGGAGTTCGACAGGGTGACCCAATGTCGCCATATCTGTTCATCCTTGTCGCTGATGTGCTACAGAAACTCATCCGACATTCGGGCGAAATTAAACATCCTATATATCCGGATCAACCTTGTGCAACCCTCCAATATGCGGACGACACAATCATCATCTGCAGAGCGACTGAGCAAGATTTGGCGGCGCTTAAAACCTGTCTAAATCACTTTGCAGCAGCCACCGGTTTGCATATCAACTTCTCTAAAAGCACCCTCGTCACGATGCATGTGCCGGATGAGGTAACAACCGCCCTTGCCAACATCCTACAATGCAAGACTGGTAGTTTCCCCCTCTCCTACCTCGGACTACCTCTCTCTCATAGCAAACTCCACATTGCTGATCTCTGGACTCCGGCCCATGATAGCTAAAGCTGATTTCTACCTCTCCTCTTGGCAAGCCAAACTCCTCAACTATTCAGAGAGAATTGTGCTTATCAACGCGGTTCTTGATAGCCTCCCGGTCTATGCAATGTCGGCGCTTCTGCTTCCCAAAGGAACAATTGAAGCTTTTGATAAAAAACGGAGGGCTTTCCTTTGGTCTGGAGATGATTCTTGTAGTGGCTCTAGCTGCCTTGTTGCTTGGGATAAAGTGTGCACTGCCAGAGAAGTGGGAGGTCTAGGGATTAAAAACATGCATGATCAAAACTGTGCCTTGCTTGTAAAAAGACTTCATCATCTTCATTCGACAGACTCCTCTTGGGGACGGTGGATCTGGCAAGAACATTCTGGCTCTGCTCTCTTTTGTGACAATCAATTGGGTCCCCACTGGGACTCCCTATCCACTCTCCTACCGATTCTCCAGCGCCTAACGCGCGTTCAAGTTGGGGATGGCACACGCACTTCGTTCTGGCATGACTGTTGGTATGGTTCGAGTACTTTCAAAGATCGATTTGCTCCCCTGTTCTCTCATGCTCTCAACAGGGAAGCAACAGTTGCGGTGTTCCTCTCGAAGCCAATTGAAGATCAGTTCGCCCCCAGGCTGTCATCCACTGCTGAAACTCAATTAGCGAGATTGAGAGAGATGCTACAAAACTTCTACCTCAGTAACTCTACTGATCTATGTCCGTCGCGTGATGCTCCCGGGATCCTTCGCACAAAGTTTATCTATTCTTCTACTCATATGGGCCTACCTCTGTGCAAGAACTGGCGCTTCATCTGGGACAATCGAGCTCCGCCGAGAGTACAATTCTTCGCCTGGCTTCTAGCTAAGGATCGGCTCCCTACCAAGGCTAATCTGCACAAGAAGAACATTGTTCCAACAGCCGGGTGCATCGTCTGCAACTGTGCTGACGAAACTGCAACTCATCTCTTTCTCCAATGCCAATTCGCTCAGGAATTCTGGAGAGCCTTGCGTACATCTGTTGTTTCGAATGT